TCAATTCTGGTACCATATAAGGAAGATTAAGAAGCATCAATCAAAACACACGGTTCTTTCCAAACCAGAGATGAAGTTCAGAGGACCGACAACACTGATCGACTCCCAATGGATGTTGTCACTTTCACCAAGTCTTCTATGGTTTTACGTACCCTTACTGCCACTACCCATGATGGAAACGAAGACAAAGGGTTGACGGTGAAGCTTCCTTATGCACCATACTACAACAATACTACATAATTGATCCTCCTGTTGTACTGAAATACATACCCGTCAACGAAATGGACAGCTCGATATCTCCAAGCTTCCTCTTCGCGCTACTGAGACCACATAGCCACTGTTGTTGATGGAACTGTACAATTGCCTTCGTGTTGCCTTTGCAAGAGCAGGAAACTTGGTTCTGCTGAACAGACGTCAAGGAGGTGCAAGTGATCATTGAGGCAAAAAGAAGGTGATAAGATCAAACCTTTGGTGTTATGGATCGTGAGTCTGTCTGATGCAGAGAGTTGAAAATTTGTGTTGTTACTACCAATGCCGTTTCTCGCTGAATGTCTTATCACCAACATTGCCACTCGAAGAAGTCCCAGAAAAGGGAAAGAGCAAAGCAAGAAAGTGTTGCCTGGATAGAGCAGTCGTGAGATCTTTGAAAACAAGAGCAACCCAGTATATTGAACTAATATACTCATGCATTTATTCGTCAAGGGTTATAATAACACGAAAACATCAACTCCAACTGCCGCTTGTCCATCTCGCTAACAGTGGCAGGTGTACTAGCCCTCCTCGCCTGCATCTTCAACTGCTCAATAGTCTGCTGTAATGCCTGTTCCCGCGTCTTTCTCAACAACATCGCAAATGTCTCTATCAAGTCGAAGCTATCAGACTCTTCTTCATCCAACTCGCCAACCTTGCGTCTATGTTGCGCGAACCGCAATGGTGTTTTGGAAGCCTTGACTTTGCGGACAAAGTCACGACGGCGCGAGTGGTAGCGAAGGGACCGCGCAGACCAAAAGTCTTTTGCCATCTCACCGAGTTCATTCATGCGGGCGAGGGCAAGGGCATTAGGACTGAGGTCAAGTTTGTGTTTCCAGTGGCCGGGCTTCTGATTGCTGGAAACAAGCTCGCTGACATGGGTGTGAATGGCTGCGTCGAGAGATTCTCCATAGCCTGGCAGAACCACATCGACAAGACCAATGTCTTTCGCTTGTTGCGCTGAGACTGGCAGCATATCTCGCAGAAGGTGGCGGCCGGAAGCGCGACCTACTCTGCCATTGTAAGTGATGGTGTGATATTCGCTACCGAACAGTCCCAAGGTGCGGTAGGCAGGGTTTACCACTACATGCTCGCCGGCAAGCACAAGATCAGCGGCAGCAGCAAGTGCAACACCCCCAGCAGCAGCGTTGCCTCGAAGCGCAGCGACGGTGATGATTCCGCGAGTGGCGAAGTCTTGTAAGATAAGCAGAACCACATCATCCATCGCGTTGATGTTGGCCCAAGATTCAAATGCTGAGTCTGCGTCGTTCTCAATCACATTGAGATGTATGCCGTTGGAGAAGTAGGCACCTCCGAGCAGGACCACCGCCGACAACGGAGTGGAACATGTATGCGTGTCCAAAATGCTTCGCAAAGCGGCACACATCTGACGACACTGATTCGTGCTCATTGCACCGTTGTAGAAATCGAAAGTCAGGTAGGCGACTCGCTGACCTATCGCCAGCTCATCGTATTCGATGAAAATTTCTTGGAACGATGGGTAATCGAGTTTGGCAAAGTTCGTTGGCAGAGAAGGAAGAAGTTGGGGTAAGTTCTCCGCATCTATAAGGCCAATCTCTGTGAAGAGAGGCATAGCGGGTACCTTCGGCCAGAGCGTAGGATCTGTCTTCTTCTTGACCCACCAGCCATGGGTGATCCATATTCCCTTGCCATCCATTGTCTTGAAGCATACAGCATCGCTCCGAACGCCAATGCATGTGCCCGGTTTAGCGTCGATAGTGGACATGTGTTCGCCGTCCTCAATCAGACCTCCATAGATGTATAGGTTCGGGGTAAACATCTTTGTAAGACAGCCTGGTTGTGAATCCGAAGCCCTGATGAGTCTTGAAATCATCCGGGCACTATGACGGTTGATATTAAAATCTCTTTGAGCGGCTTTTAGCAAAGGAAGAGGAGTAGTATGTCCACCAAGAAATGCCTCGCCAGTGGTGGCAGAAGCAGTCTTGTACTTGGCCTTGGCTTCCAGACCAGGAACGATGCGACTCCAGGCTTCGACTTCGTCAGCTCCGATGCCCGTAAGTTCCCTAACGGCAAGTTGTACTCTATCGATAGCGATCACACATGCGGCTAGAGCAGCTCGTGTGACATCTCCTCGATATAGACTTGACTTGGTGAGCGTCTGGTCGTCGATGTCGACAGTGAATTGCTCCCATGCCCACACTGGGCCTGCATCGTACTCTGCAATAGCCTGCAAGACCGTCACTCCCCAGTGGCTTCGACCGTGTTCAGACCAGAGATCTTTGGTCATCACTCTTTCGAGATCTTCGTCTGTTCCATCCTCGCCCATGATGAGGAAGTCGAGCGCACTAGGACCTCCATCACCAGGAGCGCCCGGATGAACGACCAAAGTCATGTATCTGGTATAGACTTCCTCAGGTACCGAGGAGGTAAGGAAGGGGCAGATGATAAGATGTGGGTGGGCTAGAGAGGCGGCCTCGATCATGGTATCTGCCGACAATGCATACTCGACCGTGACCTCATGCTTGAGTGTCAGAGTCAGATACAGTCGTTGCGACAAGGAGTTGTGTGCTGTGCAGAGAAGAAGAATCTTCATATTGTCGTGCGGTTAGAGACTGACGGAAGTATGATGTCTCTTGAAGATGAAAATTGGAAACCGTGTATGTGATTGTGACTTTCTCACTCATGACAACCTCTGTTATATGTTGAGCCTCACCCGGCTCATCGTCGGTTTCTCTGCTGAAGGGCGTCAGTGGCGAGAACCACGTGTGAGTTTTGGTTTGGTTGTTCATCAAGCCTATTTCACAACAACTCAAGAGACCGTGTGGGTCCTATCAGCAATGGCGAAGCAGTTTGAGTATGCAGGACCTCGAGAAGTTTTGTGCCCCTGCCATAGAGTGATAGCGGCTGTAAATCGTGCCCAAAATGGTCAAGCATGTCAACATCTGCCGCAGATTCTTGTTTTGGGACGCAGGTTAGTCTGGGTTATTGGAGCCGTGTACGTATATAGCTCATGAGTGGTTGTAAGAAGCTCCACATGTAGCCGGAGGCGAGTAACGTATAGAGTTTACCATGGTGGAGAGAGATTGCGTCCGTGTGGTGGGATATGATTGACCATCCGAACTATACGAAGTTCGAAGTACTTTGCCGATATTCCTAGGACTGATCCTGGAGAAAGTTGTACCGGGACTAGGTCCGGATCCCAGATCTGACCTTGGTTCGTTGGACGCTTTTCTGGTAGCATCTGTGGAGGTTTCTAGTCTGCAGAGCAATCAGAAGATAGCCAAATAGTACAAGATCTGCAAAAATGTGAACCGTTAATGGCATAGTCGAGCTGATCAGGATTGGCGTGAGAGTGTGGGTGTTTGGGTGTTGTCTAGTGTAAAACCTGTCATTGTCGTTTGAGTCTGATGCCATGTGGTGCGGTGAACTGATGGAATGACCCCACCACAAGGAAAGAGCAACCCTCGCCCAATCGAAAGGCGCTCCACCTTAGGCTCTAAACCCTGAAACGTTCCTTCCTCTGTCGTACCAAAAGGAGATGAACAATGAACTGCGATCGGCAAGGCCTCTTGCACCTCGCCAAACCACTTACTGCGGTCTCGGGATCTGTCCCAAAGCTATTCATCATCGATCAATACCTCGCGTGGTACAGATCATGATCGTCGATCTTTGTCTGCCATGGTCGAACGGATTTTGTATCTGGACACTCCCCTAACGAACCATCGACTTTCGAGCTGCAATGTCAAAAGACATGCATGTCATGACGGGGCAGCCACAAGAGAAGCTTACATAACCACATATCACTAATCATTATGCTCGAAGTTCTTACATGGAGGTAGCACGAACCAGATACTCCTTCCACTCTGGCAGCTGCTCTCAACCTGTTACGAGAATCTCAGGATCCACGTTATAGTTCAGGTCATGATCGCACTGACAACAGAAAACAAGTGGCTGTTCGGGTGTAAGTCCATCCTCGAAACCCCAATAGCGCTACCGTCTTGATTGATGAGTTATAACAGACCTCTTGCAAGCTACCGCAAGACAACCACGGCGACAAATCCAGATCTCCCTATTCCTCCAACGAAATCGGAGATCCGGGACATGGCCTAGAGCCAACACATACGCACCATCCGATTACAAAAGACTCCTCGATTGAAGGAACCTGTCCGAGCAACCAGAAACGCCGATGACTCGTTGAAAGCTTCCAGGAAGATGACGAAGTAGAGAAGACATAGTGTTCCTTCGAGCAAGATCTGGGCGCTGTTGCGCTGACTTCTAGCAATTTTGTTGCATTCGCTGGGAGATATATACGGAGTTTGAGTGGACACCCAAGACCGCCGACATGTTCGACCCACTTCATGGTCAAGTGTTGCAGCGCTCATCTGCATGGTTGGCGAAGAGCAGCACTCCCTCGGAGCCACTCCGATGGACTCCTCAAGGGGAACTTCAAGTTGCGGCTGCGACTTGAGGTGGTGTGCTCAGAAGAGGCTGAATGGACCCGGGTCCGCTTGAAGTACAGTCTCAGTTGATAGATTTTTGAGGTTCGAGACGTGGCTATGTGGATGGTACACGCTGACTGCCTATCAATTACCACCCACCAACAGCAGCAGCCGCCGAACGCTAGCAGTCGCGGCCAAGAGACTCTCCATTTGGGCGTCAAGTTGTGCTCGAGGCTCGAGACAAGGCTTCTGGCATGGCATGGCATTCATGGTCGTATAATTACTGGGAATGGCATGGGCCTCCGTGATGCACCGAGCGCATGGAATTTCTCATACGGCCGTAGGCGCTGACAGACAGGAAGAGGGGAACAATCCACGCCATGCATGTGACTGGAAGCTATCTCTTGCTTTTTCTTGCCCTTTGTACCTCCAGCAGAAGCCACACTCTTGAGAGCAGCATGCTTGAAGTCCTTGATATGCTGGTGAAGTCTGGTTTTGGACGGGAACATGGCATCGCACGTCGCGCAATTGAACTTGTTCTCGTCCAGCTCCGCGGATACAGCTGCGGCGGCCGCGGCCCTCTTTGCTCTCTTCTGGGCAGCCTTACCCTTCTTCGGTGCTTGTGCTGAGGGCGATTCGGACTCTCCATCAAGAGTCGGCTCAACGTCTGGTTTCGAGGGAGAATCGTGCCCAAGGCGGGCCTTCACTTGTGAAGCAGGGGCGTATTCGTCGTCTGAGGAGTCAGTCGTGTCTGCACTTTGCTCCGTCGGCTGTTCGCTGGCTTCCGTAAGTTTGACAGATGGTGTACCTCCTTCGTCCGCAGAATCAGAGATATCGTCGTGCAAGGTAAGGTCGTTCATGTTCGCTGCCGCATCATCATACATGATAGGGTACTGGTCTTCTGGCAAAGGCTCGTCTTCCATCATGGGGTATTGGTCTTCCGGTAGAGGTTCGTAGTCTTCAACATCTAGTGGTGTGGCATCTCCGCTTGTTGGCTCGCTGTCCAGATTCAAATTTGCGTTCTCCTTCTGCATCTTCTTCCTTAATGCATGAACAGCCTTCTGGTGTTTCTTGCTCTTCTCATGCGCGTCCCATTGCTTCTCACTCTTGAATGTCTTTTTGCATGCGACGCACTCGAAAACTTGGTCCACCTCTGATTCACTCTCTCCAACGACACCTTCATGCTCGTCTTTTGTGATTGTCTGCGCCCACTCGGGGATGGCAGAGTCTTCTGTATTGATCTGATTGGCGGCTCTTGCTCTTGCAGCTTGAGCAGCGGCAGCATCTCGGAGAAGCTTTTGGCGCTCGGCTTCGGTCTGGGTGTTCGGTATGTAGCGTGGATCGCGCTTGCGGACAAACGCGACGAGAGCGCGGACGGATTCGTTGAACTCGCGAATGCCTTGTTCTCGAAAACGCTGGTTTTCCTTCTCCATCAACCTGCGGTATCGGCGGTCGGGGGCTTCAGAGAGGCGATACTTGTCGCACCAGGCGAAGGACTTGCGGGTGCTGAAGGACAGCCAGACGGCATAGAAGGACTTGGGCACATGGTCGTATGCATCATCTTTGTGGCCGAAAGACGGGTAGTCAGGCAGATCAAGATCCTCCCAGTGAGCAGCAGCCTCCTCTTCTTTCGCTAGCTGGTCAAAGGTCTCGCGAAGGAAGCCAAAGAAGCCTGAGGGAGCATCGGTGAACTCGACGCCACTGTTGAACTTTCGGAGCATGCGAGCCAAGTCTTCGGCGCTTGTCATCTTGACGTTGCCATACTCGTACTCGCCAGCGCCTGCACCTCCAGTAGTGGGATCATCTCCTCGCAGGATTTGGGTCTCGTGAGAGTCATACCAAGCTCTTTCTTGCGGATCCGAGAGGACTTGGTAGGCGGATTGGACTTCGGCGAACAATGCGGTGGCAGACTCGACGTTTCCGTAGTTGCGGTCAGGATGTAGCTCGAGAGCCTTGCGACGGTAGGCCTTCTTGATCTCGTCCTCGGTGGCATCACGTTCGATGCCGAGGAGAGTGTAGTAGCCCGTCTTCTGTGCCTCGGGGACTGCTTCCTGAGCACCGCTGGAAGACGACTGACCAGCACCCATGACTACGCTTCACTTCCTTCACTCCGACTCGACTGCAACAAGAAACGACTGTTTTTTCCGTCTCTACAACACGTCACAATTAGATGCATTCACATGCGAAGCCTTCCCAGATAAGATAAGATTTGTCTTGGCAGAGCTCATCAACGCGTGCATCGCGCCTCCCCACCGCGGTCTGCTGCGCGTCGTCCGGCAGGCAGCGAATGATCGAGCTTGCTGTTTTTCGTTCGACCAAGTCAACTCAACTGCTCACTGCGCATCAGGCAGCGTTTGAGCCCACCTTGCTGGCTCATTCGACTTCACTCTGCCGACGCGCACTAACCATGGCGAACAAACGACGACACGGTCCTGACGACGACGACGCCGACACCCACTCGTCTCCACCATCTTCTCCCAAACGCCCTCGAATCGACGGTCAACGCACAGAAGAGACTCCCTTTGAAACCGACGAGGTCGATGGAGGCTATACCTACCAGTACCACAGCCATGTCAACGAAGATCACTCCCTCCACCTCGACGTCTCGTCCGACGAGGCCGAAGATCCCGAATCCGAAATCCGCGCTACCCAGCTCGTCCAACGCCACTACCAGCGAAACAAAGAGAACAGGGCTGCCGAACAGGGCATCATCGAGGAGGTCTACATGGAGAACTTCATGTGTCATAGCAAGCTCCGCATCCAACTTGGTCCCTTGATCAACTTCATCATCGGTCACAACGGCAGTGGAAAGAGTGCCATTCTCACCGCCCTCACCATCTGCTTGGGCGTCAAGGCCGCTCAAACGAACCGCGCTGGCAGTCTCAAGAACTTCATCAAGTCTGGCGAGGAGCACGCCTACGTCGCTGTCAAGATCAAGAACGACGGTGACATGGCCTACCAATCCGGCGACTACGGCAAATCCATCATCGTCGAGAGGCATTTCTCCCAAACCGGAAGTGGCTTCAAGATCAAAAACGCCGAGGGCAAGATCATGTCTACAAAGAAAGCCGAGCTCGAAAACATTGTCGACTTCTTCGCTCTGCAGCTTGACAACCCCATGAACGTCTTATCCCAAGACAAGGCTCGCGAGTTTCTCAGTGGCTCTTCTCCCCACGACAAGTACAAGTTCTTCATCAAAGGCACACAACTTGAGCAACTCGACAGCGACTATCGAATCCTTGAAAGTCAGTTGGACGACACTGAGCACAGGTGCGAGCTTGCAGAGACTGATCTTGAAGTCTTGGGTGGAAAGGCAAGAGAAGCCGAACGAAAGAAGAAGATGATAGATCGCAGCCTGACCATGAACGAGAAGATCAACCAGTTGCGCTGGCAGCATGCTTGGGCTCAAGTTGAAGAACAGGAACGCGAGCTCGAGAAGATGGAGGATCAAATCCGACAGGTCGACAACAAGATCACCATGCAGCAAGCACAAGCCGATCAAGCCAGCAAACTCTACGACGAATCCCATTCCACGCGCGAAGCAAATGCCAGTGTCATTACCGATCTGGAAGAGCAGCTAGGTCCATTGCAAGACAACCACAAAGAGGTGAAGAGCATCTTCGATTCGAGAAAGTCAGACATGCAAGACAAGAAGGCCGAGCAAAGGAGCATTAAACAAGACATGACGACTTCGCAGACGAACATGAAAAAGCTGGATGACAAGATTGACGCTGAGAGGGCCAGACTTGAGAACGCCAACGGTCCCGCCCATGCTCAGAAGGTGTCTGATCTGGAGGATGCTCGCTCCCAGTTGGACGATATTAAGCAACAGGAAGAGCGGCACGCTGCCCAGAAGACACAAATCGAACGTAGTGTTGTCGAAGCTCAAAATGAGGTCAACAATGCTCGTGGACAGGGCTTGCAACAAAAGAAAAGAGCTGTTGAGGAGGCAGAAGGCATGCTGCAACGATTGCGGACTGATCAAGGCCAACAGGCCAGAGCCTACCCACCACAGATTCACAATGTTCTTCGCCAGATCAAGAATGAGCCTGGTTTCACGCAGCAGCCGGTAGGGCCTTTTGGCATGCATGTCAGACTGCTTAAGCCTGAATGGGGCGCGATCATCGAGACCATCTGTGGTGACAACCTGAATTCTTTCGTTGTCAGAAACCCGCAAGACAGCACGTTGCTGCGAAAGATACTCAGGCAGCACAATTGGTGAGTGNNTCATGGAGCTTAGAGGTGTTTCCGGAATTAACCCTTTTCCAGTCAAGTCCAGGTTGTGATCAACAATGGAAATCACATCGATACCTCACGGAATGAGCCCGAGCAGCATCTCGACACAGTGCTTCGGGTGTTGGAGGTAAACCAATCGCTGTATTGAGATTGACTACACCGAGGGCTGACTTTATCACAGATCGACAATGACGCAGTTCGAAATTGTCTCATCATCAACCAAACTATTGATCAGACCGTGCTCATACCCGATATGGAGACGGCCAATCAGTTTGCTCAATCGCGTCCACGAAATGTCAGATCAACTATCTGCCACCATCCGCACCAGCGTGGGTACGGTAATCGTTACGCGCCAACTAGAAGTGGCGGCCTCAGTATGGGTCCTGTGAAACCCTGGCCGGGACAGATGCGTATGAAGACCAGTCTGGAGGCTCAGATGAAGTGAGTCCCTTCGTCGTCGCGTTGTGATAACAGATAACTAATCGAANNTCTTAGCATGGCCCAGGAGAGATTGAACAATGCCAAACGGGACCTCCAGGAAACCGAGAATCGCGTGCGGACCCTGGAGGCTGTCTTCAATCGCGCCAAGCAGGCGAAGACTCGATATGATAGAGACACAGCGAACATCCGCCAGCAGAGGCAACGATGTGAAGACCGGATCGAACAGCTGCAGGGAGAGCTCGACGCGGATGCCGCCAATGACACAGGTGTGTTAGAGGAGCTCCGTGCGCAGTACAACGAGGCCGAGCAGGCCCTCCAGGCCGCCAAAGACACAATGATGGATTCCGTCAACGCTATGGACAAGTTGGGCGAAGAGAACAGACAGATCAAGCAACAGCTCGACGCTGCAACCAAGGAGGTCGAAGAAGCCGAGGCGCGACTCACCAAGGCACAGAAGAGACTGGAAGATAAAACAACTCAACGAGAATTTGCGCTCCGGAAGAAGAATGAGGCTCTCGAGATGGTTGATCTTGCGCGACAAGAAAAAGCGCATCTAGAAGAACAGCGCGTTGAGCAAGAGCGACTCATCAATGAGGAATACTTGCCAGGAGCAGAACAGGTCAGTCGCAGGATCACTGTAGAGCCTGGCCACACCGTCGAAGTACTGGACCAGAAACTAGAAAGGCTCGAGAAGGAACTGCGGCAACAACAGGATAGGTAAGCACATATTGCACCCAGTCAGGGAAGCATGCTAACACAATACAGTATCGGTGGCAGTCGTGAGGAGATCTACAAGGCGTGGCGTGCTGCACACAAGAAATTTGCCAATGCTCAACGGGCTCTGAACAGCAAGAAGGACGTTGCAAAGGTGCTTTGAAATTTTATTGCGTCGATACACGGATGTTTGCTAACATACATCGTACAGAAACTCAAGGCAGCGCTCATATACCGCAAGAATCGCTGGAAGCTCTTCCGCAAGCACATTACGACGAGAGCAAAGATTACTTTCAGCTATCTCCTGTCTGAGCGCAACTTCCGTGGTCGCATCCTTGTCCACCACGTAGACAAGACGCTGGACATCAGTGTTGAACCTGACATCTCGAAAAATAGCGACAAGGGCCGTCAGACCAAGACTCTTTCTGGAGGAGAGAAGTCCTTCTCCACTATCTGCCTACTGCTTTCGATTTGGGAGGCCATGGGTTCGCCCATTCGCTGTCTTGACGAGTTTGATGTCTTCATGGACAGCGCAAACAGAGAGATCAGTATGAAGATGATGATCCAAGCCGCTCGTAGGTCTGTCGGTAGACAGTTCGTGCTCATCACGCCACAGGCTATGGGCAAGTACACAGAAGGCGTGCAGGATGTAAGTGTCCACAAGATGGCCGATCCAGAGCGCGGTCAGACGACTCTGAACTTCGGCGCTGCCTGAGATATTGAAGTGTTGAGTTCATTCGATTAGCGTGTCCATATAGCTAGGCGCCGGAAGGAGTTTGATTGACCATAACGAGTAAACGTTATCAGGTATCTTTAGGGTACATATTTCAATTGCTGTATCAGTTAGCATGATAGCCTTCGTATTCGCAACATCCGCTTTTGTTGACATGCAGATACTTCTGAATATCCTGTGTCTCACTGTGCATCTGACAAGAAGCGGGATAATTCCACCATCTGTCCGAAGCTACCTGTACTCGCCTCTTTGCCCGTGACAACATTTCGTTCCATCAATCTCCAGAGTCCTGCGAAAAGTCAAGCTCCATAAGCTTCATCAACAATATCGACATCCATCAGATCCACGACTATGAACACCCTCGCAAAAACTACCCGGATGGGCGCCAAATTCATCATCTACAACCGCTTCCCCGCCGCCTCATTCATAGCAAGAAAATCGACTCTGACCCAAGTGTTCTCTGACAAGGCCATTCACCGTAAGCTCCGAACTTGCAATCTCAATACATTTTCCAGCTAACCTGTATATCACNNAGCTATCGGACCTTACTACTCTCAAGCCATCAGAGCCAACGGCTTTGTCTTTCTCTCCGCCCAACTCCCCGCTGACGAACAATGCAAACTCGTTGGTGGCAGCGTCAGCAATCAGACGCACAAGATGATTCAGAATGCATCTCATGTACTCCAAGCTGCGGGCTCAGATCTTGAGAAAGTCGTCAAGGTTAACTTGTCTGTCAAGGACTTTCACATGGTGGAGGAGATTAACGAGGTTTATGTAAAGTATTTCCCTCAGAGACCTGCGAGGACGGTCGCACAGGTTGTGTTTATGGCTGCTGGAGCTGATATGATGATGGATATGGTTGCTGTTGTCGGTGAGGAGTAGGATTGAGTGCACGAGTGCGTCCGTGGCAAGGCAAACAGTGTCAACAATTCTGCTTTAACAAGATGCTGACGCGGCATTACATCTCTGTTCACACTCACACGTCTTCCCGTCGCTCTACACTGACTTCTATGACTGCCGTAGAACACATAATCTCCATTGGCCACTGGGAAGGTTTTATACCAAGAGATAGATATAGACAGGGTGGTACCTCCCTCAACTTAGACTTCGACAATGCGGAGCGGATCAACGTCTCCCCGCGTTTCTTTCATCTCCTTGACTCGACGTTTGCGCCGCCACCCTCAGAGAAGACAGCATTCGAGCACGTGAACCGTTACAAAACGGACTTTTTACTGTTTTTCGATGTCATCCAAGGATAGAATTCTTTATTCAATATAATGTCCTAGATCCCGACGACATTTCTTGGTTGACTGACAGACCCACCGCTGGAACACACAGTATTACACCATCTGGACATGCATTGAAGATCTTTGCGCCTGGACCACCAATACACTCTTTTAATTGCCTGCGACGACAGTCTTTGACCACGATGAAGTACGGTCACGAATACTCACAGCTACTGGCTAGCGAAGGATTCCCTGAGGAATGGGTCTCTTCTGCTATCTCCTATCGGTTGCTGAAAAAGTCCATTAAAAAAGTCGAGCAAGAATTAAGCGCACTTGGTCTGGACGCTTCCACACTGCAACATCTGCACAGTGAATTTGGAGTGGAAGCGCCAGGAGACAGGGTCGGCTTGCATTTTGTGCCGGAACTATGGGTTGCGGTCGACGGGGACAGTGGAGAGTTCCTGGACGCGCATCTGACCGAGGATACAAAACAGTATTTTATCTGGTTGGCTCAGAACAATGACCAGAAAATCATTCTGGAGAGACGTGCCAGTCAAGTCTCACACTACATCGATGGTACTTCATCATCCGAGCAGGAACAGTCTAATGCTTCGATTCGTGCATCATCGGCCGAGAACGGCGCTCAATGGGCTCATGTCCATCTGCATACGGCAGCAAACTTCTTCAATCTCCTTGACCCTAAGCTGGCACAACTGGACGTCATCCAACACACGGAAGAGAAGCGCTTGGAGTCGAAGATCGTGGAATTGAGCACCGAAGTCACGGCACTCACCGAGCCTGGTCATCTGAAGAATGGCAAATTCAAGGCGAAATCGGATGTCACCATTTGGCGCCAGATTCTAGCCTTGTACGTGCAGCATGCCATATTCTTCTCGCCATACGAGCGGGATCGCGGCTCGCGTAGCTTCGACCAAGCAAAGTCGCATCTCGAGCTCTTCTCTAAGGATCTGGTAGACCAGGGACTTGTCAAGAAATTCAGAGAAAGATCGAGCAGACGTGCCTTTGATCACTTTGTGGCCATCAATCTCGACATCCTCAAGGCCATGCGCTTTCAGGAACTCAACATGGAAGCCGTACGCAAGATCCTTAAGAAGTTCGACAAGCGAACTGCTCTAGGAGCGACAAAAGCATATCAGGGTCATGCCCTCAGTGGCCCTTTCGCCAAGTCAGTTGCGACGGACATGTGTGCAGCAATGTCTCAGCAAGTGGTCACCATTGTGCCACAATTAGACGATCACAGCTGTCCTGTCTGCTACAACATCGCATGGAGACCGGTCCGACTTGATTGCTGCAACACAGTCTTTTGCATTCGCTGTATGATCGAACTACAGAAGTCGGCCTCCAAGTGTCCCATGTGCAGATCGACTTCGGTCATTACTGCAGACTCTGGTTCCATCGATCAAGAACGAGCAGAGTATCTGGTCAGATACTTTCCACACGAAGTCAAGGAGAAGCAGAAGGCGAATGAGCTTGCTATTGCGATTGACAAGTATGGTCCAGACTACCAGAAAGGGCCTTGCTGCGTCATGTGAGGACCGAGCATTCGATCTTGACACAACAAAAACAAAAACAACAACAACAACAAGTCAGACATCTCCTTACAAGACCAGCATCGCAGCTCGATATCTCTCTGGCAAGAAGTTGAAAATCTGTTGTGGTTGACATACCCTGAGCTCGGCTTGAAGGCCACGAAATCGACCCCGCGATTGCGTCATCCATACGACGTGCGCATCACGACCTCGCCATCATTTTCTCTCTTCACGACAGCCTCGATGCTCAGAAGTCTACTCCGAATAAACCATAGACACGTTAAGGAATTGCCAAGCATCAGAACAATGTCGAACAAGTCACACCCAGACGCGGACCTATTCCCGCACGCAACTGGTCTTGCCCAAAAGACCGTCGAAGAACACAAAGCAGAGCAGCCTTTGAAGCTGTATGCTGGGTGGTTCTGTCCATTTGTTGGCCGTGCATGGACTGTGTTGCAAGAGAAGAATATCCCTTACCAATACATCGAGGTGAGCATTTATGAATCATGGCCAGCAAACAATGCCCAACCAACGACCAGNGTCAATCCATACCACAAGCCAGAATCGCTTTTGGATCTGAATCCTCGCGGTCTGGTCCCTACACTACAGTACGACAACAAGCCTCTCTACGAGAGCACAGTCATCTGCGAATTCCTCGAAGAAGCCTATCCAGACCATGGACCCAAACTCTTGCCCGACAACCCCTATGAGCGTGCTCGTACTCGCATTTGGACAGATTACTGTACTTCACGAATCATTCCTGCGTTCCATCGGTTCCTGCAATTCCAGCCAATGTCAGACACTGAGGGTCTTGAAGAAGTAAGACAGGAGTTTCTTGGACACTTGAAGGAGTTCACAAAGGAGATGGATTCCGAAGGACCATACTTCTCGGGCAAGGAAGTCGGTCTTATTGATCTCGTTGTTGCACCATGGGCAAGTACGTACCACCTTTCTCAACATTCATGCATGACTCCACAAAATGCTGACCTTTTGCTTGCAGTTCGTCTGTGGGTCTTTGACCATTACAAGAACGGTTTGAATATTCCCAAGGGAGGCGAGGACAGTGCAGTCTGGTCACGATTCGATAAGTGGCTCAAAGCAATTGAAGAACGCCCTTCAGTACGCGAGACCACGAGCGAAAAGGAAAAGTACCTCAGCATCTACCAAAAATATGCCGATGATAAGGCGCAGAGTGAGTTGGCAAAGGCCACACGTAAGGGTCGTGGTGTGCCTTGAGCCACCATTGGTTGATGATAGACACCAGAGCCGTCAAGTCCGAACGAACACCGAACGAAGGGTGCAACATTAGCCAAGAAGTCGCGGTCACCTGTATCCCCCAATCCCCTGTATCGCTCACAAGCAAATAATGTTGTTTATCGCATGAGTGCTGCCCATTCACCTTATCTGTGCCTATCAGCAGCCGCTGAGGCGATGATCGACACTGTCTAACCCCAGACCCCACCACAATTCACTTGCACCTTCTCCAACTGGCGATATGGTTTTCGCGTCGCAATCGCAACTACCCCAACATCTTATCGGGATACCTCAACGAGTCTATTGCGATTTTCCACCGACAAGGGTATTTTTCACAGTCGAAGCTAGTATCTTTGCCTCTCAAGCGCTATCGCGGAGAAGGCATATTATGAAAATGCTAGATATAATGGCCACTCTCTCCTCCTCATCCACCAGATCTCTAGATTTTGCCATACACAATGTCGTCTTCAGCACAAATCCTCCCAGTCGGCGCTGGTTATGGTGTCGTGATTGGTGCTGGGTTCTTCTTTGCTTTTGTAAGCTTTGGAATTAGACAACATCTCAAGTTATGCTAATACGTTTGATAGGTGATGATGGGTATCTCGTACCTCCAAAACAAATATACGCAGTTCAGTACCAAGACTAGCGAGGAATTCAACACTGCTTCTCGTAGCATCAAGCCTGGTCTTATTGCGTCTGGTATTGTTTCGGCATGGTTAGTTGCATCCAGCAAAGCTGAGGTGCTTCGATAGTCACAACTTTGTACTTGTGCTGATTCTGCCTTTGCTCAGNNGACTTGGGCAGCCACATTGCTACAGAGTTCCACGGTAGCATATCAATATGGTGTTGCGGGACCTTTCTGGTAGCTACATCACTACATCCATCACTGAAATTCTCACTGACCAGACCCAGGNTACGCTGCTGGCGCCACGGTCCAGATCTTGATGTTCTCCATTCTTGCTTGCAAAGTCAAGATGAATGCGCCTCGCGCTCATACCTATCTCGAGATTGTTCAAGCTCGCTATGGTCGTACCGCCCATATCACTTTCCTCTTCTTCGCTTTCGTCACCAACATTCTGGTCGGCTCGCAACTGCTACTCGGTGGTTCAGCTGTAGTGACCAGTCTAACTGGCATGAACGTCTATGCAGCCATCTTCCTCATTCCGGTCGGCGTTTGTGCCTACGTGGTTCTCGGCGGCCTGCGAGCCACTTTTCTCTGCGACTATAGTCACACATTGATCCTCATGATCATCATACTGTACTTCATGTTCAACGCCTATGCGACCAACGACCTCATCGGATCTCCTGGAGAAATGTATGAGCTACTAAAGAAGGCAGCGGTGCAGAGGCCAGTAAAAGGAAACGTTCAGGGCTCTTATATGACACTCAAGTCGAACTACGCCCTGATTTTTGGTGTTATCCAACTCTGCTCTGGCAGCGGCACAGTTTTCCTTGACCAGGCTTACTGGCAGCGTGCTATTGCTTCTCGGCCCACCACTGCCGTCAAAGCATATATCTTGGGTGGTATTGCCTGGTGAGCGACTGAACGAGCGAGTGCATATGACATTGTTGTGCTGACTAGAGTAACAGGNTTTGCGATTCCCTTTGGGTTCTCCACTACACTGGGTCTTGCCGCCGTGGCCTTGACCGACAACCCTCGTTTTCCTACCTACCCAGGCGTTCCGTCTGACAGCGATATTTCTGCCGGACTTGCGGCAGCTTTCTCAGCTCAAGCATTGCTAGGCAAAGGTGGCGCGGTGGCTCTCCTCATTGTCCTCTTCATGGCAGTCACATCATGTGCTTCCGCCGAGCTGATTGCTGTCTCTTCGCTGTTGACCTTTGATGTTTACCAACGCTACATTCGCCCGACCGCTTCTTCTGCTTCCCTGATTTTTGTCTCTCACGCCATGATATGCGTTTTTGGACTGACCATGGCCGTGTTTGCCTGCATCTGGAACGCCATTGGTATTGATCTCGGCTGGCTTTTTCTAGTGATGGGACTTCTGATAGGTGGTGCTGTCTTCCCTGCCGCCTTTAGTATAACCTGGCGTGCTCAGAGCGCTGCAGGAGCAATTACTGGAGCCATAGGCGGTCTGATCATCGGCATTGCGGCCTGGCTTGCCGTTGCTAAGGTCTACTTTGGCGAGCTCACTATTGCCTCCACAGGTACGGAGTATGCTACTCTAGCAGGCAATCTCGCAGCCATCATGTCTGGTCTCATTCTGACTGTGGTGGTATCTCTGATCAAACCGCAGAACTTTGATTGGGCGATCACCCGTGGTATCAACGCTGAGAGTGCAATGGTAGTTGAATCACAACTTCAACAAAAGCAGATGCAAGAAGCAAAACTCGACACAGCAACCGCAACGACCAACCCCACCGACGACGGAAAAGTATCAGCAACACCTGAGAAAGACACCTCACCTACACCCTCGATCTCTGAATCCTCGCCTCAGCCACCTCACCAAAGCACCATCACAACACAAGAAGACGCCGAACGTGCCGCCGACCGCTTGACAGAAGAATCTCCCAATTCCCTACGAGGAGCCTTTAAACTCGCTTGCATCTCTGCCTTTGTCTTGACCTTTATCATGGACTTTTTGCTTCCCATGCCCATGTTCTTTAGCCATTATGTGTTTTCCAAAGGCTTCTTTACTGCGTGGATTGTCATTAGCTTTATTTGGGTGTTTGCTAGTACGGCGATCTCGGTGGTGTTGCCCGTTGTGGAGACGGCTGGGTTCTTGAAGGGGTTTGCTGGGGATGTGTTTGGGGGAGGAAGGCGAAGGCGTGATGTCTGGATTACATGGAGGTATGAGGTTATGAGGATTATGATATATTACGACATCTGATATAGATGGTGGAATCGAGACTGTATAGTACAGAACGAGGTCTTCCTAATTTGTTATCATGTCAATACCGTCTATTCGACAATGCATAGTGCGGGGTTCAACAAGTAAGTATTGCTGCATCTGTCACGAGCGGTAATGCACGAGTCTACCAACACTCGAGCCAATAGTATCCTAAGAGGAAGCGCTTAATCCCCTGCACTCCGACCTCCGCCTCATGTCTGCTTTTCCAACCACACCCCAGCCATAATTTCTGGACTTGAACCATAACTCCTTTGTTGCTTCTCGATCACCCCAGGTCGCGATGAATTCTGCTCTCTACGAAGCCATCGCTTGCCACGTATGCGACAGCATGCGAAATGGCAATCCAAAGAAACACAGTGATCTCAAAACAGTCGGTCCGTGTCGCACCTGCCGTCTCTGTGACAGATCCTTCTGCAAGTCGCATGGAGATATTGCCACCAAAGTCTGCGAAATCAACCATGTCTCCTATTGCAAGAACCATCCGAATATGGAACATCTCTTCCCATCACTTGATGCATTGGAGAAAGCGTACGAGTCTGACGGCTCTGTCTGAGGTAGTAAAGGACACTGATAAGTCAGGTATGTTCTTGGAGACCCTATGCTGGATTTTTCCAATGTATCGATCTGGGGCTGACATGCAAAGTGGCCAATATAGGTTATTGGAATATTGTTTTAGTCACGTTTTGGGTACAGCATCACATTCTGCCTCTTCGTCAATCATTATCGACGTATCGCCGCGTGATGGCGAAAACTTCCAGACCAAAAACAAGAAAAAGCTCTCTCTTTCAGAACATGCGAAGGCGGATGGAGAATTTCGAAACATCACTATGCTATTTCAAGATCAGGATATCCAGTACCAAAGTTTGATTAGGACTGCCATTGCCGCCATTGAGTCTGTAGAGGGAGCGTCTCAGAAAGTGACAAGAGAAATTCATGTATGTTTCTGCAATATTGCTGTGTCGAAAGCAATATCTATGCAAGCTAGCTGTGTATCTAGAAACACATTGCATATTCTTGAAGACACCCTCAGAAGCCAAGGAAAGTCTACTAATGCAAAAAGAAAAGGTTCAAAACGAGAATGGAGACCCATTAATAGAAGAGATTCGGTCGTTCGAAACCAAAATATTATGGCTCAGCCGAAAGTCGAACTCATATCTCCTTATTCACAGCTCAGGATCGTGATACCAGCAATTACCTGATCGACGGGGATATCAGGTCCTCGTGTAAGTTCTGCAAAGCATCTTTGAACCACTAGACCACTGAACCATGTCGTTGTACAGAACTTGATTTTCAGCGTTTCTGTTTGCCTGCATGGAAGCAACTACAAATGATTGGAGGAAAATGTGAGACTGTCAAACGACAACCAAACTGTGGACAATCTCGAATCCACTGTTGCCCTGTCGGCCTGATGTGGATGTGTATCCGCTTTCTCTTTGTTCTTCCACAGCATTGTCTTCTAGCTCGAAAAGTCCTGCTGCATGTTTTTGAGCAACAATGTACCATCATAAAGGGTTTTCAAACCTGATTCATATACATGGAGAGGCCGCTCCATTTTGCCGAACCAATCAAAAGTAGTTTTCCAATGGACAAAACAGTAGACCAAGACCAAGACATCTCACAGAATTTTCATAAATTACATACAAGCCGCCTTCGAAGCTTTGAACGAAGGCAATTCATTAGCTGACTGTTCCGTTATAAGCGGATGCTGTCGTGGCCATCAGCATGGAGGCCGCAGCTATTCCCAAGAAGGCACGCATTCTGGCGAGAGATGAGGCGAAGGGCTGTTTGTAAACGAATATGTCTTTTACAACAATGTATTTGACAGATGTTTATAGTCGTCGGGACTTAATGAACACCTTCGCATAGAGGAGTAGATCCAGGAGTTTTTCTTGAGGGATCAAATTGTACCGTTGTTGTTAAGTGGAGGCATTCAGGATTCGCAAAACACTGCTATACGGCCGTTATCCCTCGAGCAAATATCGGTGTTCACCAGTGATAATAGAGCACTTCTCATGGTTGTCCGACTTGAGAACGTTGGTCTCGCAGTATGCATTCTTACTCGGTCTGTAAATGCTGGAAGCAGATCCTTGAACACCAGTGAAAAGTTGCTCCCAGTCCTCATCTTCAGACAGTATGTATAGCGTTTCCTGCTATGTGCTTGGGTCCTTGTTTTGTCGGTGGCGTCAAGATTCCCCATTAGGCGGCCTACCAGAGCTGAGCTTTGCGCAGTGCTCAACCGTCTTCAGTAGACGCGACTCATGCTAGAACAACAGAACCATGCGGTTTACACGAGAGATGAAGCAGATACAGGAGACAATGTCTCGAACAATCTCCATCTGCAAGGGAAACGATTTGTGTCAAGGCTTTTTGCTTGCAACAGCGTTCAGGCGCAACGGGTTTTCAGCTCACCACGGATTTTCCGCTCTTGGTAAGTCGTCGACGACCTGTCAATTTCATGATCCTTCAGGACCGTACATGTTGGAGATTTTGTCGTTGGCGAAGGATTTTAACCAGAGTCATTTCCAGGCAAAAGACGCTGCGTAGGAAGAGACACCTTCGGGGTGACCGCGACGAAGCTGCGAGAAGTATCTTACTCAGGGACACTGCGGGAACAAGGAGTATACTGTAAGCAGCCTTAAGAAAACTAAAGCAGATTGTTGTACACGCTATGTCTGTTTACCCGCTATAGGCATTCATGGTTGTTGAGAAGAACAGAAATACTGCGATGGTCATACGTGGAACCAGTGTCTCATCAGCGAGCGTGCTAAGCGCCATGTCGTGTGTTATATTGAAACAATGATGGATGAGCGACTCTCAATGACTTGGTAGAGCACATCTAGTCAGATTGTTTTTCCTGTCTCCGGATGTTAAGAGTGTGAATTGACGTTGGTGAAGACAAGCACGATACAAGTCACACTGTTTGATGACCTGGAGAAGAAACGCGACTTGGCAAGATGCCGATGTCGCGACAGCAAGCACTCCTCAGGCTCATCAAGATGCTGTATTCCACAACTCGGTCAGATACAGAAAAGAGAAAAGGACCATCACTCCTCCCTCCAACTGTCATTTGTAGTCCGAGCAACCTTTTATCTGATCCGTAGGAGTTGTTTTATCAGATGCTCTTGCGATTCAGATGTTGTGAAAGGCAGTGCGAGCCGAGAAGCTCGGTTCGCGCTTACCTTTGACTTTTCCAGCCAACGCATTCACCGCTCCACATTTTATCTCGAGGGCTGCTCTAGTTATCTCCCGACCTCGGATATGCGAAGATTGCGACTAACAATGTGTGCTGTGTGGTTTATGGCGCGCCCCTTGCTGTAAAGTTTCTGGTACGATGAGTTGAGGAGTTATAAGATAAGCTCTCGCCCTGATCCTCGTCTCTCATGTCTTTACTACAACTCATATCCCTTCCTCTTCTTTTTCTTCTCCATCCATCAATTGCTGACAGTTGGTGTCTGATATCATGGCCAACCCTCAAAATCTGCCATGGCAAGATATCGCTACCAGAAAGCAGGAGGAGATCTTTGATGCCATTCCCTCGGCATGGGTAGCCGATAAGCATCTGCTTTGTGGCCATAACTTTATGGATCTTCCAAAGAGATGCCCGTCAATCATGTCGAAGGAGGAACTTTTCATCACTGAACAACGAGCTGTAGACATCCTATCTCGCATCCGAGCCAGAACATGGACATCTCACCAAGTGACTCTCGCTTTCTGCAAACGAGCTGCTCTAGCCCATCAAGCCACCAATTGTCTCGCATTGATCATGTTTGACTCTGCTCTTCAGAGAGCGGAAGAGTTGGACGATTACACGCTGAAGCACAACAAAACAATTGGACCACTCCATGGCCTTCCCATCTCAGTCAAAGAGCACGTCTACCTCCAGGACACACCGGCAACCTCTGGCTTGATTTCCTGGGCCGATGCACCTAGTCCAGGAGACGCATTGATCTGTAAGGTCTTCAGAGAAGCAGGAGCGGTCTTCCACGTCAAGACCACGAATCCACAAACACTTATGGCCTTGGAAACACACAGCAATCTCTTCGGCCGCACGACAAATCCTTACAACACCAGTCTCACATCTGGAGGAAGCTCTGGAGGTGAATCGGCGTTAGTGGCTATGCGAGGCTCGCCGCTAGGCATCGGCACAGATATTGGTGGCAGTATTCGCGGTCCGAGTGGGTTTTGTGGTGGTTGGGGCTTAAAGTGCAGCGTAGCGCGTATACCTCACTCAGGACTCAGTGGGTTGCACTCCGGTATGGAGAATATCATTGGTTGTGTGGGACCTATGGCGAACTCACTCGCCGATCTACGACTGTTTTGTGAAGTCGCCTTGGGCGCACGGCCTTGGGACTTTGAGCCCAGTCTCATCGACTTGCCATGGCGAAACGTGACTTCCCAGACTTCGCCCAACAAACTCAGGATAGGGATTTTATGGCATGACGGCGAGGTCACCCCTCACCCACCCATTCAACGCGCCCTCAAGGACACAGTCAACAAGCTCCGAGCTCAAGGACACGAGATAGTAAATTGGGACCCAAGTCTCCACGCCTCATTGCTCAAATGGATCAACACCGCATACTTCCTCGACGGCGGCGAAGAATACAAAAATACTCTGTTGCACGAATCCGACCCTCCAGTGCCCATGATTCAATGGCTCCTCCACAGCACAACACCGAGACGCCACACCGTTGAGCAGACCTGGGAACTTAACAGCCTACGCGATAGATTGCGCACTCAGTTCTCTCTGCAATGGCGAGAAGCAGATATAGATGCTTTGTTGTGTCCTGTAAACGCTTCTGTGGCCTCTGCTCATGACGAAAGCAAGTACTGGGGATATACGGCTGTTTTCAACGCTACGGATCTGCCGGGCGTGGTGTTTCCGGTAACCAAAGTTTTGGAGACTGATACTTGGGCTGAGGATACACCGGCAGTCAAGGGCGACAAAGATGCCATGTACAGAAGATTCTGGGATGAGGGTGGCCCGCAAAAGTATAAGGATGCACCAGTGAACCTGCAGTTAGTGGGAAAGAGGTTAAGAGAGGAGAATCTGTTGGCTGTTGCCGAAGTTGTGGAAGGGGTTATCAGAGGTGTGAGTGATGGCACCAAAAGCGGCAATACGGTGAAGCGTGCTGAAAGGACGGAAATGGTTCAGAGTCGACTGTAGAAGCTGAGAGTCTTGCAGAACAAGTAAAATCATGAGTACATCCGATTATATACCTCCAATTACGATAACATCATTTCATCAACCATTTCAAGCGGTGTAGTTGGGCACAGGCCCATCACAAAGGTTCTCCAAATACTTCAGATCGACATCCTTGACAGCCACTCCATCACCAAAGTCTCTGACCGTGCTCTCGCCCAGAACCTCATACTCCTGCCATCCAGTCTGCTCAATACCAGTCATACCGCCTGCAGTAAATGCTACCCAAGCATCTTGCATGGCAACACTAGTCTGATTCTCCAATGCAGGCCCCTGACCTCTGAAGTTATCAAAAGTGCCAAACAGCATAGGCAACTCCGAGGAATGGTAAGCGCCTAACCAACCCGCGGGCGAGATGTTAGTCCAATTACCGCTGTAGACGTAACGGTAGGTCGGGCGGTTGGTCTGTTGGCGCAAACGGATAGACTCGGTGGCAGGGCAGAAGAAAGTTCGCAAAAGTGCTAGTTGCTCAAGTGTGGCGTTGGGACCAGAAGGGTTGTAGGGAGCAAACGGTGCACCATCTTGAGCGTTTGTGCCAATGATGGCAGGAAGGTTTGCTTGGTTGCCTGCTAGTGCGCGGGCGGTGTAGTTGCTGAAGACCACCTTTTCGTCGGGGGTAGGAAGGAAACTGATGGAAGGCGCAGTGCCATTTTCCTGGTAGTTCTTGACAAAGTCTTCGATGGCCGAGGCAGGCAGTTTGCGTACGCATGTAAGCTCATCTGCAGAAGAAGACGAGTTGGCGCAGCCGAGTTGAGAGGCTACGAAGGTGAAGTTGGTGTGCTGGGGGTCATCGGATGTAATGCCGATGAATGCTGTGCCAGAGTCCATGCTGAAGCCAGACACGATAGGATCCTTCGGATAAGCAAAGTTATAGTAGTCTACGCTAGCACTTCCGGCACTTTGTCCCCAAAGAAGCATACGCGAAGGATCGCCTCCGAATCTGACAATGTTGTCACGCACCCATTCAACCGCTGCCCTCTGATCAAGCAGACCAACGTTCTGGTCACTTAGACCTGCAGCATTAGGGAACCCAAAGATGTTGAGACGGTAGTTGATGGAGACTACGATGTGGTCTTGTGTTCGCTGAATCCACTGGCTCGGGATCTGGTACGGGACGTCTTGTCCTCCAGTAACGAAGCCACCTCCGTAGACCCAGATGATGACCGGAAGCAGTTCATTGCTCTGACACGACTGACTGCCATTACTTGTTGGGCCCCAGACGCTCAGAGTCAGGCAATCCTCACTGATGGCTCCTGTACCATTTTTGCCTTGGAGGCCAAACTCAAGGATCTGATCAACGTATACTCCAGGACTAACAGTATTGAGGTATTGCATGCAGCTGGGAGGTAGTTGAGTGTTGTTGACGACTTTCTTCGAGGCAGAAGCCGGAAGAGGCTGGGGAGGTTCGAAGCGAAGTGCTCCTGTGGGAGGTTGTGCAAATGGTATGCCAAAGAACTGACGGACATTGGGATATCTCGAGTCCTTGTTTCCGTAAACCAGGCCGGAAGATGTCTGTACAGTCAGCTCGTCGGTCTCTACAGCATGCCTCGGCCATGCAAGAGTCCCGACGGCCAGAGAGGATGCTGCGAGTATGGAAGTGAGATGCATCTTGGCAATTGATGTTTGGAAAGAGGTTAGAGCGAAGTCGACCACTACACCCGACCTTTATAGTTGACGATTCAGCGGTCTTCTTCCCACCCACGAGACATTTCGGCTCTTGGATAAAAGCACCAACTCCACCCAACCCCTCTCCGCAAAAAGATATGCAAGATGAGCAAGTCGATCCCTGTTCATGGCGGGGAAACTCTATGAACAATTGATCAACCGAGCCGACGAGCCACCGGCTGAAGTGGTGGTTGATAGTACTGCCATCACTGGTCGGTGTAGGACTAACTATTGGCTTGCTAGAACTGATCATACAGCAGCGACTTTGATATGACCTTATTGCATGTTCGCTTGTAAGTGCGGTAGGAGGTGAAGTCGAGTGAAAAGTGGGGAAGAAGGAGCGACTGCGTGGCTGACTGAAGTTGGCAACATAGACAACGTCATTATGGACGTGGAGAACACCACCTTTCCAGTCACGCCCTACTGTGTCGGCCTCTCTCCCTTACGAAACATCATGCCCATAAGCTATAGAAATGCACAATTGAATTTCAATATAGGGGTGCCATCATGGAGATGCCTGCACACTACCTTCTCTCCGTGGACATCGCTTTACTATAAGAGAGATTGTGCATTTCAATAACTACATTGCGACTGTCTATCAGACATGGGGAGGAGGCGACATCCTGCGACTGCCTTCATGATCTCAGTCAAAAGACACACTGAATTGTAAAAGCGGTTCGGAGAGTCGTGCAACTCAATTCATGAATCCTAGCGGACCGTTCCCTCCGACACCCACCACAGTGGTCAACTCGGCCGTGTAACGTAGTCGTACACATGCAGAAGACGTCGGATATTGCAATGGACTGCTCACCATATCCTCACCATGGGTCATTGGGAAAGTTGACGTTCACGGCTCGGAACCCGCTCCCAAGCAGTAGATGGCTTGCATTTGCATATACCATCCATAGTTACATCTTGGCGGCTAGGCGTCCAATCATGACACTGCAGCCAACGCACTGGTCCAGCCTGGTTCTACACAGCCGCTGACCTCCGTTCGCCCAAGTATCTTCCGGTCAGGTCGCTTTGCTTGAGCAAGATGAATTTGATTCCTGACTTCCAGAACAATCAACTCCGGCGTCAGATTCGTGACGCCAAATGCTAACGGTGGTATCGCCAAAACTTCTGCCGAAAGATCGTACAGCTCCAGAAACTATCTCGTTACCATGGATGACGGTCGCGAAAGGCTCATAAACCATGCTTCGGCGACCCGCAGACGTCCTACCTGGCACATCATAGTCGTAATCAACACCATATTTGCTAGTCTGTTACTGATTGTATATCTTGCGTTTCTGATATGGATATACAACAATCTCCATGTTGAACATGGCGTGGCAGAGGTGTTCAGTGGGAGCTGTTTCCGAGCCTCACAGACAGCAGCATCTGCTCATTTCGCTACAAGTGCTTTTGCGGTCCTGCTCTTTGCTGCAGGCTCACATGCCGTTCAACTCATGCTCTCGCCGACTAGGAGCGAAGTTGAAAATGCTCACGCGCGAGACCGATGGGTACACATAGGTGTCGGTGGACTCAGAAACACCAGATGGATACCAAAACGTAGATTGATCAGGGCGATCTTGCTAACAGCAGCCTCTGTACTGCTTCCTATTCTGTAAGTCTGGCTCAGGCCTCTGTTCGCATTGTCTCATGCTGATGTCTGGGAAAGTCACAATTCCATAGTCTTCACAACTTTGGCAACAACAGACATAACAGCTGGTCTCGTAACCAGCAACTATCTCAAAGGATCTCGACTCGATGCAGCAACGGAGCAATCGATGTTTCTTGCAAAAGCGGAACAGTACCATAACCTCTCAATATCGTCTAAAGCAGCGCTTACCACGATTCGTTACGACGCTCTACTGGAAGAAATTCGAGCCAACTTGACAGATCTAGTTCGCCTATCGCCCGCGGAATGCCGCAGCGTATACTCGTCCTCACGCGTACCCTCCGGGTTCTCCAATGTATTACTCATAAGTGAGTCCAACATCAGCAACACATTGGACGGTTTCGTGGACGTCGAGCTATATTACCCTGAGGTAACTGCTGCTCCCAAGCACCAAGGCACACATATCATCAACTGGTTCAACATGAATGGCACTGCCTCCATTTTTCACACCCATAACCACTGTATCGATACGGATTTTGACTTCGGGAATGGCGATATCTGGAACGTCCCTGTATGGGATTATTATTGCACCGCGATCTCATATCCTGTCGAGTACTGTCTTGCTGAGAATTTCGAGCCAGATTGTGGTGTAAGTCTTAACATTCTANNGTCTTGTATGGCGTGCTTATAAGTCTCCTTGTGGAAGTTGGGTGCTTGTCCAGTCTCGCTTTCTCACGAGGCTTTCGGCCCTNNTTGGTACGTTGTTGCGTTCATATGCTGCAAAATACCGAGTTAATCCTTCTTAGCGACTGTCAACGATGCTGTAGCTAGCTTTTTGGGGCAGCCGGACTCTTCGACCTTGAGCGATGTTATGGTGGCCATTCCCGCGGTCCACTCACCGATGAGTAGATTCGACAAGTTTGGCTTCCGCCGGTCTGAGAAAGACATTGCCTTGTGGAAACGCAAATGGCCAGTCTGGCGAGCAGCAGTTGACACGGAAACCTGTGCCTTCTTCATCAATTGCCTCTTCCTTGCCTTTTTCGCCATCTCGATCGCGGTCCTCATTGTCTACAACAATGACGAGCTATCGAGGTACCAGCCAGTTACACTACAAACTCCGACGTCCACAAGAGGGTTGCTTGCTAATCTGCTTGGTCTCGGCTCCATACACATGGCAATCTCGGTGACATATCTGTTCTACAATCATCTCTGGTCGCGTATGCTTGCCGCCGCCGAACTAAACACCTTCATCAAACTTCGAGCACCTCTGCGCGTGACTCTGCCCGCACCAGGTGCTCGGAGTACATACTATCTCAACATAAAACCTCAATTCTCTGCAGTTCTCATCATTGCTTTGACCCTGGTCCATTTCTTCACCACCAGAGCTCTCAATGTGGTCGCTATACAAACTTACGATGTCATGGGTCGATACTCGCATCAACGCATTACCTATGGCATCTCAACATCCTCGGCGATCCTGGCTCTGCTGTTTGGTTTTGCAATGTTGTGCGCTCTGGTCTTTGGCTTGGAGAAGAAGCTTTATGACAGAATGTCTGTGTTGGGGACTTGTTCGATGGCCATCTCGGCGGCTTGCCATGCCGACGACATTGTGATGTCCTTGCGACCGGTGACATATGGAAAGAATGCAAGGATGGGTAGGATTGGGTTTTTGAGTCGCGAAAGCTGAGGGGATGGTCATTGTTGGCTCATGATAAATGTAGTAGATGGAATCACCCATCTCGCAATTTCATACTTGACTCGGAACGCATCAGTGGAATTCAAGTTTGGCCGGTCGGCGCAACAATACCGAAAACCCAGATGTAGTTGAATTGTGCTATCCTTGTCGGGTGAGCTCAATGTCCTGGGCTCTGATGTCGTTAGCACTCAGCAGTCGTTTGTTGATAGCCATGCAACACAACAAGATATGGGTGTAGCGATTGTCAACATAGTGACAAAAAATTACAGAGTTTTATAACGATAGAAGACCTGAGAGCAGCACTACAACCATAAATAAGTTTATGTAGCTGGTCAGAGCACGAATGCGAGTGCCAAAGAAGATGTGCGAGATGGTAAATGAGCAGGGTGGTAGTCGAGACAAGCTTGCCGCCAAGACCTGTTTGCGTTGCCGCCACAACGCGAATCCTAACCTTGATTTTGCTGCACCAGCCACCTCCTAGCAAACCACCATTCCCGCCTCCAGCAGCAGACATCTATCTCAATCGCCCAGATATCTCAGAGCCAACATTGTAATGCAGTACTGAGTTTCTTATCACCATGTTCAATTACGCCGTCGGGACACCTTGTCCAGCACCGGTCCATGGCGGACGTGAAGTCGCGTCCCCGTTGGAAGTAAACAAAAACAAAAGCATTTTCGACCATGCCTTTGACCAGTTCAACGACAATACCACCCAAAACATTGCACACCTGGTCCAGCAGGAATTCAAAAACGCTCCTCCTCGAAGAACTCAAAACTTGGCAAGAAAACCTAGACGTGCTCCTACCACTATTTTCGAGGATGCCAGCAACAGCCAGCGCGAGTCGTACCGACGCGACGAACCCGCTGGAATGATGAGAAGCAGCGCAATTCATGCCAGACCAGCTCAGAGGATTCGCATTCAGACTTCCAAGGAAGAGAAGCCGGCTCCTCTCCCGACAAGCAGTACCAGCGATATCGCAAATTTCAAGCCCACAATCAGCACAAACAGGCCTACGAACGAAGACAGAAGGCGAACCATTTGGATCCCGGAAGACACAACATTGCTTTCAATTCATCCTGGAGCATATGACCACACCCTGCGTGATGAGACGATTGGCCTCCCTTCGAAAGATTTGGATCTCACGCCTATGAAGAAGGACCCGCAGCCTGCTCGTTTGGGAGCCAGTGCAATGAGACAGGCTCAGAAGATGGCATCTGCTTCAAGACGCGATGCTCTTCGGCCTCTTGCTCCGTCCCAGCCCAATATATCACATAGCGTGATGGGTACTGGTGGCGGCAAGGAGAATATGCTCCCAGGTGCTCTGCTTTCTCGAAATGGCAAGGGTGAGAAATCTCTGATCAAACCAACGAGTAAAGCTGCACCTCTAGGAACCAGCAAGTCACAGTCATCTTTGGGACAGGCGACGCTTGGTTCAGCTAAGACGAGCAGCGTCAAGAAGCGATCTGCACCCGAGCTGAAGGATGCTCCAAAGCCAAAAGTTCAGGCTAGGGCTCTTCACGAACGATCCAATGTCCGCAACGAAGTCATGCCTCGATCTGGGAATCTGGATCCGTTCTCCAGGGACTTCAAACACAAGCCGTTTGCACCCTCAAAACAAGTCAACAAGTCTTCAACAATCAGACCTGTTTCGAGCACCATCATGTCGAAGGATGTTGGTCCACCCTCGAGCACTGTACCATCGCGGGAGGTCTGTCTACCAAACGTCAAGCGTTCCGTATTTCTTGCCGCGTCACGTTATCCTGTGTTGAGCGATGACTTGGGTCAACCTGAACTGTACGAGGACAACTGGCTTCAGAACCAAGAGGTTGCTTTGACACAACTCGTCAATGTGGTCTTTCAACAAGCCGAAGAATCACCTACCGTGCAGTGTGTGGCTGCTATACGTAGCAAGATGCTGGATCTGTACCATGACGCGTCAGTAGCCACCCTACATCAGCGTTTGAAAGCCTCTCTGTCGTGCGGTGCACTCAGCATGCCAAAGGAAGCTCCACACTCCCCCAAACTCAGAGACGATATTGGCCTTCGCCGCCAATTCTTCGACCTCTTTGGCAATGCTTACAACCCTGCAGTTCTGCAAGCCGCTGCCGAGGTAGTAGTAGGACGCGTCATAGCTCCTGCTGCCAATAATACACAGGCAAAACTCGGTGCGTCTTCCTCAACTGGTGTCAAGGAATGGAAGCGTTTCTGTTCCACATTTTTTGTTGAACACGAGGACTCCGCCGAGCTGTTCAACACCCACAAGTCATCAGAAGATTCTGCAACACAGCCTGGCACAGCTGAGTGGTTCTGGCAGCGGACTGTCCTACGTGGCCTCATGCTTATCCATCTGCTTGACCAGGTAAAAACTACCGGCAGCCTACCGACATGCTTGTTCCAAGCATCTTCGCCTCACAAATCATCCATTAGTGTGCTGCGCGAGTTTGCAAAACTCATGGTACCCTCTGTTGGAGATATCTCCCGTCCTCTCGGACATCTTGGATACTCGGTTTGTCACTCACAAGAACCATTGGAGGAGTACACATACCGCATCGATAATCTCGCTGTCGATCTTCGTGATGGCGTCCTACTCACACACTTTGTTGAACTTTTGTTGTATCCTTCCCGAAGCCTGGATGATCGATCAGACCGCACTATTACTCTTGAACTTCCTGACGGCGCGATACTTACTAGCTTTTTGGATACACATACGACAACCCGAATCCTGAGCCAGCACCTCAAATTCCCCTGCATCAGCAAAGCACAAAAGATGCACAATGTTCAGGTTGCATTGAGCGCATTGGCTGGAGCTCGTGGCCTTGCCGGCACTGCTATTGAGACGATCAAGGCCGAGGATGTTGTCAACGGCCACAGAGAGAAGACACTGAGCCTCCTCTGGGCATTAGTCAGTAGATGGGGACTCGGATATCTGGTCAGCTGGGAGGAGCTCAAGAAGGAGACTCTGCACTTCTCAAAATGCTCGACTCAGCCTGTTGGAATCAACTACGCTTTGAATGAAGCTCAGCCAGATGCAAATGAGCAAGGACCTTTGCTGAAGGAGTGGGCTGCAAGTGTATGTCAGCAACACAAGGTCATCGTCACTAATCTGACAACCTCGTTCGCCGACGGCCGCGCCCTAGCAGCTATCATCTCGACATATGCCGATTATGTACCGGCGACAATGAAGAAATCATCGAGCAAAATGTCGACTGCCGACAGACTTCGCAGCCTTGGGTGCAGTGAAGCCTTCATTGTTCTCTTCGCCTCGCAAGCGACAACAATCCCCAGTCGCAGCAACACGATCGCCCTTCTCGCCTTCCTTGCCTCTCGCCTACTACCTCTGGCCCGCACACACAGAGCTGCCTGTACCATCCAAACCGCCTACCGTCTGCGTCTTGCTCGCCGCGCCATATCTTTGCGTATTCAGAAGATGAAGGCTGCCACCGATTGCGCAGCCGTAGCCGCAAACAAGCAAAGAGAAGTCGAAGCAGCAGTGATTTTGCAAAGAGCTTGGAGAGCAGTCTTGGATCGTCGTATCGAGTGTTTGGAAAGAGATGTTATGGCTTTCCAGTCTTTGACCAGAGGATGGGGTGTCAGAAGAGCTACTGCAGGTGTCTTGGGTAATGGTTCTGGAAGAAGAATTATGGGTGGTTGGTGATCTGGATTGATACTGAGCGGATGCTTTTGACCAGTTCATTGGTTTCTTTTTGATGATTGGTCGAAGGACATCTTGTCCATTGTTCGATTGGTCCTTTTACTTCTTATTTTTTTCGTGTCTTCTTGTTTCTTGTTGGTCTAGACTTCTTTCTGACGACTTTATGATTTTCCATCTTGCAGAGCTCACTCTCGTGCCTTCACTGTGACAACAATAACTTTGGACTTGCAGGTTACATTTCGTCGCAAGGTTAAGACAAGGTCTCGCGGGACGTAAGGAAAGAAGAAACGACACTCAAAGCTGTGAGAAACGGTCAACGAGGTAGCGGCGAACGGGTGGAGGTGTGGGCGGAGTGGACTTCCCGAGGCTTGACCTGCAGGCTTTCAGCCGCGCTCGCTCGTGTCCCAAACTTTTGGGGGCAACCACCCGTCTGCCGCTGCCCACGTTTTCCCCATCGCAACCATCAAGGTTTCCAACAGGGACAGTGCTCTTTTGAAAATAATCTCGTGTTGAAATCCAGAAGGTAGATGTGGGTGCTTGGATGGGAGATGCAGCGAGGCAAGTGTTTATAACGCTCTTGCAGTATTTGTGGTTCTAGTTGCTTGTGGTCGAATCGTCCAAGTCGTGTCTTTGCGTCCTCTCACTCTCGAACGCAAGCCACATTCTCCCAAGTCCCAAGCAAGATCTTTGATCTCTCACAAGGATTGTCGCCGAGAGGCTTAACCTTAGCTTGGCCTTGCGTTCTCACTGACTCTGTCTAGCACGAACGGTTCTAGAGCTCGGGGAGACCGCGAGTGTGTGTGTGTGTTGGAGGGTTTGTGGCGTTGGCGAAGCTTGCCCACTTGCACCTTAGCACGTCGCAAGCACGCCATCTACATTGGTTGCCATAGGTTATCTCGCATATTCTTATCTTTTGAATCTATCCCAAATACCTGGGCCCAGTAGTTGTCCAGAGATGGATTGAAGCAAAACGTGAGATGGTGTTTTTCGGTCTCGGCTAGCCTTTTTTGATCAAGGTATATCTAGGTGCCAGCCCTGCAGATTGATCGACCTGCTCTTTTTGTAGATCTTTTTGTTCTATTCCTTCTTTTCTTTTTGATCCTTTTCACTGGAGAGATATAGCAATCATGTCGGCGACACATGATATAGCATATGAGGAGAAGCAGGTGTATGATGCTACCGTCCATGATGTACCCAGCGATGGTGCTTCCTCCATTGACACCATTACTGCTTTGGTGAACGAAGGTATGATATCTCGACTCCCCGATCTGACCTCTACCCTCATAGCCTCTCGAGCCAATTCACTAACAATGTCTGCCTCGCANGACCACACCCATGAAATCAAACTCCGTACCATGAGTTGGCAGAAGTGCGCGGCTCTACTTTGCGGTGATCAGGTTTGCCTGGCAATCATGGCACAATCTTGGTCTCTGTCTGTTCTCGGCTGGGTTCCTGGTATCATCACCATGCTGGTCTCTGGAGTTCTGTTCTACATCACCTCGCTCACGATGCACAAATTCATCATGAAGAACCCTTCGATCCGCGACATTTGCGATTTTGGATACTTTGCGTTTGGAAAGAGTCGTCTGGCCTACGAGTTCACAGGATTTATGTTACTCGCCAACAACATCCTCCTCATCGGCTTCCACGTCCTCACCGGCGCAAAGATCCTCAACACACTCAGCGACCACAGCATGTGTACCGTAATCTTTTCGGTAATCGTCACCATCATGGGAGTGGTGATGAGTGTACCCAGAACGCTGAATCATGTTTCGTTCATGAGCATGTTTAGTGCTGCATGCATGGGAATTGCCATTTTGCTGTTCCTCGTGTTTGCGGGTATCGAAGAGGCGCCTGGGTATGGGTACAATGGTGTTTATCCCAAGGCTGGTGCTGTAAAGACTTATGCTTTCCCACCGGCGGGGACTACGTGGGTTGCTTGTATGAATGCGGTAAGTTTGTATTGTCTTGATTTGTGTTTTCCACAGGGGGTGCTGACAATGTGGTATGATTAGGTACTTAACATCACTTTCCTTTGGGTACCGCAAATCCTCTTCCCGAGTTTCATCGCCGAAATGGAAAGACCGCAAGATTTCCCCAAGGCCCTGGCTGTTCTGGCAGGCATCTCTGGATTCCTCTTCATCGTCCCTCCAGCCATTGGATTCAGATATCTCGGACAATACGCTACCGCACCTGCATTCGGAAGTCTGGGCGTGGTGGCTTACAAGAAGGCTTCGTTTGCCTTTGTCATTGTGCCTACACTGGTCATTGGAGTCATCTACGCCAACGTCTCTGCCAAATTCGTCTACCACCGCATCATGGGCAAGTCTCGCCATGCCCACTCCAACACCGTCATCGGTTGGGGAGTCTGGGTCGCCGTCATGGCAGGAATCTGGCTCGTTGCCTTTATCTTTTCCGAGATTGTGCCTAGCATGGGAGACTTTTTGTCTTTGCTTGGTGCTGCGTTTGACTCGTTTTTCGGATTCATCTTTTTCGCTGTGGCGTACTGGCAGATGTACAGCGGTAAGCTGTTCAGCAATGCGTCGAGGAGCGTCATGACCGTTACTCATGTGTTTATCATGATTTGTGGGTTGTTCTTGTTGGGACCTGGGCTGTATGCCGCTGTCGAGGCCATCATTTCTGATTACTCGAGTGGCACTCGTCCTGCCTTTGCCTGTGCAAACTTGTCGATTTGAGAAACGACTCGAGCAGAGATGGGGATATGGCGTTCCTGGGCTGCTTTTTGGACATGCAAGATGTGTAGACATCTCCAATCTTATATTGTTTTCCTTCTTCAGTCTTTTGTCTTTCTCATGATCCTGACAATGCACAGTTTTTCCCAGCCAGCTTTTTTNNTGCCAGAGGTGCCTACAGTCTCGGCTTCCCAGCCACAGGGCCATTGTCTAATCCTGTTCTTGATATCTTCAGGCTTGTTCTGGGCGCAAAACAAGACATATGCGACACCTCTTTGACTCAAGACTCGCGGTATTTCGTCCAGCAAGCGATCGGTGACTTCCATGCCATCGATACCGCCAGCATAGCTCAAAGCCAGAAGATGCGAGTCGCGGTCGAAAGCCTCTGATGAAGTCAACCCGTCGGCAGTGTTGTATTTTGCATGTAGACTCAGGTCCGGCAGTTCGGCAGGGACATACGGCGGGTTGAACACCAGTACATCAACCTCTCCGTCTTTGAGTGCAGACGTCAGGTCGGCATTAGCGACAGTCAAGAATGGCGCAGCTTGATTGTCGCAAGCCTTTCGCACAGTCTTGGACGCAGCAATGCAAGCCCGACGATTGAGATCAGTGCCTAGAGTGCAGATGGAGCGATCGAATATGGTGGAGCTGTTGGCAGCGAGAAAGGCGAGAACGACACCACTGCCAGTGCCGACCTCGACGACTAGCGGCGCATGACTGGAGCGAAAGTGCGAGTGCAAAANAGCGGTTTCTGAGGGTGAGGAGAGCGTGTCGAGGAGGAGGTATGAGTCTTCGGCGGGTTCGTAGATCTGATCGTAGTCGACATGCGACGTGTCTGGTGTGGGAAGCATCGTTTCTGCTGAAGGATGGAATGTACAAATAAAACAATGACAAGCTTCGGGGGTGTCTGCGGAGAGTTCGCGATCGGCGAATGCCGAGGCAGTTTCGAGGTGACGCAACCATCGTCTGCCATTCGAAGTGTTCAATTGTAAGGATATACCCAGTCACAAACATGCGCGCAGCTTCACGTCTTCTAGCAAGAGCCAGTACCGTAGGCACGCCCTCCGGCGGCCTCGGTGTCGTTCCCAACGCCCTTCTCCCGCCAATTCCGCTCTACCGCCGTGTACTCCGTGGACATCGCAAGCATCTGCCACCAGAGATGCGTGTATTGGGCGACGAATACGTCAAGAGCGAGTTCCGGGCACACAGAGGCGTCGACAATCCTATCCACATCGTAAGCCGCCACCAAAGCATCGAGACAAGCAAGCTGGAACAAGAAAGAGTCATGGAGACTGACAAGACGCTANNGATCGGTTTCCTCACAGAATGGCAAGGATACGCTCAACAGATTGAGGGCGAGAAGTGGAGAGGAGATAAGATGGACAAGGCAAAGATTGACAAGATGAGTGGTTCGTATTTTGTGTCGGAGTTTGTTCAGCTGTAGCCATACTGACGCCTCGATNNAGACGAGCAGATTGCCCAGATGTACGAGCTGATGCAAGCCATCAGAAAGCAAGAGCTGGAAGACAACGATCCCGAGTTCCAGGCTGCTACTGGCCAGGATTCCGACAAGCAAAATTAGACGACCGTAATGATACCCCTGTTCATAACCGACCTATTGCTCCATCTACTTCCGACGTGGGTCTCGTGTAGTGAATTGGTTGCGTATAACGACCTGAGCAGAGAGTCTGCAAGAGACTGGAATTGGAGACGTGCCTCGTCTGTGACAAGGGGGTTCCGGGTACAAGATGAATGGTCACCTCAGAGCTCTTCTTCCTCTCTCGGACCAACCTTTGCTTTCAAAGACTCTTTCCTGCCAGCTCTCCAGGCCTTGTCCCATACATCAACCTTGCCTCCAAGAAGTTGAGTGCTATTCGGATCGAGTAAGACAACACCTCTGGCAATCGTCATGTTTTTCAAAATGAGTTTTGCGCCAATACTCAGATTCAAGTCGATGCCGTCAACGTCAGTGACTTCGAAGCCGTATATCTTTGTTCCTTTGGCGTCCTGTAAAAGTAATTTGTGTGGACCGTTACTTTTGATGATTGGAGCGGTGCCATCTCTGGCTGGGTCGGCTTCTTCGCCAGGCACGACACGGATGACTTCCCTGCCTTTTGTAGTCTCACCGCGTTCTTGAGCCTCGATAGCTTCGACTTGGCTCCAAGCGCTGCGTCCTATATCTTCAATATCAAGAACCTGAACAGGTATGCTATCTGGCACGCGGAGTTCCTTGACTGTAGAATTGAGAGCATTTGGTGAGAGAGTGTTGGTTGGAGTGGCTTTGATTGATGAGGTGAGATCCGAAGCCAGTATGCGGAATAGAGCCGTCTTTTGGAGGGCTGGTAGAGGAAGTCCTTGACGACTTGAACTGATGAAGGTATCAATCCATGCTTGTGTAGCAGAGAGACCCTTTGATTCTAAAAAGGTCTTGACAGCCGACTGGGCCATGATGAGAAGATTATGTTGAAAATGTCCTCGGCATGAAATCAGTCGTTATGTTGAGTGATAGGCGTGTAGGCGTGGCAGACGAATACCAGATCAACCAAGACGAGACATGGCAGTCAGCTTCCTGCTGTTTGACTGGCGGACAGGCGGAGCAGCTGAGGGCTGAAACGACTTTCAATGTCAGAACGTTGATGTCGAGGCGGTGGATGATCTGGTCGTTGTCCATCCATGAAGTCACGCGCACCGGCCATCTCCGCGAAACATGGGGGTGCATGATTGATGATTTGATTGTTCTTTGATATCTTCACGTCTTCCACACTGCTCACCTGGACTGTTCAGCAGGCGCCTTGCCTGTCTTCCGACCGCACATCTCTAACTGCGTCTTCTCGTCCACCCCGTCGCCGTAACAGCCAGACCAATAAGCCTACCTCTTTCAACCACCCACCTCGTATTCACGCCCAAGAACCCCGCCATCCTTCCTACGACTCTTGCATACCCTTCCTCAGCATGGCCGACTTCATAACAAATCTCTGGGAAGCCGTCTTCACTCCCGGCCCCACTCCCACCCTCTTGCTAGCCACCAACATCACCTTTGCCGCTCTCCAGCTCGTCCTCGCCGGTCTCCTCGCCGCTACCTACAGCATCCACTTCTTCATTCTCAGCACCTTGTGTGGTGGTCTCTGGTGGGCCATCAACTGGTTCGCCTACGAGTTGCAGCAGGCTCAGCAAAAGGAGGCCGAAGCCGAGCGCATCAGAAAGTCCAGATCAGGAGGTAGCACGCCCAAGAAGTCGTCTTCACAGCCTGGAGATATGGCCGACGACGAAGCCACCGAGACCGAGGTCGAGACTGCTGCTGGTGTCAAGGTCAACGTGCCACACGCCGAACTCGACTTCAACCCTACCCAGGAAGACGAACAGATTAGATCCAAGATCCTCAACGACTTCAAGAGCGGCACGGCGTCGACGACTTCAGCCAGTACGACTGGCCTGCAGCGCCCGGAAGGAGAGAGCAGACAGCGCAATGCTACCACCGATCTGAGTGCTTCGTCTACCGACTTTGGCACCGACAGCGAGTGGATCAAGGTTGACGAGGAGTGATTTGTTTAGTGTTGCATCTTTGGCATGGTTTGGTTTTGGATGGAGTTTTGATCCTGTAGCATTCCTGAATATACCCACCTCGAGAGCAATCGCATGACCAAGGTATTCAACACCTTGATCGAAGAAACATTGGAAGATTGTATTGATGAGTCCTGTCGGCATGCATTTCGGCGGCTCCATATCACGCTCTTAGATAGTTTTCTCTCACCAAACAACAAGACCTTCGAGACGGCAATGTCACTTTTGCGCCCTTGTACCGTTCATGAAAAAGACTGTCCTTCAATCCAACATCTTTTTCTTCTTCTAGCATTCATCAAGGTTGCACGTGATTTGCCAACGGAGATGGTTGCCAAGGAACGGACATTGGGAAGGAGCGTCACAGCGCAAGTTGCCGAGTTGAGAACGACTGCGAACGCGACGGGCAGCAGGTAGCAGCAAGCATCAGCAACCATCCACCTTGTCCAGAATCCTCCCACAACAAGCGCGCATTTCTTAACTGAACCAGTGCGCCCAACATGAAGCTCGTCAGGTGTGTTCTCTTTCCGCCGTCGCCCGTCGGTGCGCTTTCTGCTCATGTCGCAACACAGCTAACACCCGCCCAGGTTTTTGATGAAGTGCCAGAATGAGACGGTGACTATTGAGCTCAAGAATGGTGCGTCTTCAGCAGTCGCGCATATCCAACATCATCACTGACACACATTCACAGGCACAATTGTCCACGGAACCATCGCATCAGTCTCTCCACAAATGAACACAGCTCTCCGAACAGTCAAGATGACCCCCAGGGGCCGTGACACCATCAGTCTGGATTCCATGAACATCCGCGGCGCAACCATCCGTTACTACATCCTGCCCGACTCGCTACCCCTGGATACGCTTTTGATCGACGACGCCCCCAAGCCCAAGAACAAGGCCCGCAAGGAAGCTGCAGACAGAGGTGCCCGTGGAGCAAGAGGTGGCGGTAGAGGACGTGGCATGGGTGGTGGCCGTGGTGGCGGTCGTGGAAGAGGTCGTGGCGGTAGAGGCTTCTGATCAACCAACCACAACGAGCCGGACTAAGAACGACCATTGTTTGGACGCGACCTCGACTCGAATCAATCCGTCCTGGACCAAGCAGACGGCCAGAACGTCAACATACCACCAATTGTGCCCAACATTTGCGCGACCAGGAAATCACCACAGACCGCCACGCCAAAGGCTCGCTTTGTCGTCGCAGCAGACCCGGCCATTGTCGCCGAATGGAAAGTCTTACCAAGGAACCCTTCGACCAGCGCATATTCAAGGTTGTTGCTTCCCTACTTTTATGAGCCTCAGAAAAAGAAATGCAATTTCATTCATGATCAAAACCCTATGGGTCTTTCTCCTTGTTTCTATCTGAACCTGTACTGACCTCAGCACACTCCATACTCGTATTGTGTTTGCCTTTCTCTTTGCCATCATCCCTTGAATGTGTTCGCTTGTCTAAGGTAAAGCTTCCGGTTCTCACCCGATGACATGAACTTGCAGATATCGATGCAAGACTGCCTGGAGATATGCATACTGCTTGGTCTATGCCATCTCCACGCTTCCCAGAAGACGTCGAGTCGTCACTGTAGAGCGTGGCTTCAGTCGCGCACGGACCATACACAACCTCATCGTCACCATAATAAAGAAGTGAGGGTACGGGTGTTATCTGTACCCCAGAAGTACAGTAACGAGGAACAAAGCTGCAGAGCTGTATCTACCTGTCGTGGTTCGTGTCCAGTCAAAGCGGTACACAAGCTTGCACTGACCTATGGCTACCACAATGTTACCATGTCGCAGAGCTTTTTGTCTCATTGATAGCAAGCAACGCCCTGCGCCAAGGTATACACAGAGTATGCTTGACCGAGCATAATGTCAGAGCAACCAGCCCAGACGACTGATTCTACCTCCGCCGGAGTATCAACAAAGTGACGATGGCTGCTCAACTGACGGCCGCGAAGTCAGCAGCATCGTCACTTTGTTGATACTAGCCACCGTGTCGTCATACCACCGGCTGACATATCGCTGCCGCCTCCTCATTGGTCCGGCCATCCAGGGCTCGTAATACCGGCTGCGAGGTAGCCAGTCAACGCAAGCCGGCATCTCCCAGAGCAGCACGCGGTGATTATCATAACAATCCGCTTCACTACCATCCTCGTCTTGAGATCGGCGCGGTATCAATCTTTTCTACCTCTCGCACACCAAATCCACACCAATTTTTGGTATACTTTGTTCCACCTTATACCCTCTACCCTCTTTCACGAATACACACCAAGTACAACCGTAAACATGGCTCCCACTCTCACCGATCGTGAGCAGGAGCTCCTGGGCCATTCCTGGCAGTCTATGGAGACTCTTCCTGTGGTAAGTACCTGCGCCTCGTCGCTGCCTACATATCGACTTCCATCATGATGCTCTCTTTTGGCGGCGGTTGCTGCTATTGGCTTCCCCTCGTCAACCTTCTCTTCTGACTATCGATCCCTTCCAATGCCCATCCCTCGACGATCTCACACCCTCAATCCCATGAGATCGTGTATTAATATCTCCTGCAGATTGATCTCGATAAGCTCGCTCGCTTGGGTGGTTACAAGACCAGAGCTTCCGCCAACACTGCCTACCACAAGCTTAAGGCCAAGCTTCTGAGCATGAACAAAGCCGAAGACGAGGATGAGGATGGTAATGCTGATTTCGACGCCGACGCTGAGGACACTCCCGTCGCTTCATCCTCCGCCGCCAAGAAGGGCCGCGGTAAGAAGACTGCTGTCAAGGCTCGAGAACCCGAGACCGATGAGGACGACGAGTCTGAGACCGTCGCCGTCAAGCCCAAGCCCAAGGGCAAGGCTACCAGAGCCGCTGTCGCCAAGGCCGGCACCACTAAGCCTGTCCCCAAGCGCCGCAGCACCCGTAACTCGATGAAGGCCAGCAAGTCTCTGGCCAAGGAAGAGTCGTCCGAGGACTCTGAGGAGGAGGAGGCTCCCAAGCGCATTACCCTCAAGCATGGTACCATCAAGTACCCCAAGACCGAGGATGTCGCTGCTGTCCTTGGTGCTGCCCAGGACCCCGCCGCTGACTCTGAGGTATGTTTTTTGTTTGACCTCTACACTATGCCAACGCTTACCACTCTCCAGAATGTCGCCGCCACCAACAACGTCTTGAAGCGTGCCGCCACCGAGCCTGGCAGTGACTTTGAGGAGTTGGCCGAGCCCAAGCGTGTCAAGGTCGAGCCCACTGGTACCGTCGTCGAATCTGTTGAGGCCACCACCGTCGTCGTCTCCACCGACCCTCCCGTCGAGACCTATGTCGTCGCCGACCCCGACGCCGTCGATGTCACCACCGACATCACCATGGTTACAGAAGATGGCTCTGATGGCGTTGACGTTCCCTCTGATGTCGCCTCCGCTGCCACCAGTGTCGATGCCCATGACATTTAAGCTACAGTCACACAGGACAAAAGATGGAAGTGATTGTCTTTTCTTCGGGCTGGGCGTTCACAGGTTTTTGGTCTTTCTCGTCGTCGTCGTTGTTTCTGGTCGTTCGTTTCTGGGTTTCTCGCCTGGGATAGGTAGTTGCATTTACTACAGTTGAATGACCGAACTCTGCTGTGCTTGATGCATGGCTTTCTACTCTTGATATCGATTTTTACTGTCGTGATTGCTTGTGTTCCTCGTCGTTCTTTGTGGCTTCTTATCTACTACTTCCTTGTAATCCATTCATTCATCCTTTCAATCTTAATGTCGTTGATGAACACACATTGTCTCAGCTATGTCGAATGACTATCATGATTCGTTTGAAGGCACCAGTATCGTGTCTCGCTGTAATCACTACCAACTCTTCTGGCTTTCACCTCCCCTACCCCTCATCTCTTCTGGTCTCCAACTCTTCTGGCTCTCACCTCTGCACACTTGCCTCTTCTCGGCCCTGGTCCAAAACCATCTTCTTTTCCTGACCCTTCTTGCCCTAATCTCATCCACTTTGCAACAATGCCGTCCTTCTTCGATCTACCGCCCGAGATCCGCATGATCATCTACAACATACTGCTTGAATCTCCATTCGCAAACAACACACGCATCCTCTACAGCGCCTATGACTATGACGCCCTTGAGTGGCCATGGATACAGAATGCAAAACGGATCAAACAACCCTACCGCATGACTCGCGGAAAGTACATCAAATTCCTCGACAGCGATTGCTCGACCGCTTCGATGGCAAACAGGGCCGGTTGCAGCATTAACTTCGCCGACATCGACGGCCTTCTCTTCCTTGCCAGTACCTGCCGCTTGCTCAGATCGGAAGTCCTTGCCATAGCTTGGTCGAATGCGGACATCTGGGTCAAGTTATCAACGCTAGCCTCAGACCTCGACTGTATCTTCTACCAACGTTTGTCAGGGGGAGGTTGGTGGTATCATTCGCACCTCTGCAGATTCAGGTGGAGGAGAAATATTGGCGGTCGCAGGACATGAATGATCTTGTTGTGCTCATCCGCAATCGGCTTCCTCAACTCGAGCATTTGACCGTCAATGTCATCATCGGAGAACTTGTACCTGATCCTCCTGCTCAGGCTCTGGCTGGTTTGGAGAGTCTAACTCTGCACGTCACTGTCAAGCTGCAGCATCAAGTCGTTACAAAGTGGGTGTACTCACAATTCGGCCCTCAGCATAAGGCTCGGGATTGTCTGGACATCATGGACGACAAGAGAAATACATGTCTGCATGACTTGCGGGCTATGTTCAGTCCGAATTCTCCAGAGTTGCAACGAGGAACAGGTGAAGAGAACTCGGGAGGAGAGAGGATGGAGCTTCTCGGAGGTACGACTGAGATGCGACCTCATGCGGTTGGTTGACTCGGCTGCAGATGCCGACTGGAGTCAATGGGCAAGATTCATTTCTCAGATCAATACTTTGGATTTCAAAGGTTGTGCTCTGTATTTGGAGGCAGGAGAGTTGGGCGCAAGCAGGTACGGCTGAGGAAAACCTCAAAACCGATTCTGCTTTACATCTTCAAGGGATGAGGCAGAACACCAGCAGAGTGCAAGGTGGTATTATGATGACCACTTAACACGTCGTCAAGAAGGCACGGGAGGAGGTTGGTCGGGGTCGAGACTTTCATCTGTATCACATGCGAAACGCCCCACGACGTCACCCTCGACAGCTTGCGCCACACCACAAAACACGGCAAGAAGAGCAAGGAAAACCAAACCCCTCCATCATACCTTCTAGAAATGCTACATATCACTACTTGAATTTCTCCTAAGCACCCTACCAATCCTTCCCTTCCACATCTGAAAACATCCATAAAAAAACAAAACACACATGCAAACAATAAACATGTCCTCTTACTTTGACGTCCTCTCCTGGACCCGCGCACGAAAAAACCGCGAAGCCCTCGAAAAGACAAACCCCCAGAACCCCGTCTTGAACGTCGATGATGAGGAATTTTTACACAGGATAACCAGTCAAGAAGCTCCAGCACCGCCACTGCCTACCATCGAACCTACAGTCATTGATGACGAAGGCAATGAAAAGCAGGCTGATGTGACGCAAAAGGAAGCTGCTGAAATGATTCTGCCCGCGAGTCCTGGTGAAGAGAAGGGAAAGAGGACGTGGGCGAGCTATATTCCGAATGTCGGTGTGCCGAGTGTGCCGGCGATTCCTGCTATGCCATCGTTGGCTTCGTTGAGGGGGCAGAAGGGAGGTGTTAAGACGGAGNNGAAAAGGAAGCAGTGAAGGCCGAGGATAGCGAGACCAAGACAGAGGCTGTCACAGAAGAAAAGGACGCATCTGTTGAGGAGCCTGCTGAGGCTGCTGCACAAAACGATGAGAGTGAAGCAGCAGACAAGGTCGAGGAAACAGCTGAGGCTACCAAGGAGACCACCCATGAGACCAAGGACGAGCTCACCAACGACTCGAGACCGTACGCAGAAGCCGCGNACTGGCAAGGAGCCCGAAGACACACCCCAAGAAGACACCACATCGAAGCCTGAAGCCGGATCGAACGAGGCCGTGTCAAACGACGAGGCCGACAACAAGGACGAGACCAGCGACATCAAGAATGCACCGACAGACNNACCAAGGACGAAAAGGCCGCCGAATCCTCCCAGCGCACCTGGGCCTCCTATATCCCCGCCGTTCCAACTTTCGGCCGCACCAACAAAGCCCAAGACGCAGCCGAAGCAGCGGCCGCCTCCCAGACCCCCGAAGCCAAAAGAACAAGATGAACGCGAAGTCTCCGTCCTGCTCGACCGCCTCAACCTCTCCGCCATAAACAACCGCGTCTTCAGTTTCAGCGACCAATCTCAACGCCTCTACTCCGAATTCACTTTGATCCTCAAGGACATCGTTAACGGCGCACCCACAGCATGGGACGACCTAGAAACTCTACTCAAGGAGAACGAAAAACACCTCGAGCAAATGTTTAAGAACATGCCTCCATTCGTGCAGACGTTGGTCAAGAGTCTACCCTCCAAATTTGCTACATCCATGGGACCAGAGATCATGGCAATGGCGGGCGACAAACCCGGCAACGATTTGAAGAAACAAATGGAAGCCGCCAGCAACGTTGCCTCCTCCTCTACTTCTGCAGCCAACATGCCCAACCTTGACCTCAAGAAGAAGCAAAAGAGAAAAGTGCCAAACATCAAAGACTTGGCTTCCCAAAAAGGCACCGTTACCACCATGTTGACCAACATTGTCAATTTCCTCAAAGTCCGGTTTCCGGCCTTTGTCACTGGAACGAATGTAGTGATGAGTTTGGCCGTGTTTAGTAAGTCTTTTTTGCCTCTTCCCATCTTACCATCTCGCGAGCTTTGACTAACCACCCCCATAGTCCTACTCTTCGTCTTCTGGTACTGCCACAAACGCGGCAAAGAAGTCCGTATGCTCAAAGCATCAGAATCTGCGAGACAATCAGCCAACGTCTCTGAACTCGAAGCTTCGTCCTCGGAAGACGAAGATGAAAAACAACAAGACACCAAAGAAACAGAATCGGAGACGGTGGATGAAAGACAGGAATCCGCGCAAGTGGAAGCAGAGTCTGATACCGAAGACGTCAAGATTGCCAATGCAAAGGAATACGCGGCTGCTATGCGTAGAGCTACGGTNGGGGGACCCGATAACGCTGCTGCGCTGAGGGCGAAGAAGATTTTGGAGTCTTGAAAAAGGCCGGCTACAAAGTGAGTAGCGCCACTACAAGAGGAAGGGGGACAAAGGACAAAGGACATGACTGACGAACACGAAACACGAACTGGTAATGAGAAAACACGGCAAATGCCTCGTCTTGGTTTTATTCGTTTTTTTTTGGAATTTGGTTGCCCCCCAAGCGTTAGGTAATGATGGTTCGTGACTTGCTTCTTTCGTTTGTTGAATTTTTCTCGTTGGTTTCTATTCAATTTTGATCACCTCTCCTTCTTTGATTGTGTCCTTCTTCAGCTTGAAAACGTTGCTGTTGTGCCTGTGACCAGGTAAAGAACATCGGTTGACTAGAACTGACACCATCGCAATGATTCAAGAAAAGGTCCGCCTCGACACCACGTAATCAACAAGCAGCAGCAGCACGACAATGCAAGAACTGAACGATGGATTGAAGCTGGATCTTTTTGTATTGAAAGAATCTCGATTTTGGTATCATTTTGTGAATAGTGTGGTGTGGTCCCCCTTTTGTCCCCACCCAATTTTTTGAGCACCTTCGCCATGCCTAATAGAATGCCATACGCTTTTCGAAACAACATATTAAGATAAAAAAAAATACCGCGAGCAAAGTAGACAACTCGTCCGCGTATGTTCTCTTTCCCTTTTAATATCTCTCCCCATGTGCCGGCGCTCTGATAAACCCAAGAGCTCCTCTGTGACGGGAGGAAAAGTAAGTAAGAAGAAAGAAAGAAAAAAGTAAGAAAAAGAAGAGCTGAAAAACAGAATCTCGTTAAAGCGTTCCAAGCAGAGGTTGATGTCGTGAGATGTCAACCAAGGCGGGTGGCGTGAAGCTGCAGGCGTGTGCCAGTCGCATCGCGACCCACCGATTCTCCGATGAGAAGAACACCTTCAGGGTTCTTCTTTTGGTCGTGCAGTGAGTTGCAAGCGTCAACACGACGACGTTCGCGCTCACGCACAACATCGCCAGCGATGGAGAGCAGAGTATCAATGCCCAAGTTTGCCACGAGCTGGTCGTGCTCCAGGACAATCTTCAAGTGGTCGAAAGACAGGGACAAAAGTGCAGAGGACAGAAGATAGTTAGGCGAGGTGATGTCCGAACTGCTTGGGGTTGCTGAGCCGAACCGGATGCTTGACACAGGACGTTGGCCGGATTGAACGTCCGAGGAAGCAAAGGCAGATGACGATCGCGAGTCGGGGCGAGATTGAGAGTTTGAGGTCGAGGTGTAGCTGACAGGGAGGCGAGGCACAGAGTCGGAAGCCGAGGTGTCGAGAACAAAGTCTGGGTTGATGTTTGAGACAATCATGTACAGAGCTTGCCAGACGATTTGATCGGCATATGGGCCGTACAAACAGTTCTCGGTAAGACACCAGCCACATGCTGCAAAGTAGAGGACAGCCTCGAGTTCATTGAAGCCAAGGATACGCAAAGCCATGTTATAGGCGTGCATGACGATAGGCTCGGCGCCGAGGAAGTGACCGGAGGCGAGGTATGACAGAACATAGCGCATGCGGGTGGCTGGGGTGCTGGCAGGGTTGCTGAAAATGTACATGGGCTCGATCAAGCGGCCACCATAGACGTAGCGCATGGCATCGGCGAAAGCAGAGGCGTCAGAGAAGCAGTAGCTGCGGGGCATGTGGACGATGGTAGTGCGCGAGTTGGTACGAGTCTGGGGAAGATTGTTGACGAGCTTCAGGAAGCCAGGGTAGCGGGCAATGATGATGCCGTGTACAGGCAGCATCAAAGGGTTGGAAGAGTGGTTGCCAGAGTAGAGCTCAATAAGGTAGTCAGCAAACTCGTGCTGGTTCCAGTATGACAGAACATAGTCGGCCAGATGCTGCACGTTGTTGTTGAGGGGAGGTGGAGGAGGGTAAGATTGCTGGGGAGCATGGTGCTTGTGAGGCGCGTATTGATCGGGTGTAGCGACGGCAGAATCACCAAGCGGGATGGATGATGCAGGCGAGGGCGAAGATGCGATGCTTCCGAGATGGGCGGCGCCTCCGTTTGTGTGTGCGAAGGCGTGGCCGTTGGCCAGTGGAGGAGGACCCATGACAGCGACAGGGGCAGGAAGAATGGCAGATGGATATTGCTGAGCAGGAGCGTAGCTGTCGTAGGGATTCACTGCATGAGGCATGGCGGACATGGGTGGAGGTGGTAAAAAGACCGAGCTTGACATGGCGGCAGGCGATGCGCTGGACGAGTCTCGAAGGCCGCCAAAGACGAGCGACTCGCTGCGCTTGTGCTGATGCTTGGGGATGAATGGGAGGGCCTGAGCGTCTTGGTGATGAGGCTGACGGCGAGGAAGAGCAGCGGTCACTCCTACTTATCACTTAGTATCCTGGATATGAAGACATGAGGAAGGTGCCATGGACCACTTACCATTGACCTGCTTCTTCTTGCCATCAACGACTTCCTTCTCGGCAGCGACCACTTCCTTGTTCTCGACAAGCTTCTCTTTCTCAAGGGGCTCCTTGTCCACAGCAAGCTCCTTGATTGCGACAGGTTCCTCCTCAGCGGGCATCTGTTTGGCTTGCTCCTCCTTGGCCCCGTTGAGCAATGCGGCGGTGTCGTCGCGTGGTTGCGCATCTTCGTGTTCAATGCCATTTGTACGCGATGAAGCTTCCAGTTTGCCTGCGAGAGCCGAAAGGGATGTGCTGTTGGCCTTGTCGTCGGCGACTTGTTGGTCGCTCTTTCCTGCTGGAACGACTTTTGCGCGGCGGACGGTCAGTTGATGCGGAATGGCAGGCACGATGCGCTGCCGGGCCATGGCCTTTGAACTCATGCTGGGGATGAGATGGCGACGAGCTTCGTACTCCAGAGGCAATAAACCAATATCAACATGCGCCTCCGGAGTGAGGTGCCTGCTTTTGTTTCTCTTTTCCGCTGTAGACAAACGCCTCTGACTACCAGTCCGTCATCCGTGGGGCAGCGCTCCATCAACTTTTTGCGCTAGACGTGGTCTGTGCACTATTTCATGATTTTGAATGATTATCAACCAACCTATCATCTTACTGCACGCAGAGGAAAGGTAGTACACACTACTTCTACAGTACGTACAGCTATTCTGTTGAGTGCTCAAGACCTCCTGCGACTCCTGACTCCATCTCGTTTGTCTTTCTCACACTTCGCTTCACAGAGTGAAGAATATATCGTTTGAGTGCTTCACATAATTACATGGATCGTGTTTGTCGTGAAAGGCTTCTTCAAATGCTTACATTGATATTTGTACAAAACGCCTTAGTCAAAGACCGCGCGCTTCTTGCGTCCCAGACAGTCGGATCAACTTATGCAGTTTGTTCTTCGGCTTCCTCGGCCTGGAAACCCCTGTCTGCCTTGATTCCATGTCCAAACACAGGCAGACCCCTGTTGACAAGCTCTTCCTCAATCACCTTCCACCTGCCGACCGCTCTGTCCTTGTGAACGGATGTTTGACGGCCCCCGCGAACCTGAATGTTGCTGTTTGCCATGAGTTCCGGGTTGCCCAGGAGAGCAAAGGACAATTTCTTGGGCTTGGGCTTTGTGAGAATGGCTTGCTGGAAGTCCTTGAGTGTTGATGCTCTGTGCATGATGATGTCGGGAATTTGCATCTTCGTGGTCGTTCGCAATGCTTTGGCGANGCTGTGTGGAATCATGTCAGATGTCTTGGATCTACCACTGGGTGTGCATAGTATTCATCCACATACCTTGAACTTTTGCTTGACATCCGTAACTGCCAAGTTCAAGCCCTCTTGGCTCACTGTGAGGCCAGCCTCCTTTGCGGCTTTGAGGACTTGATCTTCGGCTTCCTTGGGGGTCAATCCGTTGGCCTTCTTCACTCTTGCCCATCTGTAGAATGTCAGCATGAGGCTTCATATCGCTGAATTGGTATGCTCCGTACCNNCCTTGTACTTTGGCTTGTCGTCATACTGCTGCTCGAGCCACTTTTCACTTCCCACGCGCTCCAACTCCTTGCCCTCGGTTGCCATAACATATTCCTTGTCCTCGTGCGGCGACTTGGCCCATCCCTCTGGCAGGTTCTCCTTTGGTAGATACCATCCCGGGAAATCGGGCTTTCGTGTTGTGTCGTCGAATTCTGCTGCGTCGGTTGTGGCGACATCGGTCGTGTTTTCCTTCTTCTTGCCGCCAAAGACAGACTTGAAGCGGTCGGCGATTGCGGGTCGGGCAGCGGAGGTCTGCAATTGGCGCTGTTGCGAGGCGGCGCTGAGTCGTAGTTGGCAGGATCTGCAGGTAGTCGAGGAGACATTGGGGGTCGCCAGGTGGCTGACCACACGGCCAAAGGTGGATATCCGCGACATGGTGTGTGTAGTGCTGTCGTGTGCTGCTGCCGGTCAATTTGTTGCTCGCCGCATCTTTGACGAGTCCCGACTTTCTGCCAAGCCTGCGAGCTTTGACCTCCTTCCAGCCTTCGACTGGTGCGGACTTCTCTGAAGACACCTCCGATGGACACATCCACAACTTAGTCATTGCATTGATGTCGTTGTAACTATGAAGGTCCTGCTGCCGTGAGAAAGTCAAAGTCAGCACCCTCCTCTGCTTGGTTCACGCATCGCTCGTATAAACCCCGATATCCACGCTGCATCCCACGAATCCTCCTCGTCCCATGATCTTCCTTTCGTTTGGCTGCTGACCGAACAGCAATGCGATGCGCCAATTCCTCATCCGACACATGCAGACTCAGAAGTCTCTTCTCGACATCGCACTCGATCAAATCTCCATCTTCCACGCAGCCAAATACAGAATCTGGTAGTGCAGATTCTGGCGATATATGTAGAACAATTGTGCCACCAGCTGTGCCTGACATGCGTCCATCAGATATCCGCAACATGTCTTTGACGCCCTGAGCTCCGAGTTTGCGAGGGATGGGGATGACGCCGGCTTCTGGCATACCGGGATTACCGATCGGTCCCACGCCTTGTAGAACCAGCACTGAGTCTTTGGTCACCGGTAGGTTTGGGTCGTCTATGCGTTGAGCCATGTCGGCTGTATTCTTGAAGACCACGGCAGGACCCATGTGACTGAGAAGACCTCTTTCTTTTGACGCTGCTGCTTTCAGCACTGCTCCCCTAGGAGCGAGGTTTCCTCGTAACACCACGAGTGCGGATTTTGGATAGATGGGATTCGAAAGTGGTCGTATCAGCTCGCTTGAGTACTTGAACAATTTGAATGGCCTGGCCTCGAGTTCCTCTCCCAAGTTCTTGCCATTGATCGTTTTCGCTTCCAGATGTAGTAGTGGCTTGAGTGTATGCAACAAAGCAAGCATACCACCAGCATTATGGAAATCAGTCATCTGTGTGCTGTCAGCTTTGCACAAGATATTACCAGGCTTTCCACATACGTAGTTGTCACCACTTGGCTTGAGGTCAACAAGAAGTGGCGTCCCTCTGCCAATCTCATCAAAAGTCTCCAGCGTGATCGAGCCAGCAACATCAGGATGGCGATTCACAATAGCCATCAAATGTACAACAGCGTTGGTTGATCCTCCAATCGCCTGAAGAACAGTGATGGCGTTGAGAAACGACTCCTTTGTAAGTATCGATTGAGGAAGCCTTTGGGCAGCAGCTGCTGCAATTGCATTCGCACCCGTCTGCTCAGCTATCCTCAAGCGTGCCGAAGAAACAGCTGCTGCAGATGCACCCTCAAAAGGCATGAGACCCAAGGCAACAGTCACACATGCCATCGTACTCGCAGTCCCCATAACACCACAAGTACCTCCNNCTATAACCATTAGCAGATACCTCAAAAGCAAGAGAACAAGAAGCAAACAACTCACCGTAGGAGCAAGCTCCTCGTTCACCACAGCAATATCCTCCATATCAATCTCTCCGGCCCTATACGCCGCCCATTGACTCCTACAATCCGTACACGCACCAACTCTAACACCCCTACTACTCCCCGGCATCATAGGCCCAGTGACCAACGGCAACACAACTTTATTAGCCGACATGCCACCCATCAATTGCGCAGGCACAGTTTTATCACACCCACCAATAGCGACTACAGCATCCACAGGTTGTGCTTTGATCATCTCTTCCGTATCCATAGCCATCAAGTTCCTCAAAAACATGCTTGTGGGCGAAGCAAAAGATTCATGGATACTAATGGTGGGAAACTCGATCGCAAGACCGCCATGTAGATGCACACCCCGTTTTACAGCTTCAAGCAATTGAGGTATATTGGCGTGACAAGGATTGAATGCCGAATAAGTGTTTATGATGCCGATGATGGGGCGCGAGAGTGCGTCTTCGCCATATCCAGCGGCTTTGATGAATACTTTTCGGAGGAAGAGGGAGAAGTGGGCGTCGCCGTAGGAGGTGAGGCCTTGTCGGAGGCCGGTTGTTGCTGTGAGGGGTTTGGAGAGGTCGTAGTCATTTTGGGGGTCGGATTTGTTTCCTGCTTCTTCCATGATGTAGGTGGTTTGTGAGGGGGTTGAGGAGGTCGTGTGAAGGTGTTGAGTTATGCATGGTCTGGTCATGAGTGTTGTAGATGATGTGATTGGGGAATGCCCCGCTACCCCTCCGCACTTCTCACCCGAGCCTCTCGGAGTCGTACTACTTTTATCAATCGAGTCACCAAGATTTTCAGTTATTACTGGGAACTATCGAATGAGGAAATACGGACATCTTCATTCACTATCTGGACTCATCTGACAGGGCTCGAGTTGACGGATCTCTTTGTTCTGGGTCTTTGCTAGCTTGTGAAGTCGCTCGAAAAGCTCGTCTGTCATGTCACCTATATGTCCACCTTCAGCACGCCGCTGTGGTTGCTTGACGTCTTCCTTTGCTCGCTCTGGTACGTCACCATATTNCTGCTGGCGTACGCCTGGAGCGTTTGATCTGGCTCTCAGCTCAGCGACGCTCGATCTGGCATGTAGCTTTGTAATGTTTCTCAGAGGACCGAGAACCTCTTTTGATTTGACCTCCGCGCTGAGGCAAGCTGGCTGGTCAACAACAACGAAATCGTTGCCGTCGCTAACGACCGACCACCCATCATCGGACTCATCATCTGAAGAAAGAGACACAATTTGCATATCCTCCTCCATCTTCATTTCCATGCTGCCCTCTGTATTCTTTTCAATATTGTGTTCTGCGTCAGACTTCGTACCACCCTGTTTACCACTCTTGTTATCACCCTCCATACCAGTCTCCATGACATTATCAGAGTCCATCATCGGTGTCGTGGAAAAGTTGACACCGATCTGTAGAGCCCTGATGTCTGAGAAGGTAGTCGCTTCGTTGCGCTGTATAGAATCGACGAGGTCTCTCACTTCTATCGTTTGGATGCCTGTGGTTACCTGAGCTTGGTCGTTCGTTCTGACACACTGCTCGTCGATCGTATTTATTTTCTGAGCAAAGGCATGAGCTTCCATGGCTACTCGATAGGCCATCCTGTGCTCCGCTGGTGCGCCCAAAGGGTAAGGAATATCCTTCATGCTATAGGTGACGAGTGTGATGGGATGGCCGTTGGTTGCAGTGTATTCAAGGGTATCGGCAGATGTCTGGATGTCCTTTCTGTGTGGTCCCTTGTTTGGCGATCAAGCAGCTCCGGGCTCATGCATTGAGAGTAACCAAACAGCAAGGTAAGGGGGTTCTCGACTCTTGATGCTTACCACAATTCACTCATGTTGACTTACCATGCCATATGGCATGAGTGAGATCTTTGCCGCGAAGTTGGAATCATGTCGAGACTTCGGGCGTAGGTTGACAGTATGACAAGAGGCTATGACTCTGTGACAACCATAGCTAGTAAGGCGAATGCATAGTGGTGGTGATGGTCGAGATGGAATGAGGATGCCTAGACTGTGGTGGTGATGTGGTTGGACGTGCCCCACACTCCTCCGCACTTCTCTCCAGAACCTTTGGTACTGACGTTTAACCGAGCTACTGCATCATGCGCCATGCATTCTGATTCTTAGTCTCAAGAAAACTCTGTGGACTCTGATGAAGGCCTGTCAGCAGTGGTATATGTACCACCTCTCAAAACTCAAGATGATCATCGTCCGGATGGCATACTGTGTTGGGAAGTCGGGGCCGACTCCGGCAGACGAATTCCCCACCCGAGGACTGATACTTGTCCGTTCGCTCAACATCGCCGACCTGCGGACCTGACAACAGTCTCGTCAGCTTCTTCTCATTTCTTCGAACCAGCCACGCATTCAACGATGTCTGACGAGCAATCCAGCTCCCGCATAGCCAGGGTTCCCCCGTCTGAAGCACATGCTTATGTCAAGGCAGTTCTCCAAGCGAACAGAGTCTCTCCAGATCATGCCTCAACAGTCGCAGATTGTCTTGTCGCAGCAGATTTGAGAGGGGTCGATACACATGGCGTCAACAGAATTCCTTCCTATGTGGCACGGATCAGGCAAGGCGTATTGGAGCCAGCAGCAGAACCAGAATTGGAGGAAGTCACGCCTGTTGTTGCTCAAGTGGATGGCAAAAATGGATTTGGATTTGTGGCTGCGAAACTCGGCATGGCAAAGGCAATCGACATGGCCAAGGTATTCGGTATCGGCATGGTGTCGGTCAAACACTCCAACCACTTTGGTATGTCGGCATGGGTAGTTCAACAAGCTCTGGACGCCGGTCTCATGTCTCTTGTGTTCACCAACTCTTCTCCGGCATTGCCAGTCTGGGGAGGGAAATCCAAGCTAATGGGAGTGTCACCCATCGCCTGTGGAGCTCCAGGAAACGAACACCCGTTCATCCTAGACATGGCGCCATCTGTTGCAGCGCGCGGCAAAATCTATAAAGCGAAACGCCGTGGCGAGAAGATACCCAAAGAATGGGCATTGGACGCCGAAGGTCGACAGACAGACGACCCATCAAAAGCACTCGAAGGCGTCATGTTGCCGATGGGAGGGCCCAAGGGGTCGGCGTTGTCTATCATGATGGACGTATTCTCTGGAGTCCTATCCGGCTCTGCTTTCGCAGGCCATGTCACAAACCCATACGACCCATCACGGCCGGCAGACGTTGGTCATTTTCTGGTTGCGATTAAACCAGACCTGTTCATGAGCATGGAGGAATTCAAACAAAGGATGGAGTATCTTTATCAACGTGTCGTCGGGTCGGATAAGATGGCTGGCGTCGACCGCATCTACATGCCAGGCGAACTGGAGCAACTGACACAAGAAGAGAGGGCGCGATCGGGAATTCCCTATGTTGAAGCGGAGATCGAAGCGCTGAATGAAGAAGCCAAGAAAGTTGGCTCATACGAGATCAAGGTGTCGGGCTGGGAAGAGCAGGAGAAACTCAAGGACTGATCGTCCGGCCGATGATGTGGTGCTGTCTCGTTAGTTCAGGGAAGATAGAGCAACCATCGCACTTTCCGAACCTGCAGGGCCATAATCTAAACACCTACTAGTATGACGACTCTTACAGGGCTGTGCCTAATTTCATTCTGGCTGTAGCATCAAGGATATTTTTCCGTATCAGGCATTCGCATATCAATCCGGATATAATAAAAGATAGTGCTCGTGAAGGGGAGAGATGGACATGAGCGACTCATGATGGGTCTCTTGGCCGACGGCTCGGTGAGAGTGCACAGACCGCGATCCCCGATGACGCCGATTGTGTTGGAACACAAGTTTTTTCCGCATCTCTAACATGACGTTTGGCTGTATCACAACCGGTATTCTCGATCATCGAGGTATTCGAGCAAGAATTCTTGCCGTCTGATTGTGCTCGGGGGCGACCTGACAGAGAATCGATGGCCTGTTGGGATCAGACAGCATCCCCAGGGGCTTGCTTTCTTCTGCCGGACTACGCAAAACACGATAGAACGATGGCACGATCTTCGCGTGCAGCGGCGATACAAATCTGCGAACGACCATGCGCCGAACATCTTGAGATACCGGCTCTCCGAAACACTGCTCACGCTGGTCCCACGTTGATCAAATGCCCAAGCAACTCGAGTAGCCAGGCAATTTTTGCGCTTGGTCTTTGTAAAACTCTCACAAAGCCCTGCTACTCTTGTGCTTGAGGGCGACAACACGCGGTGACTTCACTCTCGAATTTTTTCAGTCTTGTGGCCACACCGGATCGTCGTCTCTTGTACATCATGGATGTTTCAACCCACAAAAATGATGTTGTAAGTCGTCGCGATCTTCAGGGCAACGATGCCACAAAGTTTGGTTCCCGAAGAGCCTCATTTTTGCACGACCTCTGATCCACTCTGGCACCCGGATCATGATCCCTAGGTAAGATGTGCTCAGACACGGGTGCGATACGCGCCTATTCCGCGATCCCTGTCGCTGAACCTGCACCGCTCGCCTGATGGAGACTAACATCCGGGGGTACCTGACCCTCACATTTGCAGCCTCATGTTTCCCGTGCTTCTCCGCAATTGCCAACTACATCACACCACCGGCCTGACTGCGGTTTCGCTACTAGCAACTGTGCGAATCTTCTCCTCTTTTCCCTATTTCCATGTAGATTGCTTGCGCGGCTTGAATCAGATCGGGCACCCAATAGGTCACCTGCCGTCATTGGGTTTCTAGAAGTCAACAGGGTGGAAAGAATACTTATAGCCATCGGATTCGTTCCTTCTCATCCCATACTTGGTTCAACGTCCATCCTTATACACGCCTATAAATAATCAACATGCCTGCCTCTCTGACCATGCATACAACCAACTCTCAAGACTCTCTCACATCAAACATGTCTACCACCACATTACGACCTGTCAAGTAAGTCATACTGACACTACTGCTACTTGTGCCAATCTTAACACCCCTCGCAGANCACGTCCGCTTCGCTACAGAACTTGCCGTCGAGGAACAACCCACTTCAATCTCTACGGACTCTTTGTCAGATTCATATAAGGACTGGTCTCCTCACGCACCAACGAGTTCCGTCATGTATCACAGCACACACAACAACAGCGAGGACAGACACTCGAGCACACGACACACCATCCCTTACGGTTCAACTCGACGAGAATCTGTAGAGGGTTTCGATGATATTAAGCGCCGGTGGTCAATGGAATCACTGTCTGAAGAATCATCCGCTGTTGATGATGAGTAGAGCAAATCACTAAAGTCTGTCCTCTACAAAACTTGCTGCGCGTCAACTAAGACCGCATCTATTACGACCATACGGCCTTTACGATTGAGATGTTTGCTTCTTTTGGCGTTCAAGAGGATGGTATACAACGAGAGGATAGTACTGGTAGAACGTGGACCAGCGTTACCAGGATAGCATACCGAATTGGCAATGATGTTATTTTCGCCATCACGATCCTCGTGCCGCACACGAACGATATCAGCATGTCACCTGGAGATACTATAGCTTGCATGTCAATCTGCAACAGTGTGAAGAGTTCGAGACTGCATCGGAGTCGATGCGGTGATGATTTGCCGACGTTGTGCCTCCAGCTTTCACGTCTAGATTTCATCCATCTCCCTTTTTCTAACGATTTTATCATATCCAAGCTTCATCTCGCCCAGTGCCCCTTTCACATCGCTTGAACTTGCACTTTCTTCCTGATATAGGCTTAAATATAGCCAGAAATGAGAAGCTCGGTGATCCGCCTGAACTCTGAAGCATGTACTAGTAAGCCCTTTTCGATTAGTCCCCAGACTGTCAAATCTCTTTCGCAACGTCCATCGACGCGAGTTGTCCAAGCTTGCACGTCGAAAAACTTTGTCTACTTCTAGAAATCGCAATATCACTCCCGGATGGTTTAGCCTTGCTTTCCGGACCTACGAAGAAGACCATCACCATAATCGCACATCAAGGAGGATATTCCTGAAAGCATGACTCTCGACACCTTGATGTCAAAGCAAAGTCAGGATAGCATCTTCGCGACTCTCTTGGGAGTTGACGCCGGAAAAAGCTTCCCCCAATAGGCTGATCGTCGAGAGTGGGATGTCCGTGAGGCCTTGACCATCTACAAACGCTAGTTCGTTGCTTTGACAAACGTCTGCAAGTTGAGGGCTGAGGACCTCGTACCAACCCGCCCTTCAGACTCCAGAGCGAGGCATCTCGATATGAGATATCTCACCGCTAAATTATGCCCGGCTCAACTTGAGCTCAGTGGCCAGCTTGACGGATACGAACTATTCCGTTTTTCAACAAGCCAAGCACTCTTGTACGGAAGGTAGGTCTGCGAAGGATAGTCGTTCGCGGAAAATGTATACCAAGAAGCCGCTCTTGTATGCAACTAACAGAAACTATGCCTAAGTAGCCTCAGAGCTGAGCGAACGTGCAGAGCGCCCTGTGCTCGATTGGAATGACAGCAGAAGCACTCCGCGTCTAGAACAACCATTCTCTGCACAGTCGACGATGACTTACACTCCGCGTGCAAATTTGTTGAGTAGAAGCCTGTCCAAGAGTTCAGCTCCCTCCAACCGTATCGGAGATGCCGAAAGGTCGAAAGAGGCACATCATGAATATATAAGCAACCTGGAAGACGTCTAAAAAAACAAAACAGGATACCAACCGACCACCAACATCAGCTCATCAACACTTGGTCATCATGCGCACCTCAATCGCCTTGAACAGCATGGCCCTTGCGATCTCGGTCGCGGCCTTACCCCTGGATAACTCTTCCAACATGTCGAAGATATATGTGCCCTCCGGCATGTACTTGTCAGACAACGGAGCTATCTTGCCAATCCTTGCTCGCCGTCAGGACATCGACTTCGATCTCGTGGACCAGGCACCCGAACCGACCGTGGCAATTGACGACTCGAGCAACTACAACCAACAAGCTGCGATTGATGCCGTCGTCAGCGAGGTCGAAGCCAATCCCCTTCCGCAGAGACGCGACCTTCATCGCCGTGATATCGTGATCGAGACCAGCTCCGGCTACACACACAACATACAAATTAAGGATGCCGCCATGAGTGTGCCAAAGAATTGCCANGGGCTCGGTATGCGCAATTCGTATATGTGCTAGTAGCAACGTCTGATAGTTGTGCAGGATACTTTCCTTGGTTCGAAACTCTTCACCACTGGACCTTTTGATACTACTCTTTGTGCTGCTGCTTGCACGTATGTGGAAGAGAATCTTAACTTGCAGGCCATGCTGACTGGTAAATAAGTNGCTCAGAGTGAATACAATGTTCGCCATCCTCCCACGAATGGTGTTGCAAAGACTTGCCAATTCTACAACACCTATGCAATGTACAGGGACGACGTCTACCAAGGCCAGTATTGGTGAGTAGAAAGTCACATTCTCGTCTTCTGGAACAGTAACTGATAGCCTTGCTCAGCGCTNATGTACACACAAGCCTGGGATGCAAGCTACGCCAAGAACGACGGACAATGGCGAGGAAAAGTGCACTACACAATGGGCTTAAGCTACATTGCTTCCAACGCAACCCAATCAGGCGATGTCAGCTGCCCTTCCGATGTGCCCTACCTCAGTCAAAACGGGGCAGCTTTCTGTACCGCTTTCATCGACTACATNCCCCCTACATCGACCGTGTCGACTGTCACTGTCGCTCCCGCCGTTTCTGTTTTAACTTCCACTCAGAGCAGCGTCATAGTCAACACCCTCTACAGTACTCAACTTACCACTGACGTACAAATCGCAACTGTTACCCGCAACTACAAGAGAGATGTGCAGACACCTGCATCGCTGTCGACTTGGTCTCCTTCCCGTATCTCTGCTGCCTGTTCATCGGTTGCGACCGGCACTGAGACAGTCACTGCTACCGAGACAGCTGCCACTCCTCTTAGCACGACTTTCACCACTCAGAGTATAACACAAACTCAGACTGTCCCCACCACTGTTGTGATCAAAGCTACTACGACAAAGTCTGTAGATCCTGTCGCAACTCCCATCAAGGGGCTCAACCTCATTCAAAATCCTTCCTTCGAGAACGGTCAGAATGGTTGGTCGGTCCAATACCCTAACGGATTCAGCTGGACCTCGAACGCATATGTATTTTCTTATGCTGGCGCAGCTCAATCCGGAAGCGGTTACGCGTAAGTACATAGAGATAATATCTTAGACGACCTCGAATATCTCACTAACTTGCACACCAGTATCACACACGTTAGCAACGGTGCTATGGACTGGGTTCAGACCTTGACCGGTCTGTCAACCACTGCAGCGTACCATCTGACTTTCTACACATGGACTGGGCTCAACGGCAACCCATGTACACTGCAGATTATCTTAGGGTCTGATGTGCTGCTCAACGTGGCCCCCACGGACAGCCGGGGAGGCGGCTCAGCCGGTTATGACAGACGTGATCTGGATGTCCAGCCTACAGCTTACAGAGAGGATCTCCGCATTCGCTTGACCTGCACGAACCCCAGTACCACTGCAAATTTGTTCATGGACAGCTTCTCGTTCTATGCGGTCTAGGTTCGATGTGTTACGCAAGCACGTTTTGTGTTTGGATGTTGGAGTTCTTAAAAGTTCTATAGGGGTCAATACGAAGCAGTGAGATAAGTCTCTCAATGGAGGTTGATCCGTTCCTAAAGGTATTATGCAATGCTATAGTCATACACAGTGGAGATTATTATATCGAAAAAGTATAGCTTGTGGAAAGTGCGATCGTTAAACATGCCATTTGTTCTTCCTTTTGCTGAACTCCATTCCCCTAGAAACCAAGATTACCAGCTCCTCTGTTAATGCAAGACTCCTTCAGATCGGACAAACACAAACGAATCAACACTTGCCGCACTGGCACTCTTGACCGTTCATGCTCCAGAAACAGAATTCGACTGGTCCGGTCAGATCTCGAGAGTTTTGCATTTTCTCGACAATATGCGTGTGATCACTCTTTTCGTTGCATCTTTCTGGCAAAGACAGTGTCTTCGTAATTGACGCAGGCTTGCTATTGACTGTCACACATATCAGTATTCCATCTCTCAAACTGTCTCATGATATTGACATACCTTCCACCCTCGTCATCACAACCTCAGGTTCTTCCCGCTTCTCCAACTTCCTTCCCTTGACCAACTGCTCACGCAAAAACTTCTTGTAGCGTGTAATAGCTTCTTCTTCGTGATCGAGGTTATCCCACCAGGTGGGGTTGTCGAAACCGTCGACGCCTTCAGCACTGCTGATGGATGAGACGTCAGAGTCGTAGCGTTTGTAGGGCTTGCAGGTGATGTAGGAGTGTTGTTTTGAAGTTGGTTCTGTGGGAGGAGTGCGGAGGAGAGGTTCAAGGTCGTAGAGTTGGTCCCAGTTTGACATTTGAAGTACTTTGGTGGGTAGGTCAAGTTATTGGTGAAAGTAGGTGAGTCGATTGGTTGATATTGTGTGGTTGTAGATAAACCTTCTTTGTTTGTTGCAGATGTGATATGATACAATTAATGTGATCTTCTTTGCGCTTTATAGCTGAGTTCTCTCAATGGAATGGATCTGTATACCGATTGCGTCCGTATGGTATTTTCGTAGACAGGAGATGTGCTGCATTCGCACGGGGCGGTTAAGCTAGCCTCACCTGACGCCCAGCAGAAATCGCAGGATCACGGAGAGCCACCATCACGCGATTATTGCCTCCCTTCGTTCTTTCCGTTCCTGCTTCTCGAAGTTGCAGTCTCACATGTGATAGAAGACGCATCTGGTTGGTTCCAGTATGGATAGCAAGGCACAAAGATTTCGGTCGCATCCTTGCTACGCCTCTGGACAAGCCGACCAGTAGCCACTCTTGACTTTGTGCGATCCCAGTATCTTGGATGGTAGAAGTATGTAGGACTTGAGTCAAGTCGGCTATCCTCATTGCGAATCTTATGCATGCTGAGTCGTTAAACCATATTCTAAAATCCTTCCGCACTCAAGGTTTACACTCTAGTATGTTACCAGAGCCTCAAATCACTTCCCATCCAGATTTTGCAGCAAAAGACCACCTAGATACAATTCCGTGTGCCATTGTGTCCTCTTAGACATCCCCTGTCGACAAGAGAAACGGGCCAGAGCCAGAAGCTATTGAGATTCCTCTTGCAACTCAGGTAACTGACAAGATTTGGCACATAGCGCTGGATTCTGGAGAATCATCTGCTTAGCCCACAGCAAGCGTCGTTCGAGCTCTTCTTCTGCAACATCAGGTATCGATTGCCGTCGCTGACAGCAGATATCGTTACCATGATTGCCATGAAAGTTACCGCGACGATCCATCTCCAGTCGCATTTCTTGTTCATATCTTGCTGACTCNNTGGAGTTGCAGATCAGTATGTGTGATGTGGTTGTCATCAGAGATCTGTTACCTTCTGAAGTAATGTCTGAAGCATGTGGGAATAGATTGTATATTTGCGCCACAGTGACTTTCGCATTCTCGTCCATGGTGGGTTGTAGCAAAACCTGATAAACAGTTGTTCGTTTGTGTCACTCGATAGCTTGACAGATTGCGAGTTTTTGTTGTACAGCCCAGAGCAAATGCCCAGCGTACGTCCGTATATACCTCGACCTACCTATCGGGTGCGTCCCGAGGGCACCCTTGCTACACAAGACATCATGAGATTGACGGCATCGCTCGTAATCGTAGCATACCGGGTCGAAGAGGTTGTTGAAACAATCCGGAAGGTGCTGTCTCGCGATCGAGACTCGTGGCGTGACAAAAGCTGTATATCACCAGTTATGGACGGAAGAACTTCGGATCGGCTCAAAGGATTCCTTCTTCTTTCCATCGATGGGCATCCTGAAAACAAGTCCCAAATCTGCTTTCGCGCATGTGGAGTTTGCGGAGGCATGGTCCAGACTTTATGGACCGCATTGTTGGTTCTGGCAAGAATTTGCTGTGTAATGGAGCATGTGCGACCCCCTCCACAGGGGTCACGCTTCCGGATTAGGAAATCCCCTCCATGGGATGTTGCCAATCGCTGTGCCGAAGCTGCGATATAACAAGCAGCAACCCTTGTCGTGAAATCTAGAGAACAATCCTTTGACCTGTACTAAACAATTGTTCGACCTTCAAAGCAAATACTCAAACTTCTTTACCTATCTTCAAATCCACAAATCCGCACAGCTACAAATCATGTGGTCAGTTTTGCCGAGGAAGAAGTCAGCAACTTCGCCACGCCTACACCAAGCGAGACCGCTCACACCTCCCCAAGAGGAGCCAAAGTCAACTTCCCAACACCAAGCCGTCGTGCTAGATGCCAACTACACATCCCAGACGCAGCCTGAGAGCTTCTCAGACAAGTCGCGCGGAGACGTAACATGGCACACCCTTCTCTCCTCCGATAAAACCTCTTCCCAAGACATGTCCGCGGGCATCGCAAGCTGCCCTGCAAACACCGGTTACCTAGCTCATCACCGCCACACTCAATCAGAAATCTACTATATCATCTCTGGCAAGGGCGAGGTTACTGTTGATGGCAAGGTTCACGCTGTCACGGGAGGCAGCACAGTGTTTATTCCTGGAGATGCCGAACATGGTATCAGAAATACTGGAGAGCCGGAGTTGAAGTGGTTTTATGTGTTCCCTACTGCCAGTTTTGGAGATGTCGAGTATAGGTTTTCGGAGACTGAGAAGGTGGATGAGCGGGTCGATGAATTGGTGCCTCGCAAGGAGCCTCCTGTGCTCAAGATTTACGGCTGGGATGCTTAAGTATGATCCTTTTCCCAAACACCTTAACGACTTTTGGAAATCCTCAGGCACTGCATGGAGTTTTGAGCGGAGTTGGGGCCGATTTGTACTATACATCTACTTTCACAGCATCTCACGAACATATATTGTAACACCTTGATCGCCCTCAGATGACCTTGCGCTATATACAGGTATCGACCAATCATTTATTTAGATCAACCAGACTAACGCCCATGATCACGCGTTCACAGCATGCAACTACCTCGAGACATCTCCAAGCAAAAGCCACAAAGCGGTGCAATCGCCCTCGCCACGCGACCTCAAGACTCACACATCACAGTCACAACAATTATTGCGTTTAGCAATAAAAAGCTTACACTTGTTCTCTTTGCAAAAATGTAATAGCGTAGGAAAAATCTTCAACGACGACAAGAAAAGATGGCGCCGCAGTACATGCCCCTTCCCCTCATGGACTTCGCAGCGGTGAAGACTTCCAACGCGACCTTCGACTCTCCGGACTGGAATTGGGCGCGCGATGGAGGCATCTTGGATGGCGAATACGTCCCGTACATCTGTGAAGCCATTCTCATAATGCTCATCTTCGTGTAAGAATGTCGCATCGTCGTCTAAACAAAGAACCCACGCTAATCCCGACAAGCCTATGCATCCTCGACCACAGATTCACCAAGCCCTTGCGTGCAGACAGTCAGAACCCATATGCCGTGTACGAAGCGGCAGCAGAGCGCGAATACTCAGACTGGCGCAGCGAGTGGGAGTCCAAATTTCCAGACCTCTTCATCGGCCATGCTATCTGCACAATTTGCTTTGAACCTATCGGCGACCGAGAAATGATTCGTGGGCTACCTTGTCTACACGTCTTTCACAAGAACTGTATGGATTCATGGTTCGAAGCGCTACACGTCACTTGTCCGGTGTGCAAACAGGATATTCTAAAGCTACCTTCGCCATGCTATCGACCGGCTTCTGAATCTGAGGTATAGGAAAATACTACCTTTGGTACTGTCATCGGAGTACTTCGACTACTCTTCCGACAAATCCTTCTAGACCAGCTGCGCCTTTTTCTCCGCGTTCTGTGCCACCGAACAAGCCTGGGCCACCTCCGGGCATGACCAGGATCTTTGACCCGACTTCGACACATTCCTTTGTGGAGTCGAAGTGGAACGTCACCTGCAGGAACTGATGTGTAACGGCTCCGGCAGCAGCGCGCTCCGCAAAACTGCCGTTCTGCGAGTTGATGTGTTGATCAGCCATCTCCAAACTCGAATCTTCATCTTCCAATTCAAAAGGCTCGGGTGTTCTGCAAGACAAAATTCTCGCAGATGATCGGACGCTCGCAAGGTAGACTACAGCTTGACTTCCCACTGCCAACGTGCCCAAGTCATCCCGTCTGAACTGTGCAACAATGGTGCTAGACGAAGTCGCAGGCTTGTTGCAGAGCACCATACCTCTCCGTACCTTGACAGTGGCCCACGTGTCGAGGGTCTTATCATCGGTCAGCTCAATACCAATAGTACCCGCTTGGTCGGAGTGCAGAGTCGAAACGGGTAGACGCAAGTTTCTAATGCTAGCGACCTTGACTTTACGCCATTCTTGCTCGGATGCTTTGTTGAACGGTATAAGACTTCCGTGAGTTTTGAGTGCACCTGGGAAAGAGCGTGATGGTGGTAAAGCTTGCGCGAGTCGAGGACGTTGCTGTGTATCTGAATCCTCAGAGTCATCTCCACCAGATGGAGAGCAGGGTCCTAAGAATAGCTCTTCTCCTGCTGATATGGAGCCCCTGCTCAAATGGCCACTCAGAATGATGGTATTGGCATCTTGAGCTTTGTTGTATATGTCCTCGACATGGAACAGAGAGTTTGAGGTGCCTGATTTGGGAGGAGGTTCCTCTCGATGGTCTGGTATAGGAAGCTCGTTCAAGACAGCATGCAGGTTGTCAAAGCCTGCACCTTGAACGGCGCTCGTCAGAACTATCGGAACTGCTGACAGAGGATCGTCGTATAGAGCATCGATAGTCTTACGTATGTTGGTTGATTTTCTCTGTGTGAAGCTCTGCAGCTCATGCTCGGAGACAGTGCCTGGTGAATTTGGTATCATGAGTGGTTTTCTGCCGGCAGATTTCAGAACCGAAAGTAGCTTTCCCAGTGTGGCTTTCAACACAGAGAGCTGTGCGAGATCATACTTGGTGATGACGACCACTAGAGGCAGCTGGAGGCGCAGACAAAGGTCCAAATGTGCAGCAGATAAATCAATATCAGTAGCAGCTGGACCCAGCACCTCTGCGACTTTGCTGGAAGATCTGACTTCATCATCCGCGGGAACACAAAGTAGTACCCAATGCGGCTTCCAGCCTACGAGACCTCTGACTGTCGTCCGTCGGTATCGGGGATGACCAGCAGAATCTGCTACGAATACAAGACGGCCGTTGGCAGAAGCTGTGTGCATATCAATCCAAGATGTCACACCCTCTGTAGCATAGTTGATGACTTTGATGTCGCCCGTTAGAGCTGGAGAGTACCCCATTAACTCTTGGGTGACCGAGCTCGTAATGCCGGAAGTGATCTCATGTCGATGCTTGAGCATACTCAACCGACTCTTGCCTCGGCCATCGTCCAGGGTCGATGTCGAGAGAGTACNCAGCAAAGATGACTTTCCAGACATGGTGGCTCCTGTGAGCGATATTCGGAGCTGTTCTATCGATTTGGCTTCAGAGGGATGGTCTTCCGCCAGCGTGTTGTCAGCATTCGAACGGCCATTCTCCACAGTCGTGGTCAAGTTTGGTTTTACGAGAGCTTCCGCAACGAGAAGATCACTCTGCCGATCAACCAGTTCCGAAGAGACGTTTCCATCGGTTTGTACCATATAGGAGCAAGTACCGACTTTGACCATCCGTTGTACTTCAACTACACAACCAAGACTTGCAGCCATAGCACGCAGGTTGTTGAGACTGTCCTTCATCTCATCGTCGGCGAGGCCAACTAAAGTACCGTCATCAGATACGCCAATCTCATACAATGCACCCTCACTTTCTTCTAGACCCGGACGTATGGGTCCTGGCTTTGGTGGTGCTTGTAGCTCTGTTGTACTCTCTGGCAACTGTGGTAGGACAAGAGTGGTCGAAGCATTCGAGTGATGTGGACAAGATTGCCCAAGTCTCCATAGAAGCTGAGTAGTCAGGTGCTCGAACCTATCCTGCCTATAGTTCGGGGTAACAGATGGTGAGGCACTCTTTGCCGGCAGAGCAGTCCCGGAAGGCGAGCGTGAGGGACCGTTGTACTTGGAGTGTTTCGAGCCAGATATTCGTGTTACAGTACTCATGTACGTATAGTTGCGGCGAGGTCGGATCAGAAGATGGAGTTTGTACTCAACAGGACCTTNTTGGGGCTCGGCCTCGAGTCTAGTAACATGGCCAGCTTCGTCCAAGTATGCAGTAGGCTCAGAATCGGTGACGAAGTTGCTGTTACGTGATGGAGTTCTGGAGTTATTCATGGAATCGAGCTGTTTGAGCCATGGTGACGATACCCGTGGTTCGGTTTCGTCAAAGGAGAATATAGATGCTGAAGCCATGGCTTTGGAAAGATCAACAAGATAGCTAGAGGCTTGTTTGCAAGTCTATAAGGCCACTCGAGGTGTAAACAGGCAAGGCGGGGATGATCAGAGCCACCCAGGATGTGAGTCAGCGGTATGCGCTGTATAGAAGCGATGGGAAGCGTGTGGTTCAGGTGTAAGGGTTCGTGCTTATTGTGCACCTATGGTATTCGTGTCGAAGTTGTTTTGGTCAACGAATCAGTGGTATGAGATCGGGCTTGAAAGGTTGTTGGTAATGATGGCAGCATGGTGGCGATAGCAGACGACTGTGGGCAGCGTATGGAAGATGATGTCGAGACGATGTCAAGGTTGTTAGACTTGAGCGTTCATTGTGCTGGCAGAGTTGGATGCCATCTTCATCATAGCAGTTATGCAAACACCAATGCGATACAGTCACAGCAAGGACGACTCGACGTCGGGACAGGCTTGGCAGCAGTCAAGTCGGCGCCCGGCACTCGGCGCCTGACGCGCTACCGCGGCTAGCGCCACGCGCCTCTGGCATTTCTTGCAAGCGAGCCCTTCACGTCCTTTTTTGAAGGCGCGAAGCAAAAGAGTCATGGGAGAAGCAAATTTTCGATTGATTGATTTTTGTTTATCCGATAATGAGTCCGCAGCCGCATGTGCTTGCCCTTTGCACCCAAACCGGTGTGCTCAGACTGGCACGCTAGATTAACCGGTGAACCATCGGTGAGAACAGTGGGCATTGGTCAAGGCAAACGCTCGGCGTGCTAAGGCCGGACAGACCGAAACCCGTTATGAGGTGTCTCATTGGCGTCCGCCGGCCGGTGACTTAGCAGAGTGGACAAGATGTGGAAACACGTCAATGAGAACCGCCTAGACCTGCCCTCGCAGTTCTATCGGAATTGGGTAAAGCGTGGTGGTAGATCGGAACGTTCAAGCCATCTCTGATAGGAAAATGGAAAGGGCAGCCCCTGGCTTGCGCCACCAGACTCTGTCCCCACCCTGATAGACAGCCTGTCCGCCATCCAAAGGCCAAGGTTTGGCCCAGTCTCTCCGATTGGGCGGCTTAATTTAGAATGCTGTCTGCGTTGTTCTCAGGCTGCATCAGGCTGCATGCCATGACTACGATGCTGGAAGTCTTTGGGACCCTAAAGTCCAATGACACGGTGATACAGATGATTTACGTGTTCTGGGCATTGTATTCTTCCTATCGATTAGATCGACCGCTGGGGCATCGAAATGTGGAGTTGTCCGAGATACGACTCAGTGCGATTCGTTGGCCTGAGCCGGGGATTATATGCCACGGCAGGAAAGTGGTCAAGAAATGAATACCAAGAATAAAGAAATGGTGCGGCGCAGAAGTCAAGTAAAGAGGATCGGCATGCAGACGATTTCACTCACGTGTCAGAATTCTGCAGCCTGCTCGATGTCGTGTACACATCTAGTTAGACAGCGACGCATCTAAAAGCTATTTGGAAGCGCAAGCCTCATGCGATAGGCGAAAGAGAATGTTCCGGGAGACAGGCAGCTCCACGCCTGATCTTCAGCGCTAACCGAGCCCGTAATCAATATACAGAACGCTTCGACTCTGCCATGAGCCACTCAGATGCATATGCGAGGAACGCCTCAAGGGCCATGAATAAAACTCAAAAAACTTGTCGGGATGTGAACATGCGATCATGCAAGCGATGTGACTCAAAACGAAGAGACTGGGGAGAAAAGGACAAGCGGTTTGAAGTAATCTGGGACAACGAATTGGCAAAGAAGGGTATCATGTTGGTCGGTCCTCCACGCGGTGCTCAAACGCATCGGCTCCTCCGATAGTAGTTGTGTCTGCCGTTTGTGATCATCAAATCATAGCGCCTGCGCTACTTGGCCTCTGACGTTCTGCGTTGCTTTGAACACTTCTCATGGGCCAGATGACCGTTTCTTGCTGTCGTTCGGGTGAATTCCGCTCCACACTTTGGGCAGTATGATTTAGCGGCCGTTCCTGATTTTTCTCGTTGGTGTCGCAAAAGGTTGCTGAATGTAGAGAACTCGCGTCCGTTGCAACCATGCTCCCAGCATTGTGGTTTTGGTTTCTGGTTTACCACTCCTCGCACATGAGAGTCACTGCCGTTCCTGGACACTGGCTGGCGTGTGCTGATCGCCGAGGGAGNGGGATAGCTGTAGCTCTGCGATGTCGGAAAAAGGGGTTGGGGTGCCTGTACACCCGGTGCTGCGTATGATGAGGAGTATGATTGGGCATCGTAGATGCTCGGTGATCGCATGCGGTCCATGCTAGTCTGTGCTCCGGGACTTCCAGCTAGTTGTGGTTGCATCGAGTCCAGTCCTGCCGTATGAGGAGGAGTCAGGGGGTCCATGTGCTGGGATAGCGGGCTGTGTGATATGCTTCTGTTCACCATTGTACGGCTAGTTGTAGAGGCCAGAGGATATTCGAGACTGTCGTAGTTTGTTGGGTGGAAAGGGCTGACTGCTCTGTTGAGGTTGTTCAATGTCGTCGGTTCGGAGACGTGGTTCAACGAAGGCTCCATCGGGGCCGCAGAGAAAGCGGGCTCCATGTCTAGAGGTCCTGATGCGTAAATGCTCTGTTGCGAAGGCGCTGAAGTTCCAAAGATGAACCCAAAGTTGCTCGAAGGGTGGATATGCGAATTCGAATCGGATTGTTGGTNAGCCTTGACGAGCCATGGTCAGCGAATTGAGCTCGCTAGAGATATTATAAATGACTTACTGTGGTCGAAAGATGGGTCGTGGAATGCCATGTGACCGTAGTGGGGAGGGGGAAGATAACTTAGAGAGCTNNGGATATACAGTCAGTGCATTGTCTTGCTTGCTTGGTAGGAGATAACTTACGCCATGTCTGCTGATGTAGTATGAGGAGTCTCTTTCGGATCGCGAGAGGTAGAACCAAATCCAGTATAGCTGTTTTGCAAGGACTGAAATCCAGGTAGTGTAAGACTTTCACCAGCTTGCTGAAGTGCTGGAGGGTCTGATGGCGAGCTGAGTGAAGTTGATTGATGCTGAGGTGTAGAAGACTGTTTGGTAGCTACCCAGCCGTTGCTGTTCAGGTTGAGTCGGTCTTGTATCTGGTCGGGCAAGAGCTCGGGATGGCGTTCAATATTGGCAGAAGAGATGGATCGAGGGGGACTTGATCGAGAGTTGCTTCGTTTCTTGATACCACCAGTGTCTTGTAGATGTATAGGGAAGATACTGTCTGTTCTTGTCCTAGGGTCTGATGAAGAGGAAGGGCTCAGGTACGGGGAGTTCATGACGGATATAAGAATTGCTCAGATGAAGGAACCAGAGACGGGAACAGGATGCTGGCCTACTTTTCATAGGCCGCATTGACATGAGACGTCTGAGGCGGAGGGGATCTACGCCAGGATGGCTATCTCGGGTGCTGGTTCGGTTTTAAACACTGACAAGGCGCAGTGGGCTTTCCAACAAGCAACGGCGGGAGCACGCAACCACCAACACATGGCCAGGTATCGCCCGAGCTAATTGGCCCGGGGCTCCAGGGCAGAACCTACGGACCCCTGCCCCTCCATCAACTGCTGCGCACGGGTCTGCTTGGAGCTAACATATTTCCAGATGCAGAAGAAATTTGTGATGCGAGTTGTAGGCATCAGCACGACCAATGTTGCATTCATCTCTGACAGACGGGATGGCTGGGCCGAGTCTTGGGCCTCGCGATGAAGCCTGGGTAGATCTTGATGAGATTGTTGCAACGTTGGCAACCATTTTCCACCTCGAGTCATAGATTGAGTTTAGTGAGAGGTTTGGCGCAGCAATGAGGCTGTCAAGAAGAGGGCAGAGGTGAGGGGCAGCCGGCACCCGCGATTTCTCCTTTAGCAATATCAGGTGGTCGGCGCGTGCTAACCGGCGACCAGATTGATCTTAGTGGGGACCTAAGTTGGGAACAGAGCGCACGCTGTACCAGGCTCCAAGGCATGGATTGACTCGTAGCTCTGAGCCAATGAGAAGAGATGGAGCCTTGACGCTGTTTGACATCTCGTCACACAAAGTTTCCTATGCTGATCCCTTTGTTTCTTCCACCATCTTTGAACTCTATGCAAAATGATATCGTTCGATTGGACAGCCTTCTCAGAGTCAACGTTGACAGCTCGTGAAGATGTGTTGTCACCACGAGATTCTTCAAGAGTGGTAGCAACCGGTCAACTTTGGCCGGACTGCGACTAGACCGGGCAATAATCAAAACGAGCAGCGATAATTAAAGTGCTCATCTTGCTCTATCATCTGAAGAGTGGTTGCGACCGAATAGCGGGGGTCAGGGTCTTACGCCCTATGCAGCCATGCAGCTATGCTAGAATGGGATCGGCTGGGTTCCGTCCCACACTGATGCTTGGTGTTTGACGGTTCGACCGTTGGGGCCTTCGTTTGCGACAACCCGTCGGGCCGTACTCCTGGCGTTGCGAAAGGTTATCATCGGCTGTAGACGTGCGGCGTGCTAATCATCATCGAAAGGCTCGTATGCATCATGAAGGTAACATGCAGTATCGTGGCAGCCAGCAATTGTCCGGCAAAACATCTGCCCGAGGTGATGTAGAAAAAGCAATGCCCCAATTTCAGTGTCTTCTTGCACCAAGCAGTCAACTCACGACGGCACATTTCTTGCTTCATTCGGGCCGCTCTCTGAGACCATGATGTAGTTCTCAGGGAGGTATCTGGCAGCCTGTTGAAGATGCCTCGCGGAATGGCTCCCAGAAGGGTTAGTGGCTGTCAGAGTTGTTCCGGCTTGGTATCATTGGTCTGTGTGAGCTGTCCCCGCATCGGTCGGAATGCCCAGAAATCACACGCCGTCTGCCTGGCATTCTCGTCTAAACAACGTGGGTGCCTGAAGATGGGCATAACACAAACCGGTGAACTGAAATTCAAGACGGGAAGCGTATGGCGTGACTGCGGGTTGCATTATCACCTTGGTGGCCGTGCTCCGCTGTTGATTCGATGTCTCGCAATTGCACTCTCGGGCAGCGGAGCAACACATAACTAATGCTGAACAATCAATCAGCCAGGTCGCCGACCACGACCGGTCAATCTCAGCCTCATCGACTGTCCCGTTCTCCACCGCCAGTCGTCGCTTGTACTTGTCTTTTTGCTCCAGTCTCGTTTGTCTGCAGACTGCCGGACAGCGGTCGGTGGTCAACCGAAGCTTAACTTTGAGTCTGTAGCCAAATACGCTCAAAAGTAGGGACAAGGTGTTCACCTTGTCAGCCATCACGTGCGACCTCGCGGTCTTCCCACAAGCGCACGAAGATCGACGAGAGCTTGAGCTTCTGGCTACCGTAGAAGATTAGGCGGCCTTGGTGATCTGCAAATCACCGAAAGCATGTAGACTTGGTTGCTATATTGCGATAATGGTGGTCAATAAATGCTCATGTTTCGCAGAGACCGTTGTCCGATCTTCATGACAGACACGAAAGCAAACCAACGAATGCAAAAACCCCGACAGGAGCTTGTCGAGCAGTGAGACGCCAATTCCAGCCACAAAATAGCGTTGTACGACTCAGATGCTCGAGCTTCGCCCTGGTGCTTTTCCCTCCTTCGCCCGCCCCACGATTAGGGTGCCTTATTGAAGCTTGATCTCTGGGTTTCAGATTAGGCAAGGTCTGCTTGACACCAAAATTGGACTGCACATCATTCCCCGATGTGGCTACCAGAGCGCGCTCGACGTCGATATGCGGCATAAAGTTCCGCCCCCATACAGACTTCATTTCGCGGTGTCAAGGAGCATACTGCAATTTCAGGGTAACTGAAGCCCGAGACACAAATGGCTGAGGAGTATCCACGAATTTTCTCCGTGGTGGTTCGTTCAGGGGTGACGACCAAATGTTGAGTCATGCGTGCAATAGCTATCAAGTAACGAATGTGCAAATTGCGGGCGATAAGATCGATGAGATGTTTGAGAGCTGTCCCGTACCGATCACAGGCTAAATCGCAGGTAGACATAATAATGGTACACTTCTCAAAGTTTGGCCCTTTCATGCACTTTGGGACCGAGTCGAGCGCTGTCAATGACAACATTGAATCCATCTGATCCTGTTTCCGTCTTGATTTCCATCTCTTGACAATCTTCCAGACCAACGTCATTGGCATATTGTACCACTACAAAATCGATAGCTTTCGCGCCAAGCACAACCATTGGCGCGTGCCATGTACCAGGACCATAGGTGACAGCTTGCGAACCATTGGCAAGAAACGCGCAAGCACGGCTCAGATCTGGCTCGCCCGGGCCTTTAGGGAGCTGGGGCTCAGGGCTAGATCCTGAAGACGAAAACGTAGAGTGGTCAACTGGAGAAGGTTGAGCTCTGGAGAAAATTTCAGTCCAGCTCCGTTGTTGTTTTGGGGCATGTTGGGGATATGGTAATGGTCTGTCCGTTGTTCTGCATGTAGGGGCGACGATGACAAGGTAAGCCGTTGTCGCATCTTCGGCCGCAAGGCCAAGAGGTACAAAAGTTTGAGGTGTGAACGGATGTCGTTCCAGAATCTGCACGGGAAATTTCGATGTTTGTTCCTGAGTGATATCTGAACCACTACTGGCGGGTTGCAGTTGGCGCGGTGAACAAACGAACATGTTCATGACAGCCCTCGCAGGATGCCCGCTCGGCGCTAGATGATAGAAGTTGGAGACATGAGAGACGTCGATGTACTTGAGAGCCGAGCCTTGGTTTGCTTTGACAACTTTGGGCTGTTGAGACCTCCCGGTTGCATTCACTGGGTTCTCGACGACAGTGCCAAACTCAGCAAAGGCGTCCTGAGTCAAGGGCCGCACCGGAAGATTCAGGTTTGGCGCAATGATATAGGGCAGCATTCTCACAGTGAGACTCGTGTAATTTCCTTGGACTTTCCGTTTGTAAGAGTATTCTCACGAGTTCACGACAGACAGAAGTACTCTCTTATGAGGGAAGCAGGCGGCTGGGTAGACCGAGATCGGGGATAATGCGCTTGATGCGCTCGATGCCAAGACATGGTCAATTTCGACGCGAACGCGTCTTCTCGACGACGCGTCTCATACCATCTTGACGACGACAACACACTATTGATACCACAGTATATTTATCATGAGCTTTTCCTCGAACAGGTAAGCATCGCGATGCATCGTGTCAGGGACAGGTATTGATTCGGCTACCTAGACCACCTATCAGGACATATTCGAAAACATACTCCAAGAGAAAACACCAGGATTGCATTGACGACACCCTCAAACGACGACGTGTCTCGATAGTAGAGAGTGAAGAGGGTGAATGTGCTCCTTCATCAGACCCTCCACCATCGGATGTCGCCCTATTCTCTGACGAAAATGTTCCACCTTCAACACCGCCCTCATCACCACCCAGTCTCGCTGTCTCTCCAAAAGATGTACCTCCAAAGCTGCGACTTTCTAAAAGCCATCCCGAAAGACATGTACCAACTGCCAAACCTGTTCTGAAGACGTCAAAATCACTCGTCCAGATGCAACTCAATTTCGGCCAGTCCATGCGCAAGACTTGCAAAGAGTGCCGCATGGAGTATGTACCTTCAGCTCCAGAAGACGATGCTCTTCACAAGAAGTTTCACGCTCAACACGTCAATGGTGTTGCCATGGATCGAGACTTCCTTACCAAAGTCAAGTCTGAGAAGGCTGTATGGCATGGACCGCAAGGAGACTTTGTCATATCCCTCAGTGGCTCTCAGGATCCAAAACATTGGCTGAAGAAAGCTCGCGCTGTATTCGACATGGCGACAGCAGATTTGGGCGCTGTGGACATTCCCGATGAAAAGTTATGGGGGCCACAGTTCGCTGCATCAAGTGCTCGGAACAAAGCGCCTGACGCAAACGAAGAGAAGAAGGACAGATACAAGCTGTATCTCTACATGGACAATGGCAGATGCGTAGGACTCTGTCTTGCGGAAGGGATTGAGAAGGCGTTCAAGGTGGTCGAGCGAGAGAAGAAGGTGGAGATGACGAAACAAGGGGAGCAACAGGAAACAGAGGGAGAGAAGAAGGCACCCAATTCAGCAGAGATGCAGTCAAGTGAGCTGCTCTCGATCAGTCAAGAGACAGACGGAGCAGCAATTGGCATATCTCGAATTTGGACGTCTCGAGGGTCGAGGAAGAAGGGTATCGCCAGGGCACTGTTGAAGTGTGCTGCAAAGACGTTCCTATCCAAGGTTACACCCAAAGAGATGGTTGCCTTTAGTCAACCTACCGAGATGGGCACAGCCCTGGCGAGGCGATGGTTTGGTCAAGAGTACGGATGGCATGTATACATTGATTGGTGTTGATTGGTAGAGATCGGGAATAATATTAGCACGAGCATTCGTCGATGGCGCATGACTTGATGTCGCTGGCAATGCCGTCACAGATTGATAGACTTCGGACAGCAAAGACAGTTTGTTGCCCGCGGGGTTCCGGCGAGTCCGGAAGCAAAACACACGGACGACTGCAGATCGCTCTCGTCGTCAGGCCATGTGAAGACAGCGATGATCTCGACCACGGTATGCACGATGAAGCAATGAGCTAGAGCAGCACAGTTGGATCACGATGGCGGGCAATCCTTTCAGAAAGTCGCAGTTCCTGTCGCTCGACGTGTCGGCGGCGCGTGAAGCAGCGGGACTCGACACTAGTCAGCCAGCAGCAGCAACATCGACAAGCACTCAGGGTAAGAGCTGCCTGCAACTGTTCCTGCCCCACGACAAGCACCCACTGAGAGCTCGATANGCCAAGACAAAGGGGAAGGTGCAGAAGAAGGTTCGCATTCAGAGTCCAGTCATCTCGCCGGACTCTCCCGCCGCCTACCGAGATCAACATGACCCCTTCGACACATACCTCAACCCCAAGGGTCAGCCTGCACTACCCACGACCCAAGAACAAGACGTAGACACGGCGCGCGAGCTGCGCAGGTCCTTTATAGACTCGTTGGCAAGAGGGGCCACTGTCCCAAACAGAGAAGCCTCGCCGACAGCTCCACCGGTAGCTCCTGCCCAAGCTCAAGCTCCTGCCTTCGCGCCAGAAAGAATGGAAGCCTCATCCCAGTCAGGGCAACAAGCACCATACAACCCCTTTGCCAAAACTCTGGCTACAATCGATCCTCAGAATGCCGCTTCGGCCCCTGTCGGTCTCTCGAGAGACGCTGCCGCTGCTTCCGCTAAGCCGGCCATGGATGTCGATGCCTTCACGCGCATGCTGTTGACAGGCAACACTCCATCTGCATCACCCGGGCCTATGACACCCTCGACACGTCTTCCGTCTGCTACTGCCAATTCTCTTGGAGACTTACACCCCGAGTCTCCTTCTGCCTCGGACGACGAACATCACGATGAGCCCCCGGAACCAGACTACGAGCAACTGACAGGCCTGGTCAGAACACCAGATACCCAGACGAAGAGGCCCAAGCCGCCTCCACCATCACATCACCACGGCAAGGCTCTGTCCACTCTCAACAAAGGCCCGCAAACCGTCTCGTTCGCCGACTTCAACGTCCCCGCTACCCCACCTGCTCTTCCCTCGCCATCACTCGTCTCGCCGAAGCCTCAGCTTGTCCGGTCTCCTTCCGATCTGAACAAACCTCTACCTCCGCCTCCTCCGCCGCATCAGTCGCCCAGTCCAGATGTGACTCCTTCTATTCCGGTACAGATCGACGGCCCTGCTCAATCACCACAACTGGCGCCCGAGGACTTTAACATCAACTCCAAGAAGCCTCCACCACCACCGCTGTCACGCAGGAGCAGTCAAATGAGAAGCTCGAGCGGTCGACCACGCAGCAGCTCCAATCTCTCACGAGCCTCGGTCCCAGACGACTATTCAGATGGCACGGCGACACCACCCGCGAAGCCACCACCACCACCCCCAGCAAGAAGAGTGCCTCATTCTGTAGAAACGGACCTGCCCGTACCGTCAGGACGGCCACCGCCTCCACCACCATCTCGCAACACAAAACAACGACCCTCGAGCGTCAGTCGCACACCGTCTACAAACTCAGTAAGTTCGCTGAACAAGGCCAACATGCCGCCCCCTCCTCCACCAAGACGAGGAGATAACAAACGAAGGAGTTTGGATGGCACATTGCTCAATGCATCTGCTCCTAGCTCACGCCGCATGAGCGACACCAGCCGACGATCCAGTGGAGCAAGTTTCTACTCGTCTGGCAGGACGCCTTCTGTTTCGTCCATTCCAACAGTCGATGAGGGTGACTCAGGCGAAGATAGAAGTTTCAATGCTACTCCACAACCGGAGGCGCAACAAGCTGGTGCGAATGGTCTAGGGGGTGGTGATATCTTGGCCGATATGTCTGCCATGCAAGCTGAGATTGACGCCCTGATGGCAAGATCAAAGAGTGACTCTTGAGTCCATAGACAAGACTGGTGGGTGTTGAGGCTTCGTTTTCTTCTATCTCCAATCAAACGAATTCATGTGGTGTTTTTCTTGTTCTCGAGGACATATGGCGAAAATTAACTAGATTTGGTTGAATGCTTTTATTTTTGTTCGTCTCATCTCTTTACACTGAAGAAAGACTTTCTCAATTTCCTCCTCTTGCCGTTCTCTTTGCTTTGTTTGATCTTCCTTGATTCGTAACCATTCACTGCTCTATCTTCAGATCGTGCTGTTGCGATGCTATAAACGTCATTGTGAATGCGGCAGACTTCTTACTACGAAAGACAGCATTGTATGGGGCCACGTCTCCAGTAACGAGTCCTCACATCTCTTGGACATTTCTCCCATCACACCTCTTTTGATAACCGGATCCCAGCTCTTCAGACACCCACAAAAGTCTCTCTGCTCCAATCAAAGTGTTTTCTCATTCTCTTGCCCATAGACTGCAACATGACGCTGTCAATCTTGGGCGAAGGATGAGGACGGTGGAAGATGATCTTCTTTCTGGAAGGATTTTCGAAGGCGACAGCCGAGCCACCGACATTGCGGGCGGAGAAGCTGAGGTCGTTCATGGCATGGACGAAAACATCCCAATCAGTGTCCTTGGCCAAAGTTTCTTCAGCTGAACTTGGAAATATCTTTCTGATAATCTCGAGGGCGCGAGAGGTTGCGGAGATCTGAATGGGGCTGTGAGACTCCATGTCTTCATTGATATCAATCTCCAGAGAAGCTGGTCTGCTTGTCGAAACGTCGACAGACTGAGACGGGCGCGTTTTTGGCTTTGGGGCTTTTTCCTCGAGGACGAGTGTCGATACATCTGGACCTGTGTCACGAAAAGCTTCCTGTGGAGTTGCAGTGCTTGTGGTTTTCTTACTCAAGGCATCTGCTGCGATGGCATCCAATACCTCAAGTCGCTCGGCCTCGACCATTTCAGCGTACTCTCTGCTGGTTGAGGCAGATACCAGGGACATGGCATCATCAATTTCTTCCTGCTTCATTCGTGTAAGACCCAACACTAGCCGTAAAGACTTACGCGCCTGCTCCCAGAAGTTGGCGAGAGCTTCGCGCTCGACAGTTCTGCAGTCTAGCCATGCTTGGTTCTTGCGACCGACTGCGGGTGCCGATTGATCAAACAACTGCATGTACCGCGGTGAGAATTCGAGCGCCTCGGGGTCGCTAGAACTTTGGGGGATCAGGCCTCTCGTGAAGGAAGTCGGGTTTTCCTGGAGCATCTTCTCAAGGTCCTCTGGTCCTCGGCGAAAGTACGCAGGGCGATGCGATCTTACAGCAGAGAGCATCTCATGTTGTGCTGCAAAATCTGACAGCTTTGCGTAAAGTGTCTCGTCCAGTCTCGCGCGCTCTTCCTTGCTTGCATCGGTAAGATGAGCTTCGAGTTTGGCGAAGAGCTCGGCATGATCGAAACGAAGCTCTGCGTCCGGGTCACCTTGAAGTTGCATCAAAGTGAAGTCAAGCGGGTCGTTGTAGTATTGCTCTGCCTCTGAACATGCCATTGTGCTTTCCACGATTACGGAACCTTCAGAGGCCTTATGGAATTTGTAATACTGTCGAAAACCAGGACGCTGTGTGATGTACACACTGAGATGGCTGGCTCCTTTGTCCATAGTGTCGAGGAGGGCGCACTCCATGATAGTAAGACTGAGCTCGAAGAGACGCGGAAGTGGTTGGCCTGGGTGGATGCTATCATGGAAGCGACGATTATGACTGCGGACGCTGTTCCATGCCTCATTCAACTGCATCCAGCGCTGACAGTCAAAGACGGCGTGACAGATGTCTGCTGTGACAAGCCTGTGTTTGTAATCGAGCCTGTATACCTCGCCGACGGCCATGACCTTGATGAAGCGACGGACATAGGAGGGGTCTGTCTGCAATAGCCAGAGGTGGTCCTGAGCTGCTTGCATGCGAGCGTTGGCTACAGAACAGTAGTAGTCGATGTCGAGTTTAGGAGGACTGGAGAACGGCTGATTAATGTAGTCAGACCACAGCTCAATGGTTTTGGTCTGCTTGAATCCGGTTCGAACCATCTCTTGCCACTTGTCGGAAGCGCCCATGATGTCTCGGTTGACTCCTTCCAAGATGAGATCCACAATGGATCGAAGTCTAGAGAACATCAAAGCTTGCGCTTCGATGATCAACCGAGCTCGTGGATATCCGACAATATCCCAGCGCTCTGCAGCCTTCTTATCCCAAGGAACGAGCTTGCCGTAGTCAACGCCATGCATAACAACGCAGTGGCCTCCAGTATGGCCATGATCGATCTGACCGTTGCCGTAGACGATCATACAGACATTGCCACAATACTGCAGGTCAAAGACTCCAGTAGTCCAGCCATGTTTGAGTGAAACACTGTCAAAGGGTGCCCACTCTTCCGGTGAAAGATGTACTCGGTGGTGTAACAACCCCAAGAGGATCAACAGGTTTGTCTTCATGATAGTGGTACTCATGTAAGGCAGCAGCCAACTTTGTCTTTTGTGTCGACGTACTTCTTCAATCGGGGCTTTGTTCCCACCGGTTCTAAGTCTGAACCACGGCTCCTTCTCGATGGTTGGATCGGCCTGGAGTAAGAGTGCCTCGCGCTTGTGGTGACTTTTCTTTCGCCATCTGCTGGAGATTGTGTTCCCGAACTTGTCGCATAAGTCCGACAGGTAAGCTCTGTCTGTGTTGATTCTGTCGACAAACTCGGCAAGCAAAGCACTCGCGGCATTTGGTGTAACCACGGATTCGTACCAGAAGGAGGTCCTGAGCTGCCGCTCCATTCGGGTGAACTGTTGTTCGCAGTTGCCGCATTCGCAAGGTGGCCTTATTCTGGGGTCCTTTTCCAGGTTGGCCAGGGAGATTGTTTGGTCGACTTGCGCCGAGGGTGCTTGTGTCATATGGTATGCAGCAAACATGATGTCTGATCTTTTACTCACTCCGTGTCAGTAAGGCCAATGTATCAGAAGCCGGCCTACTTACCGACGAATGTCTGTCGCGCTAGTGATCCGCAAGAAGTGTGTTTCTCGAGCTCAGCGATGTCTAAGAGACCGATGCGTCTCTGATGATCGTGGTGGAACAGACGCTGTTGATGATCAACATCGCACACTGTCGACACTAATCTGATGTGATTGCGCGCAGCGAGTCAAACCCCAGCGGAGCGAGCTTTCACCGAGTCCAGTCACTTTTGCTCTTCTCTCGCCGTGGCAGAAAATGACTGCAGTGTGCAATGCGCAGCTGCTTGTGTCTTTTGGGCTCGATCTGCACGAGTGCGTCAGCATGCTGTACTCAGTGAGACAGCGTACTCGTTCCAAACAAGCTACAAAACTTGAGACTCACAAGCACGATGATCTGAGTACGCGAAAGAATGGACACAGCACATTGGGTTGAGTAATTTCAAGAGTGCGCACACACAAAGAGACGCGTCCGTGGTAAGGACTCTCGCTTCACTTGGGGAACAACACCAAAACAAGACACGCGCCTGCACAGAAGAAAGAAGTGAGGAAATAACCACGATTGGATTGCTATGTTGACAAGAGTGTCGGTACTCGCGTTATCTAGGTTCCATGTACGCTCGCCTGGTGATCGAACACTTGCCAAAGAGGTAGAGATCCTCTGAAGCAGATGCCCGCACACAATGGCATGATCCTTACCCAGCAGCTATACCAAAGGGCGTCCCCAATGACGACTGCTGGAGGATGAGTTAGTAGAGCGCACCGCACAAAGCGGATTGATGGCCTCGGAGCTTCTGGCACATCTGACAAGAAGATGATCTTCTTCAAGGGACCCCACTGAAAGAAAGACCATCATCAGCATGCTGACAAAGGAGTCCACTCAACACTGCAGATGACTGGAGTGGCATGAGAGAGAAGAGCAGAAGTGGAAGAGGAGCTGTGTTTATATAGGGAGGCTCTGCGGTCTGAGCTCCGGTCCCGCTGACTAAACATTATGTAAGCAGCGTGTTGGCGGCAACCGCCGCTTGCCTTGGCTCTCGCTCTACGCTCGATAGGATTGCGGATCTACGAGAAGTGAATGTTGAATCTGAAAAGTGATATTTTGTACCACAGAAACATCTTATATATCTTCCCCAGATTTTGGTGTCTGACAGGCGCCACAGCCGTTGCAGATCATTGGCATGAACGCTTGAACCGTGCAAAAGGGTCTGGAGTTGCTCCGGCGTCGCGCGCAGAACTTCAGTTGAGTGCTGCACACAGGTATATGTTCAACGAGACGTATAGGTTGCTCCAATAGTCTTTTACAAGGTTGCTTTTTTGTTATGTGCGTCTGTGGAAACACTGTAACTCATAATTTCTATTGTGTATGATCATCTTCTGTGCTTGTGGCACGAACCTATGCTACAGAGCTCGTGATCTCGTAAGAGTTATCAAAAGTGGTCATCTCGCCGCATGGTACATCTGATCTATTGCAATGGCAAGTACAAGATACTAACAGTATCGAATAATGTAAAACAGAGTTGTCTTCCATCAGTCCGACTAAAATCATCCTGTAAGGTCGTTTCGAAGATGGCGACAGGGTTGTCAGACCAACAACTCGGACGGCGCACGGACCGTGATGATGAATGTCGACTTTGGGCTGGCTCGATGCGACAGCAGCTCGGAGACAACAATCATGGCCAATATGTTTGGAGCTCTAAACAGATTCATCTCGCGCCTGGACGCCGATCCACAAGCTCAGAAACAGACTGGAGGAGGATCTGACACGTATGGTTTCCAAGTGCTTCGCAACAACAACCCAGAACTACCCCTGGAGCCATGGTTCGACTCGATCATTGGTATCAATGGCCGCACCATTGTACGCACAACTCGCTTTCTTCACTACATGCTCAGTAGCTAAGACGCAACANNGGACAACCCCGAGCCCAGCCTATTCGTCCAGGAGTTGCGCAACTGCGCCGGCACCAACATCAGCCTGGGAGTCTACAGTGCCAAAGGACAGCAGATCCGTGAAGTTTTCATCTCGATCCCACCAGACAACTCGCCGTTGGGTCTTGCCTTGCAGTGGTCACCGCTCACTACAACCGAAGCCGTCTGGCATATTCTTGATGTCATCCCCAACTCGCCTGCCGACGTCGCTGGCCTGTTGCCCTACAGCGACTATGTCATCGGCAGCCCGGAAGGCTTGATGAGAGGCGACAGTGGGCTTAGCGAGCTGATTGAAGACGTAAGAGCGGATGGATGCTTGTCTGGGCAGAATGACTGACACAATACAACANNGTTTCTCAATCGCCCACTTCGCCTTTACGTCTACAACAACGAATACGATGTGACGCGCATGATCACCATCACACCCACGAGAGGCTGGGGCGGCGATGGCGCACTAGGCTGTGTTCTGGGCTTTGGAGCTCTTCACCGCGTCCCTGCTCCTTTGAACGAACCTGCACAAGCACCTGGAGAGACACTCTTCGAAACAGCCCGCTTCAGCAACGAAGAAGCTCGCTCGACACCGACTCCGGCTGGCGACTTCCTCGTACCCGCCAACTTGAACCTCAGCGCCACAACTCCACCTGCAAGCATCAGCATGGGCGGGGAGAAGAGAGGTGCTAGGAAACAAAGGGTACACCATGCCATATCTCCTACTGCTGGTCTTGACGACTATTTCGCCGAGGGAGAGCAGAAGAGCCGTGAGATGGACAACGCTCCCACACCAAAGCCAACTGCAGGTCTACCACCACCTCCAAAGGCAGGCGGCCCACCAAGAGCTACCAAATCGCCTGCCATCGCTGCGGCTTCTGAAGAGCTCGAAGCAGAAGTCGGAGACGCATGATATATACCTCTCGCAGGATAAGTAACCATCTGGCGATACGCATTCGTACTAAATCGTACACATTGATTGACATGCTTCTGTTCGGATAAGCTTCTAGTGTGATTTGCGATTGGTGTCGCTACCTCGACTTGGTATGGAACCGTCGAGTTGTAATGTTCACGTGCCAAGCCTATGATTCTCAGAACAGGCGAAGTAGGAAGTAGCAACAGACTGGAAAGCTCTTGCTCTTTCGGAAGCTTCGACAGGAAGGTAGGTGTTTTCTCCCGACGCTGTTGGCTTCCTCTCCTCCTCCACACACACCACATCCATCACCAGCAATTCCATCATCCGTTGGCACTTCTTATCACCATGCGTTCCTCATTCATCCTTGCATGTCTACTGGCTCTCGCATGCATCTCTACAGCATCAATCGACGTCTGTGCCGCTGCCGTCGGGGACCAGGCTCCAGAAGTCATATTCCCCCAAAACTCGCATTTCGCCGTCCTGCTCAAGCCTCTTCGTGGTGTCATCGACGCCTTCTTCAAACGACTCCCACTCAAGAAGAAGAAGGAGACTGAGCGCCAGCCTTGGTCAATCACCACCTATCCGACCTACGCTCACAAGACCGACGATGGCTGGAGAGCACATATCCACGGCAACCTCCATCACCGACAGCCTTACGACGACAACCAGTTGAACAAGCTCCTCAAGAGTTTCCTCATCCGCACTCGTCTTGAAGAAAAGAAATGGAAGATCTGGCAAAGCGGCTACCGCACACTCAACGATACCGAGCTCGCACAGGGAAGGCCCATCGCGCATGAAGTCGCCTCAGTGCCCATCTGCCATGGTACAATAGGCGCCGTCGTCGATGCCTGCGATGAAGGCTCCATTCTTCCGATCGCCACCAACCAAGAAGGCTCGTTCTATGGAACAACCACTGTATCCGACTCATGTGCTCTCGCAAACAACAAGAGCAACATCGACATTCCCTCCCAGCAGTTCACTCTCGTCCCTTGCAACCTCCGCAGCGGCATTGACGAGAATGTCAAGAACTCTGCGGGGGTCTTGTTCGTCCCTCCAACAGGTGTCACCATCATTGCCGACCTAGATGACGTACTGCGTGTCACCAACGTATGGAACGTGAAGCAGGCACTCTTGAATGTTTTCGTCCGTCCATTCACTGCATGGAGAAACATGCCTGACGTTTTGTATGATCTCAAGGCACGCATCGAGGCCGAAGGCCAGAATGTGCACTTCCATTATCTGACAGATGCTCCCGAGGCTATTTCAAGCTCTTACATCGATCACATCTTCGACATGTATCCCAAAGGATCTTTCGACTTCCGTCCAATGAACTTCACCAAGACCCGAGAGATGATTCATGCCCGTCAATACAACGTGAAAAGACTCATGGAGAGCTTTCCAAGCCGAAGATTCATCTCAATTGGGGACACCACCAACGCCATGGGCAGGTTTCCCAAAGACATGAACGATTTCTATCCTCGCATCCAATGCATCCTTGTCCGAGATGTCTCAGCTACAGAGAGGTCCAACTGGGTCACCCCTGACACTCGCCCCTTCCTCAATCTTGATGATACCGAATACCTCTTCTTCCGCGTCCCCGACGATCTCAAGCGCCTGTCAGGGAAGCATCTGGCATCACTCGCACCACAGGTTGAGGGAGCGCCAAAGACTTTTGGCTGCTTCGACTCCGATCACAAGCTGGTCCAGGCCATGGAGCCATGCTCTGCACGTTGGAACAAGGTCAAGAGTTTTGCCAGGGCAGCTTGGTGGAACATCAAGTGTGCCGCGATCCTGCCGATGTGGAGACCCAATCCCAAGTGTCCCTTCGACCGTATCGCAGGGGAGAAGTATCATGACGGGTTGATTGAGCAAGAGGTGGAGTTGGAGCCATACACTGACAACATGCCATGGGAAGAAATGGCCGTGGATCATCCTGGCAGTCCAGATGAATCAGCAGATCCAGATGACGACGAGGATGCAGATGGTGATGATGACCGAGATGGTGATGATGACCGAGACGATGATGAAGATCCAGATGAGGAGGAGGACCTGGAAGAAGATAACGAGGACCACGAGAAGAAGGGCCATGACATGGGCCACCACGATGGACTTTGATAAGATCATCACGATTGTTACAGAACCCTAGAAATCAATCATTCCGCTTCATATTTGTCGTTGTCCCACTTTTCGATTGATGTTATGTCAAGATCCTAACCAATCAGCACACAACGTCCATAGCCGGTATGAGCCATTCACAGCTTCGTAACGAAGTGTGCCTACTTCTGTATTGTATGATGGGATCTTGCACATGTGGAGAGACAAAAGGCATCTATCAAAAAAGAACAAGAAGTGTAAAATGAATACATCTTTATCATAAAACTCCGACCATGCTTGTGATACTGAACACACAATTCCTTCCTTTCCCTCCAGCAATGAAACTATCTATAACTCATGGCGTAGCAAGGAAAAAAAGCAAACGCCGTGGAGAAAAACCATTCACCTACAAACGCCCGACCACCTTTCCATCCCAATCCATCCCACCTCAAGATATGATGCAGGAAACACAAACATCAGCGCTTTCTAATACTGCATTCCGGCGCCACCATAGCTCTCCTGGCGATCATCCAGCGATCGATAACTGCCGCCTCTTCCTCTTCCGCCTCTACCACCTCTCCCGCCGAATTTTCCTCTGCCTCCTCTGCCGCCGCGTCCGCCTCTGTTGTTTCCTGGCTTGGAGACACCGCCGCCTCGACTGTTGTGGCCCGTGTAGTTGCCGCGGTTGTTGTGTTGGCCGGGTCCAGTGGGGACGCTGGGGCCGAATTGCATGGCTTCGGGGTTGAGTTGTGAGGGGTGGTGGGCTTGTTGTTCGTGTTGTGATTTTTGAGGGTCGAGAACAGAGCCCAGGGCTGGGAAGTCTTTGTCGCGGTAGCGGTGTTGGGGGCGAGGTTTGCTGGCGTATGAAGGTTCGTCTTGGTCGGCGTTTTCGCTTTCGATCCGCAAGAGGACTTTTTCGCCGACGACAGTGTCGAATTCGAAGGATTGTTCGGGGGTGGTGGGTTGCCAGTGTGAGATGTACTTTGCGTCAATCGGGCGGGCGTTATTGCGAAGAGAGATGACGACGGTGGGAGTTGGGTTTTCTGAGTAGAAGCGGGCTCGAGGGTCGGCGGGCTCGACTCGGGCAGCCCATAGCTTGTTCTCAAAGTGTGAAAGGCCGGTCACCCTCCAGGTCATGCGGTGACCGAGACCGCCAACCTTATTGAGGATACTCTGGGGAGCGGGGCGAGGAGTGATGAGGATGTTATTCGCCAGGGTACGCCAGTCGCGATCTGATGTGTTCTTGGTCAGAGCAGCAAAGCGTTCTGTGTCTTGTGGGGAGATGAGATAGCCAGTGTAGAAGACGTTGCGCTTAATGGCCAGAGGATTTAGGCCCGGCACATCACCGTCCAGTACAGCTTGATTGTGTGAGTTGATCATGCGCTGAACCTCTCTGACTTCTACAAGGGGGTCGAGGGTAGTTGACTCTTCTGAGACTTGTACGACATCGGCCTGGATGGGAGAGCGGGAGGAGACGGAGCGGTTGAAGGTATCAAAGAAGTCGCGGAACGCTTTGGTACTGAAGACAGGTCAGCATGGCATGCGATAACGAGAGTGTGAGATAGCGCACTGTTTCGGGCGATCCTCGTAGATGCGAATCTCCTCAGCGTCCGAGTAGGTGCAGACCAGGTCGCGCAGCAGGTCTTGCTTGAAGAGCATGGTCGACGAGAAGCGCTGGCCGGAAGGACCAACGGCGGGCTTCAGACAGACCATGTCAAACTCGAGTTTCTTCGCTCTGAACATGCGAGTGACAAGGTCGGCAAAGCCTCTCTCGTTGCGGCCGGTCAAGAGGACCGTGAGGGCGTCCTTTTGCTCCATGGATAGTCGCACAAGATCGACAATACCCTCGTTCCACCAGCCCGACCAGGCCGTCTTCTCCTCCTCTTCGAGACCCTTGCCTGTCGAGGCTAGAATGTTCGCGTCGTGCCACCAGCCGCCTGTCGAGATCTGCTCAAGTGCTTGTAGAGTTCCTATACTCGGACCGGCCCAGACCTGCTTGTTGGGCAGGGGACTGCAGAACAGCGTGTTGTCAAAGTCGTAGACGTGGATGGCCCTGATCTTGTCCATGTGCGGGAGCACGGTGGGGTCTTGACATGACCATCTTTTAAGGCCGGTAAGGGTATGTGTTGCGCCTCCGTCCATGGTGGGAGAGGTAGGCGAGTGGCGCGCGATTGAGGGCAGATAGCGAGCGACAGGTGAAATGCGCATACAATTGTGGGATCCTTCCTGCCTGCTTCGACGTAATTGTCTATGACGAGAACAAAATGTTAGGGAAGCTGCGACTCGATTTCGTCCAAAGCCGAGCCGATCGAGAAGGGTCGGCCCGCTCCTGCATGACGTTGTTGCTTTCCTGCTCCAACGAACTTCTCGACTTTCCGTTCCTTCCTCTTCCGTCTGTCTTTGCCGTATGGAAGTGCAGGATGAGTACGACCCATCAATCGGCTTCCGCATCAAGGGCAAGGCCAAACTTCGAGATGCTTTCCAAGACACCTGCGTAATCTGCCTGGACGCCGTTACCGAACGCGCCGTCGCCGTACCTTGCAACCACTTGAACTTCGACTTCCTCTGTCTCTTGAGCTGGTCCCAAGAACACCCCTCTTGCCCATTGTGCAAGGCTCCCTTGACTGCCATCGAGTATGACTGGCGTTCTCCAACAGACCGCAAGATATACACTATCCCTAAGCAAGAAGAGAAGCCCAAGACATCCGCTGTCGTATCCGCCACATCTCGCTTTCGTCCTCCTCGCTTTCGTCCTGCTACATCGCACCGTCCGACACATACAAGTCCGGATGTCGCCCTTGCTTTTCGCCGCCGCATCTATGCAGATCAGAACTACAGTCTTCACGTAGGCACAAATCGCACCTCGCAGTATCGCAACTTCACGCCCGCTACGTTCACCACTTCTCCCGCTCTGCAGTCTCGTGCTCGTCTCTTCATGCGCCGTGAGCTCCAGGTCTTTGACTTCCTGGCCGAGAACAATGCCAGACAGGGCTTCCTCATCGAGTACATTGTCGCTATCCTCAAGACGACCGAACTCAAGGATGCTTCTGGCTCCGCAAGTACTCTTGTGGCTGAGTTTCTGGGTGCCAGCCCTGCCTCGCTATTCCTGCACGAATTGGAGGCTTGGTTGAGAAGTCCATACGAGAGACTGGAGGATTGGGATCGTCATGTTCAGTATGCGCCCAAGCGACCTAGATATCTCAATGGATGATGATGAAGCATGGAAAGCCTTTGTGCATTTTGATAGAACTCTACACTCATTGCATTCGTGGTCGGAAACGATTCCCGGGTACTGCAAAGACACAAAGGCACAACACAACAAGCATAGGAAAGAAGTCTTGATTGATACTCCTACAGACAAACGTCGTTCCACCCAAGGACTCTGCGTCAACTCGAGCTATCTGGTCTGCCTAGATGTCAGCACGAGAGCACTACACTTTGTTGCCTGGGTACTAACCTTAGTGCTTGCGCACGTATGGCGCAGGGGCACCGACAATTGGCGCACGAAGAGGGCCACCACCACTCGTTTCTTCGTGACAGAAGTCCATAGGACCTCCCTATCATTGCGTGTCAGCAAATAACTCATCCAAGTTGGACCGCGAAAGAGGAGACTTACGATCACGAGAGGGCGAGGGGGTGTCTCGTCTTCGTCGTCGCTGACGCGACAGGAGAACAGCGAGAAGAGCTTCTCGAGAAAGATCTTGATGGAGGGCATGGTGGTTTGTGGTATGCTCTGGATGTTTGTGGAAGGTGTGCCAGGTGAGGCTTTGTTGATGCGTCCGCATCACTGTGGTGCACTGAGCGCGCATGGTCGTATGTGTCGTTGTTATCTCTGCGAGCTACATCTCGTTCGGCGTGGAATCGTAAACTACGGCATGTCACGACAGTGACTACATGGTCAATGAACGACACCCACAAACGTATCCAAGGACTGGTACGCCTGTGTCATCTATGGTACCTACTTGCTTACATGAGACAAGACCAAGCAGAAGACGACGAGGAAAGTCTTCAGACGATCATCTGCCCCGTACTTGAGTGGTCGAATGGATGATACCCGGCGAAAGATAGGTGGAGACACGTGCTCGCAGCGCTCTTTTGAGCAACAGTCATCAAGATATACTATAGGTTATCGCCATCCCAGCCTGTACTACTCTCCTCCTTTTATTCAACTTGTATCAATCAGTAAATCAGACCCGCCAATTTGTCCCGACTCAATGATTAACAAGCCAGCCCCCAACTGGAGATCCAATATCTGAAGAACCAGGACACGCATCAAGCGAATACAAGCTTCAGCGTCACAGCGCTTCTGGACCCAAGTACGCTGAATCTTCCACAACTGCCAAAGACATTAATATGTCCTCTAACCAAAAAGCGCAAGGCTTCCGAAGAAGTCTGTTCAGTATAGAGGTCCGGAACCACCATCTCGACCAGACCAACAATACCTATGCAGCCCCCTGAGGTTTCAGCACTCGTTTCTGCTCACCACTATGCCGCCTACCACGGATATGGACACCCAACTCAACAATTTGCCCAGTACGAGGCGCCCGCCATTGCAAGAAGCATGAGCGTCGACCACTTGCAACAAGCCTCTGCTCCCGTACCTGCAGACTCCCTTCTTTTTTAGTTCTGGACCGACCCATACTCCCAAAGTAACCAGCCTCCGACGCCTTCTGTTCAACAACAGCTTGCAACATATGTCTACGCTGTACAGAGTCTAGAAGCAGATCCCTATGGCCTCCACATTCAAGAATTACACGGCATCTATGGCACTTCCGAACTTGCGAATGCCGCAGCACACGCATACTTCAATCGGACATCACCATGTGAAAAGACGACCATCCCTGAACATCCTAAACCAGAGCAAGAGCACCTGCAAGATGGTGATTATTGTAGGTTACGTTCGGACGAGGAACATAATGGAGGCCCCGAATCTGGAGTAGGCAACGTTCGCTTGCGCCATGATGGCGGTCTGAGATTTGGTGGTTGTGATCAAGAGTGTAGCGCCTATGTTGTTTGGGTAGAGAGGAGGGAGCTCAATTCCTCCACCGAGTCTAAAAGATAGAGGAGGGTTGTAGACCTCAGCCCTTGTGACGTTGATACGCGTAGGGTAGATCGTAGTTTTCTTTTTTTTTTTCAAACTTGACTCGGCCTCTATCTATACGATCTTTCTACCTAATCATATTCTTCATTAACCGGTCCACTCATCACCTACAAAATCAAACACTCTTCCACGTTGTCCTCAACTTTCCTCCCTTGACTTTCGGCGTCAAGGCCTCATCAGGAACAAGTCTAGTCGCCCGCTTTGCAGCATCCACATCCCCCCTCCTCCCGACATCCAAATTAATCTCTTGCAATCTGTGAAACCTCGTCTTGTTCCAATACTTGTACACCACATAGATGATCGGAAACAGTGGGATCAAGATATACGCATCCACAAATCCTGCGGCGTCAAAGGGCACAAAATTGCCCCATCCCTGCACCAACGCAAGGAAGATGTTGGCAAAGAGGCCAAAGTAGGCGTTCCAGGGGTAGAATAGAGAGCGGAAGGGGAGGTCGTTGGGAGAGCGGCCTTGAGCGGACCAGGGGTCAAAGAGGCCTGCATCTGCTTCTGTGTCGTGAGGCAGGTCTGATGGTGATTGTCTAGCCGAGGAGGCTGTTTTGGTATCCAATATCATCTCCTATTATTCCTTTGGTTTTTGTTACGTTACTGAGTCCTCCAGTATTCTAAAACGCAGCCCAGAGTAGTCAAGAGATATGTTTTTCGTGCTCCAGCAAAAATCCAAGTCCAGCTGCTTCGAAGTCACTCAGCGACAGGAGTATGGATGGGAAGCAGGAGAAAAAACAAAGGAACGTGCGGACCATAAGGAAACACTACTTGATCTTCTCAACAATCATCCTCTCCTACCTCTGGACAGAGTCTGCTTGATACACCCAATTGCCCGCCGCATTCTTGCCTATATTGGTCGATCTTCAAATGACGACATCTCAATGCTTTGTCGCGAAATTTCGACTCGGCCCGTAGATAGTTTTGTGAATACCAGAAAGCATAGCGGCTTGCTCTCGGTGTAATGTCATGTTTTGGAGTCGAAAATTCCATTGCTGAGTGATGGATGGAAGTTTTCACAAGAGCTGGAGTTGAAAGAACGAAAGAGTGTTTGGGGTTGGAAACGAAGGTTATCAGATTTTGTCGGAGCTCAACTCCGCAATCACGTTGCGACAGTTTTCTACTTGATAGATGGATTGAGTTCCCTTCTCTCTACCCAAACAATATAGATATTGCCGTCTTCATCGCATCCACCAAGTCGTAGAACTCCATCATGGCGCCGGCGGACAACGCCCTGCGCGTCTTCCAAGCAATCGTAAGAGTCATCGTCGTCTAAGCCATTACCCGATGCTGCATCATACTCTGCCTCCATAACGCCATAGTTACCACTCTGCAGGTCCTCGTGTTCTGGCTCAGGTTGCTCTGGAATAGTCAAATCACCCCATGGTGACGTTCGGTTGGAGTATGCATGTGCAGCGGCATTTGCAGTCGAGCAGTCGGTGTAAATACCGTGCAGTTCCTGGGGGTTTGTACAGCAAGACTTCGCGCATTGGCTCTTGAATCAAATGGCGAGTTCGTCATATCACATATTGGAACATCACAGTCGGCTCGAAAAGACAAGAATGCAGGCATGACATCGTGAATATAGATCTATATGCTGTTAGTACAGACTGAAGCGCCAGACTCCATTTTGGAAGCGCCAAAGATTCTCCAGTGGTCGCAATGATGTACAGTATTATACAAGAGACGACGGAGACTCTAGGACAGACGGATCATGCCCTTGAATCGGCTGGCGACTCTCTGGAAGAAAGTGCGATCGGGAACTTCGTCGAGCTCCTTGACGAGGGTTGTGTAGTGGTCTGGCGCTGAGGCAGGGTGCATCATGGCATTGGACAAAGGGTANNCTGCATGTGTGTCAGATGACAAAGTTGAGATGTGACTGAAAAGTGTTCTCCATACAGCAGTCGAGTATCTGTTCTCGAGCAGCGAGTACAGGGCATTGATCTCGCGGGCCTCGTTCCTCGGCTTGGGAGGTTGTGCGCGAGCGGTGTTGGCCTCGTTGGCTTGTGCGATGGGAGCGGCTTCAAGGCGCTTCTTCAGGACTGACTGGAATGAGATCTCGGGGCGCAGGCGGTCGACAGGCCATTGTGAGAGGATGCGGGCGTAGTGCTTTGAAGCTTGCTGTGAATTTGCTAGTCAGTCGCCTTTGTCTTGTGGCAGCACAAAGAATGGAGACTCACAGCGCGTGACATTGTGAATGATGTGGCAATTGTGCAATTGTCGGGGTTGAGGCAAGAGCTACAGGAATTGGTGACGGGAGCAAAAGGCAGTGACGATTAACAAATTGATCGTCGACATCATCAAAAAGGACCCCAGATTCTGCAGAGGCTGGAGCAGCTGTGGCTGAGCCCTGCGATACGCTCTCGGAAGACGGAAGTCGACGGATACGCATCTTACGAGCGTATCTGAGAGGCTGAAACTAGGCACTCACACTGATCGCATCAGCAAGCGACCACTCGCCCGTCCATTCTCTTCGACCATCATCCGTTCCTTTACCATATATCAAATCATCTGCCCGTCTCCGACTCCCATTCCTGAGATTTTGCGCCCGCCCGACCGACCGTCCTTTTTCTCTTTAATCACCACCTCGACACCATCGACTCTGTTTACTTTCGCCTCCTTTGACCGACCCCAGCGACCCTCTCTCTTTCTCCGCGCCCGTCGGCCCACTTCGCCTTGTCTCAAGCGCCCGACGACACCGCCCCTAATCACAATGTTCTCCTCCAACTACGAACGTGTGAGTATCCTCGACCACGACATCTTCCCCCGTTCGTCGTTACTGACTCGACCCAGGTGCAAACACATGACGACGACGACCACGTAGCCGGCCAAAACTCACACCCTATTCCAAACTCGCCCCCACCATCTTTTCGTTCGCGCAACTCCTCTCGCAGGAACTCTGCTCAACACGACCACCACCACGACGAGGATGCCGACCGGGATATTGACGACGCCTTTGCCGCTCCCTCGGACGACGAATCAGACCATGATGGCCCCGATGCCGACCGTAGGCGACTTGTTCAGTCCAGCGACCGCGACTCTCCCGAGGTACCTGCACCTGAGGTCCAGCCNCCTCGATTAAATCGCCGGGTTACCGAGATTAATATGTTCTTGACTGGTGCCGGTCGCTCGAGCAATAGCAGAGCTGTTGGCGGTGGAAGTAGCGCCAACGATGGCGTCTTTGCCAACATCTCTGCGAAGCCTACTCGTGGTGAAGAGCTCGAGGAGAAGCCTCCAGTATGTTCTTTTGCATATCCTCAATCTGTTTCTACGTCGTACTGATCTTATCGCAGNACATATGAGCAAGCAGCCGCTGATTCCGCGCCGCCATACTGGGAAACCTCTATTCTGGCTCCTGGCGCCTTCAACAGCGACGACATCTTTGTCGACGGTCTCGTCGTCGGCAGTCTATTCTCCTTTGTCTGGAACGCTCTCATCTCCATGTCCTTCCAACTCATCGGTTTCCTCCTTACATATCTCCTTCACACCACACATGCTGCAAAGCACGGCTCTCGTGCTGGTCTGGGTATCACCTTGATTCAGTACGGCTTCACCTTCCGATCAGTACCCTCAGACCCTGTCACCGGCGTACCGGCAAACGATCCATCTGGCACCATCCCCTCAGACCCCAACGCTCACGATTTCAACCCTTCAAAGGTCGCTGGAGGTGTTACCGGAGTGGAAGAGGCAGATGGTCTCCGCGCTCAAGACTGGATCTCATACAGTCTTATGATCGTCGGTTGGTTCATTCTGATCAGATCTGTCAGCCAATTCATCCGTGCCAGGCGGCAAGAGATGATCATCCGTGGCACCAACGACAGAGGTCTCGGCACGGCTGTTGTGGCAAGCAATGAGACGCCTGAGCAAGCCGTTTGATCAAGGACGTATGGACGCAGGATATCAGGGGTTGGGACAGGTCGTAATGGTGTACAGGAGGAGTTTATATCCTATGTGGTGATGGCTATATCACCCATTCTTGGTTTCAGATTGCATTGTCAGCGTATTTTGGGTGATTTCTCTTTTCGATGAGGTCAAGGTTCAGGGGGTTTCTTATAGCTGTGCTTTTCAAAGCAACGAATTCAGCTGCTTTTCCATTCTTTTCAACTCGAGCGACTCTGCGCATTGTGATTCTCATGGTTGTATTTTTCTTTCTTTCGACTGAGCATGGTAGCTGATATCGTACATGCATGACTTCTCTTCGATGCATCTCATCTTCTCGAGATCGTTCTCTGAATGTTTCTCCAAACACCCATTGGCGACTTTCTCAACAAGGCCAGATAGTACGCAGCACCAAAGACCAGACCACCCAAATGTCCAGCATGGGCAATACCCGACGTCGGCGAGTCCAAGAAGTACGAGTCCACCACACCATAACCTGCAACAAACATCCACAAAGGGAAAGAGATGGGGATCAACATCAACTGCATGGGAGCATTGGGCACCAAGCAAGCCGTCAAAGCACCCACACCCATCACCGCTCCCGAAGCACCCAAAGCCGCAGAGTTGTAGTTGCGAGACTTGGACTGCCAGTCACCGCGACCGGCTTCTGCGATTTTGGTCTTGCGGTGGTAGAGAAANNAGCCCAATCCACCCGTTACCGCTGAACCGCCAGCCACAGCAGCAAGATGCAATCCGCTCATGCCAGGGATAAACGCACAGAGCGAGCAAAAGTTATACAAGGACAGCATGTTGAAAGCAAAATGAATGGGATCGACATGAGCAAATGCAGAAGTGATGATTGTCCACCAACGCCCTTGGTCCACACTCGCTGGCGACAGCAAAGTGTTTGAGAGCAGCAGTTTTTCGAGTTTCCAGTCTTTGGTGTATTTTGCGTAGTTGAGGGCGCCAAAGACGAGGGCGTTTACGCCAAAGAGGACGTAGAAGGTGGACATTACGCCATTGGAGCGGGGATAGTGGTTTCCTGAGTGGTAGAAGCGTTGAGCACGCTGGAGGCGAAGGCGAGTGAGGGNGTCGAGGTCTTTGTTCATGGTGCGTGTTGTTGACGGGTGGAAGAAGGGGTGGCGTGGTTGGAGTAGAGAAGATGCCTTGCGTGGTTGGAATAGAGATGAAGCCTTGCGGGTTTGAAGGGTTGGTATAGACTTTGCCAAACCCAGTCTCTGGCGTAGCATTTGGAGAAACATCTTGAAGGAGAAGTTGATGAGAAGATGGAGTCGAGTTGATATATCAATTATCGGGTCATCGGAAGATGTTCGTCTACAAGGGTGCGGCACGAACAGCTATGGCAGGCGCTTAGCAGGAAGGGGCTCCCTCGATACTTGTCTGAGCTCTTGATACTCCCACCAGCTGCACTGATCGTCAATAACAAGTTTCTGATTTCGATGTTTGAACAGTTCAAGAAAGGAAGAAGGTGCGATTGATATATTAACGCTGAGCTCTCGTGATTGGCCGGACGTGTGCCAAGGCGCGATTTCATAGCTCGATGTTCCACATGGCGAGAGCGGCGCACGACGACTTTCTACCATCTTAACTTGATCCTCCTCGCCGCCTTCTCGTGCACCCCGCTTGCTCTACCGCCAACTCGCTTCTCTCCCGATCTTCTTCTAGACTTGCAAACAATCCTGCCGCTCGAACCCGCTCCTCAATTGACGTGAAGCACTGCGTGACACGACCACGACGAATCCTCTCCCCTTGTCCGACACAAGCGACAGCTCATCCACACAAACCGACAACAACACCACACTCTCGTCTGACTTGCGCCTACCTACCTCGGTCCATACCTTCACTGCGCGCATTCACTTCCACCCTCACGCCAACTCATTCGACACCTTTTTCAGAATTGCGTGTTCTTCGAGCTCACCTCTCTTTCTTCTCCCCCACCACCATTACTCACACACGATAACATACTATGGCGGATCAACTCGCAAATCAGCTCGAGAGCACCTCGCTCAAGTACGCCACACCGGTCCATAGCTTCCTAGGAACCACACGCTGACAATTTCCCNNTCTCAGTGAATCATCTCAGGCAGACGGCAACTGGAGGTCAGGACTCAAGGTACCTGCCAAGGATGGCAGAGTCCAAACAGAAGATGTTACCGCGACCAAGGGTCTCGAATTCGAAGACTTTTACCTCAAGCGCGAACTGCTAATGGGCATTTTCGAGTCTGGCTTTGAAAAGCCCTCGCCCATCCAAGAAGAAGCTATCCCCGTCGCCCTTACCGGCAGAGACGTACTCGCCCGCGCAAAGAACGGTACTGGAAAGACCGCCGCTTTTATCATTCCTACCCTCGAACGTGTCAACCCCAAGAACAGCAAAATCCAGGCCCTGATCCTGGTACCTACGCGAGAACTGGCTCTCCAGACGTCGCAGGTGTGCAAGACGCTTGGAAAACATCTTGGTGTCAATGTCATGGTCACTACTGGAGGTACTGGCTTGAAAGATGACATTATCCGCTTGAACGAGGCTGTACATGTCCTCATCGGTACCCCTGGCAGAATATTGGATCTTGCCAGCCGTGGTGTCGCCGACCTGTCGACCGCCCAGACATTCGTCATGGACGAGGCCGACAAGCTCCTTTCTCCCGAGTTCACCTCGACTATCGATCAGTTGCTCTCGTTCCACCCTCCGGACCGCCAGGTTATGCTCTTCTCGGCCACTTTCCCCGTCATTGTCAAGGAGTTCAAGGACAAGCACATGAAGGATCCCCACGAGATCAACCTCATGGACGAGTTGACGCTACGTGGTATCACTCAGTACTACGCTTTCGTCGAGGAGAAGCAAAAGGTGCACTGTCTCAACACTCTTTTCTCGCGTCTGCAGATCAACCAGTCCATCATCTTCTGTAACTCTACCACTCGTGTTGAGCTTTTGGCAAAGAAGGTTACCGAGCTCGGCTACTCATGCTTCTACTCTCACGCACGCATGCTGCAACACAACCGTAACCGCGTCTTCCACGACTTCCGTGCTGGCCACTGCCGCAATCTTGTCTGTTCCGATCTTCTCACCCGTGGTATCGATATTCAAGCTGTGAACGTTGTCATCAACTTTGATTTCCCCAAGAACGCCGAGACTTACCTTCACCGTATCGGTCGTTCTGGTCGTTTCGGTCACCTTGGTCTCGCTATCAACTTGATCAACTGGGAGGACCGCTTCAACCTCTACAGAATCGAGCAGGAGCTGGGCACTGAAATCAAGCCCATTCCTCAGCACATCGACAAGGGCCTGTACGTCTACGACACTCCCGAGAACATCCCTCGTCCTATCACCAGCGCCCCTCAATTGCAGCAACAGCCTCAAGAGCGCCGTCAGCACCACCAGCAGGGCTACCGCGGTGGCCGTGGTAGTAACTACCAGGGTCAGCAAGGTCAGAGAAGAGGACCTCCTCGCAACCAGTACCCCTCTCAGGGTGGTCAGGGCGGGTTCCAGCAACAACAGGCTCAATACAATCAGCAAGCTTTCGGCGCACCACAGCCGCAGCAGCAGCAACAGCAAGCTCCTTCTTACCCTCAGGGTGGCTTTGCTCAGCCCAACGCTTTCCCCACACCTCAAAGTTTCCCTCAGCCTCAGGGACAGCAGCCTAGTAGGTAATCGGGCTATGTTTTCTTTCTTAATTCGGCTATCTGGAGTTTTTCTGGCGTTTTCACGGAGTTCGACCCAGGCGGGTCTATTTGCATTCTCACGATGGGTATGAGGAGAAAGGGAAAAGCAAGACATGGATTTGTTTTCGCCACGCTACCACGAAGTTATTCTATCCTCCTTCCGGTCCAGCACAATGTCGACGCCTCTATATTCAACATCACCACCCACACGCGCGCTCTTGTAGAGAGCAGACCAGAACGACCTACATCATCTCGACCGTCTTCACGCGCCATATCGACAGGACGAATGCCCTTCCATTTCCCAACCCTTTTTCATGCACATGTACCATTACGTTTTTTTGCCCCTTTTCTCCTCTATCCTACAAGACGACTTGTTGGTCCCAATCCGGCTGGGCCTAGGTCAACTGACCGCCTTGTTACTACCTTGCTTCTTTACCCCGATCCTCCAACTGTTTATTCGACATTACATTGCACTTCTCAAGGACCATTGATCGACACTTTCAGGTCAAGGTCGGCATACATTTTTCGAATCCGACCTTGGCTTGAATGCCGAAAGCGATACGACACCACTTTGCTGTGCAGCTGTTTGTGGAAGCTGCCGCAACGATCTTGAAGGATACCAGACATGTCAAACAACAAGAATCCGCCACTCACCATGTCTCAAACACACCACATATCAACTGTTGATCATCCGCTTTAATCGCCTCGTCCAGCTAGGCTTTCAAGGTGTGAACCAGATCAGTACCAGGATTTCCTCAACACTGAAAACACTCTTTTGCAACTCTCTGTATTGAACAGACTTTGTCTGAAGTCTGGTTGAATGGAAAGACAAGAGATCAAGATGGAGCTGAAGTATAAACCTGGTTAGAAAGAAATTCGAGTTGAGAAAAGAATTTTTGAAGGAGAATGGAAATTGTGTCTCAGTAGTTGAGCTAGATCCGTGTTAGCTTACTGCTGCCACTGACAAATGACAATTATTCTCTTTCATTCTTTTGCTAATGAGATGATGAGGTGTTGTGTCCTTGTTCGATTGCTATCCACAACCGTTGGCTGATTTGCAGTTACGATCTGATTTCATCCACGCGGTCGAAAGCAATTCGATTCTGCTTCGAGTGCCTCTCATGTATCAGTACCGTATGGCAACTCACACAGTCAACACAGCATGCCTTCTTGAACAGCACTTGATAGATTTCTGGCTTTCTAGCCCCCGAGGTCTTACTCCGAGTAACATCTTTGTCTTGCCGGTTCTTATCTCCGAGCAACGTGTGGAGCCCCGGATGGTTCATCAAACTCAAAACTCAATTGCTCCCACGTCATCTCCATCCACAACGGTGCTTTCAACTCATCCCTCAACCTCCTTGTCCACCCATCCTTTCTCGTTTGTCCACTCTATAACCAGCGTACACCCAACCATGCCAGGAGCAACAGCTTTCCTATCCGTGGCAGCTCTAGCAGCTCTCTCAGCCTACGTGTTTCCTCCCATCGCCCATGAATTAAAAGTCGTGGGGCTCGGAAGATCTGTCCCGGTGTCTACGATCCAAAATGTTGGGGATTTTGTCAGGATAGACGATACCACGCATTGCGAGGATTTGCATTACTATGCGCCTGCAAACTTGCTGTTTACGGCTTGTGAGGATAGACATACGCGATTTGGATGGTTTCCTCCTCTGGGGAGCTTTGAGCCGCCGGAGGACGGCACGCAGGGGAGTATTCATGTTGTTGATCCTGAGGTGTGTATTTTGTCTTGTTGTGTTGGCCAAAGCAATACTAATCTATTTCGCAAACAGACCATGAAAAGCATACGTTTGTCTTTTGTAAACTTTGACAAGACTTTTGTTACGCATGGCATCGATGTCATCGCCGACCCCCTGGACAAGAAAGCCGTCTACATTTTCGCAGTCAATCATTTCCCTAACCCAGAGTTTGTGGCTACGCGCCGCGAACACATTACCAAGGCACACTCTCGCATCGAGCTCTTCAGACATGTGATTGGAAGCAGCACACTCAAGCACATTCGCACAATCTCGCACAGGTTGATCGAAACACCCAACGATATTTACGCCGTCAGCCCGAATGAGTTCTACGTTACCAACGACCACAGACATAGAGAAGGCTTGATGAGAGAATTAGAAATGGTGGCGCCTTTCGGGTGGTCAAGTACCATCCATGTCTCCATCACCGACCCCTCCGCCTCTTCCGCGACCTCCGGCCTAGAAGTCACCACCGCACTCACCGGACTAAAAAGCAACAATGGAATGGGCCATGTCCACGATTTCAACGAAATCACAATCATCAGTGCAGAAAGAGGAATTCTGTACCGCTGCTTTGCAGACCCCGCAAACAAGACGCTGAGTGTCGAGGAAACGGTGAATTTGGACAGCACTCTGGATAACCCTTCTTGGTACCATGATAAGTGGGCTTCTGCTGCTGATGATAAAAGTGGGTATGTGCTTGCTGGTCTGGCGAGAGGAATTGATTTGGCGGGTCATGCGAAGAATCCCGCTGCTAAGGATCCGCCATATGTGTGGTTGGTGCAGCGCGAAGCTTCTACCAGCACCCAAACATCGAATGACGACAAGATGGAAAGTGGCTGGAACAAGAAATTGGTGTTTGCAGATGACGGAGCAACGGTCAGAACAGCAAGTGCAGCCGTAATCGTCGGTATCGACCCCAAGAAAGAAGGAGGAAAGAAAATGGGTTGGTTGTTTGTCACTGGCTTCATGTCTGAAAACATGATTGCTACAAAGATTGATCTTTGAGTACAGAGGCAGCTCATTTACCGTACTTTTGTGTCCAGAACGAGGGAAACAAGCTTCAATTACCAAGGTCTGCTATCTATACATATTATGCTAAAGAATGTACCACAATCTCACCTTCAACACCTCTCCTACTATACACCATCAAAAGGCAGAGTTATCAACGATCCAGGCGTGTGGCCATAAGAGATATCTCAATATAGCATCTCTCCCAGGACACCATGGCCTTTCTGGAAAATGTTCTGCACTTTTACGCCATACTGCAAAACAGCCTCTAGCGCAATGGAGACAAGAAAAAAAGTGCTCAATGAGAAGAACTGCAAAAAGATGGCATGGCGGAGAGTTTAACCGCAGGTCGACTGGCTTTGAGAACTGCACAAACCTGCCCCATTGCGCAGTGTTACCGTATATGGGTAGTATGGTGAACGAACAAGTAGAAGAGGGTGGTTATCATAGACCAAGAAAGTCTTTGTGCCTTCCATGACGACAAACAGCAGGTTTGAAACTATCAAAAAGGCATAAAGGCTTTAAAGCTGGGTATGTGACCAGAGAGAGCCTAGCTTGGTATATTGGATGGACAGGAGGTACAAGAAAGCTACATATCCGAAAGCCGCTGATCGATCGCCTCAAGCAAACCCCGATTCTCGGGCAGAGCCATCGTTGTCGCCAATTCCTCACCATCTACATCACACCTCGAAACCACATATCCCCTGGGCTCAGATGTATATGTCATCCTACACCATTTAACCTCTGCATTCCTCTCCGACATAACACCAACTCTCCTCTTCTCCTCATCAACCTCAATAACCCTCCCGGTAATCTCCTTTAACCACTCTTTCTCATTCTGAATCTTGAAGTCAGAGGTGCCTGCAATACACTTCTCAGCCAACGTTTTCACCTGCCTCAACTCTAACAAATCTCTTCTCTGGACCAACTGATCCATAAACACTTCCATTCCTCTTTTTGCATCGTCGTGTAAAATAGCACCATAGATGCTTATCTCATAACACAAAACCGAGAGCTGTAGATACTGCCACAGAAATCGTTGATACGGCAGCCCAGAAATGATAAGTCCGGTATTGTCGTCGAGGGCATTGATGTGTACTGTATCCTTTGGAGGGGAGATGGTTATGTCGATAACAGACAATCTTTGAGCAATGAGATGTAGAGTAGCAACAGCCGGCCAAGATTGCCGCAGCATGGCGCGGTGATCAAACCAATGTTTACGCTTATGAGCGTCGAGGTATGGATCCAGCCCTATCTCCAACACTTTCAAGGAAGGTAGTTTTTCAATGGCGGTGGCGAGAAGGGTTTCCATACTACGCAGCCAGAGCTCGCCTTGAAGTTGGAGTATGCGGATGTGTTGGGTCGCATGTACAGGTAAGGAGGAGAATACCTTGGCGACATAAGCTGGGTATTGTTTTTGACCACGGCAGTCGTACATGGATCGCCAAAGACCTAGTGGAGTTTTCGCATATAGTATTGGGAGGGCTTCGGAGTGGATGGTTCGACAGGTTGAGAGGATGGCAAAAGGGTGGTCACCAGTACCGAATGCGACGCCAGGGTTTCCATATACGTCGTCAAAAGAGTTGTTTGCTTGAGAGCCTCCTACATCTAGTGATGGACTGTGTGGGTCTCTTCGTTTAATACGAGTATCGTAGGTGAATGCGCCGGAGTTGTTGGGTATGTGGCTGTAAACCATCTCACGCAGCTCGCGCGGGAGGTCCAAGAACGAGACGGTGTGACGCCGCTCACACGCATATTTCCCTGGTATTGATTCCGCAATATTGTTGGGTCTCTGAGAATTGTCCATGATAATTTTAGAGAATTTTTGGGGATCAAATTATGTTAGATACTCTTTATATGGACGTGATTCTGATCAGATGCGAACCATAGGTGAAGGATTGCTGGGCGCCCGACTGACCCCCGCTTACGCCTTCAACCTCATCCATTGAATATATTGTCAAGGATATCAAAAATCATACTAGCGGGTCATCGCCGTGGTGGTAAGCGGTGTTAGAAATAATTCCGATCTACCACGGTAGCAAGCTGTAGCGGACTCTGACTAAAGAAGCGGTCTAATCTCATGATTGGAATATCGTTGACACGCTGTTGACTTATTTACCCTCTTAAGCCAGCCTGTGTACTGTCGAGCAAAGTTTATCTGACCATATGAGTTCTCTGCACCTTCTTTCTGCCTATCAATGATTGCCGACAACTGTAGACTCTAGTGGATAGCTGCACAATCCCGTGTGATTGACCCGATGCACCCAAATCGTCCTCAGTCTGCTGACGAGCCGAAGTACTGTGGAAGAAACCCTCGAAGAAGGGGCAGTTGGGCGTTGGTGTCGGCAGACTCGACCATTGCTAGCTTGGCTAGCCATCTTTTCGCAGCCTCGTTGAATTCCACTCTTTGGCTCTCATGACGATCTGGGTGATTACTGTGGTAACGTGTCCATTCCACTTTCGCTGGTTTGTGCTCGAGGCCGTCTAGCTCTGCGACAAAATACCTCATCAAGTCATAGTAAGTTGCATGTGTATTTTCATGGAGTACAAGACAACCGATCGTGATACCTGTTCCATTCAGGATCGATGCCAGCTGTATCTTGTCGTCTGCGTTCTCCAGATTCGCAAGGTATGTGTACGTGAAGACTGATAGGTAGGCTCTTTCGGGTCGATGCACATATGCCAGGAACGTTTCTAGAGATCTTGACAAAAGGCCTGGATCTTGAGAATCTGATATGATACTGATGTGCATGTGAGCCAAGGAGATAGGCGTGGCTTCCTCTAGAGTTGTATGGCATGTTTGCAAGATACCAGAATGTACGTAGCCGCTGGAGAATTAGAAGACTCGGTATCGGTCACGTACTTTAAGATAGTCCGCACGACAGGTCTTGTGTACCAGTTCCAACCGACACGTATGACATCCGCGACGGAATCCTTCCACATGATCACCCTCCCAGGTGCTTTCAAGTGACCAACAAGTCCCATCTTTTACAGGAGTGAAGATGTAGTGATAGATCATGTTGCGGGTCTCAGGCGGAAGCGACAAGAGGGGGAATCCTGGTTGAGTAAGCCTGTTGGTCTGAAGGGCTGATACACTGGCGATGGGAGCCGGTTCTTCTTTGGCCGGCGACATGATGCTTATGTGTGGTTCTGATGGCTCTGGCGCAAGTCCAAGATCGAGAGGTGGAGTGAGCGATGATGTGTGATTGAGAGTTGGGGCTCAAGGAGACGGCGATGATGGAGGCATGGTTGTGAGGACTGTGAGGCAGGATGGAGAAGATGTTAGAGTCGAGTGCGATGGCGCGATGGCGGCGAAGTCGAAGATGAGGGGGAGACGCATGGAAGAGAGCGCGAAGCCGTCGAGGCGGAAACTCGCGTTGCTTGGAAGCAGTGAAGGCAAGTGCGATGTTGGTTGGTATAGGAAATCACGACCAGCCGCCCAACAAGTTGTGACATACTCCGCTTTCAACAGAACTCTCAGGACCTGAGTAGAGCAACGTGCCTGTAGTGAATATAATTTGAGGGCTTTTGCGAGTACTTGAAGGATGATCAGCGAAATAACTCTTAACTGCTAAGTTCCACTCGCTTCCCAAGGACAGCGCGAGCATCGCTCTCAGTCAAGACCTCCAAACCCATCTCTTCTAGCACATCTCGAGCAGCCTCGTTATCCATAAACACCCTTCTCTCGACTTCAAAGAGCCCCCACTTCTTTTCCGAAACTGCCTTACCAGAGCCTTCTGCATCGACTTCGACAGGAATCTCTCCTCTTACGGGCAGATCGAGAAGTGTCAAGCCATTGTCAAGACGCTGCATGACGTTTCTTCCAGTGCCGGCGCCAAGGTAGCGATCAAATACGCTGCAGATGCCTCTGAAGTCAGACATGAACTGTGATGCGCCAGCAGTTGAGAAGGAGTGTCGGAGCAGCACACTGTCCCAGAGCGTGATTTGAAGACTGTGACCGACAACACGACAGATACGACGCAATGCAGGCTTCGACAAGGCGCGGGATAGAAAAGCGAGATGCGTGTCCAAAAGAGTAAGAGGAGGATCAAGCTCGGCAGTCAAACTGGTCTCGCCGCCACTACCTGCAGCCGAGAGAGATGCCCAAGGGTTGATACGAGCATACGGTCTCAGAACATCGCGAGTGTGGTAGATCAGGGTATCACAGATGACTTCCTCGCTGCGAAGACGCAGTCTGCGATAGGCGGCTGCCATCTGCTCGAACAGGGCACCCTCGAGTTCTTGGTTTTCTCCTGCGTCGTTGATGGCAGCGTTTGTCTTTGCTGCGATCTCAGCCATGTCCAAGTCGCCCTTGATGTCGATCTTCTTGAGTGCTCTGTACTGCAACTCCTCCCAGATCTCAAGGAAGAAGACATCGTCACTCCAATCGCGCATAGCTTTTTCAAGGTACTCCGCAGAGCCGAAGATACGGCAGAGGTGATTCATGCCGTTAACTCCGGCAAGCTCAGCTTGTTCCTCTCGAGAGACACCGTGAACGGCACGCCCAACAGCTGTGGTGTTTGTCAAAAAGATTTGCAGGCTGTCATATATCCGGCCGCGGAAGCGATCGAAAATCTCAATCTGAATATCGGTCAAGAACCGGAATTTCTGACTGAATGACGACAAAGCTTTGTAGCGCTCTGTGATGGTCTCGAGAAGATCGTTCACACGGACGGCCGCTTTGGTGGGCTTAGTACTGTCCGCAGATACCGAGTCGTAATCGATCTCTCCAGTCGAGCGATCAGAGATGATGTCTTGATAGCGGGCCAAAGCAAAGTCCTTTTCTACAGTCAACCATTTTGTGAAGTAGGACTGCTTTTCAAGAATGTAATGCGCCAGACCACGCCAGACGGTGGCAGGAGAAAGCGGCGTGTAGTTCCACTCTTCCTGTATGGTCGCATCGAAAGTCATAACTTCATGCATCAAGTTGCTGAAAAGCTGAGGCTGCTCCGAGGCTTGAGGAAGGATTGACTGCAGTTTCTTCTGCAACATAGGGATCAAAGCAGTGATGAGAGCCGAGGTCGCATCAATGTAGGCAGGGATTAGTGCAAGATCAGAGCCTCGGAAGTTAGCCAGAAGCTGTGGTTGCAAGTTCGCCTGGAAGAATGCGCAGTAGCTGTTGATGAGATCCAGGACATGGTTCAAGAAGTATTCGGGCTTGTCCAAACGGTTGGTCGGGCGATCTCCAGAGAAATGATAGTTGAAACGAAGCTCGAGCGATCGCACCATGATTTCAAGAGGGAGCAGGACAGCGGGTTCGTCCTTTGACGTCTTTTCACTGTTTGCTACATCTGCTGCAATCAGCTCGGACTTTTGAAGGTCGATGAGCTTTTCGATGTGGATGTTCCATTCTGCCTGCAGACCCGGAGGCACCGAGATGCCCTGCTTTGGCCAGCCCATCTTGGTCAAGGTCTTTTCAAAGTCGGCTGCAAATGCCTGCTCAATCTGAGTGCGTGCATCATGGGCAGTCCTCAAGACGTGGACGATGAGATGAGGAGCAGCACCCTCTGCTGCCTCGGACAAAGGCTGCAGACCAGTCGCAAGGGCTGAGAGTCTCTTGTATGCTGTCAAAGCAGCCTTGTCGGATTTGCCTAGCTGTTCGCAACACTCTTGTCGCAACGTGTCCACCTCTTGCAGCATCTCAGCATAACCTGAGGCCATGTCCAGCTTCCTCAGACGTTCCATACTCGATTCGAATTTTTGCAAGGCATCATCACTGGTCTCTGATTGCGTGACGACCTGGAGACGACGGTCGAGGTCTTGTTGGTCTTGTTGGAAGGCGGCGCCTTTTTGTTTGATCTCGGTGGCATGCTGGTCCGAGGCTTGCTGGGCGATGTTGTGGTCGTTACGGGCGTCATGGAGCTATCTCGGTGATCAGAAAATGCATAACACGAAGTACTGGCACTTGTCACATACCTGCTGCTTAAGCAAGTCCTGTTGTGCTTTGACGCTGTCCAGTAAAGAATCTAGCGTGTCCAGGTCGGCGAATGCCTGTAACTTGTCGTCCAGAAAATCGACCAGCCGAACATCATTATCCTGGTTCCGGTTATAGTCGTCGAGCGCCATAGTTGATGAAAGGAGAGAGTTATTTTGGCAAGCTGTTTGCCGATGCCAACTCAAGGCTTCTGATGACGCGCTGGCAACAAAGTCGCTGTCTACGGAGCCCTCTCCTCCGGACACCGACCACAAACACGACTTCACGCTGTCAATCCTGCACGCGCTTGCTGCCTGCCTGCGAGGCAATCTGACATTTGCCTTGTCTATATAGAAATACGTCTTTGTAGGTCTGATCTGGGTTCGTTTTATCAAGGCTTTCATCTTTTCGATTCTGCTTTCCTGTCCACCACTCGTCCACGCAAAATGGCCCCTCCGCCTGATCCTCTTGTTGAGCCGGCCTACATCCTTTCAATACCACACCTGGAGGCCGTGGAGAACTGCATATTGAGTGTCGCTCTTCGGCTCATCTTGCTTGGTCGTGTAGATGCTGCTCGCGATTTTATAGAGCTCTTCTACTCTCGTCCAGCACTCCAGAATCTTGAGTTTGCGGGCATACGCGCCATGGTGCCGTATTGGCGCAGGACTCATTTTCCCGCCGGCTTTCCCGAAAAGATGAAAACAGATGCCTACATCGACGAATATCTAGACTTGAAAGATCGAGAAGGTTTACAATGGCCCCATTATGTCCCACAAAATCAGCGCACCGAAGACGAAGCCGGCATTACTGCAATCATGTCGCCTGAAAATGATCACCCCAGCTCTCACAGAACACAAGCCCTTATAGTTGCTTTAGACCTTGCTATCAAGTTG